CATGCAGCGCCAATGCCGTGTAAGCTTCATCTAAACTTCTTACAGGCCATGGGCTCCATCATTAAACGGATGCCTGCTGCTCACATTCGCCAGATTGTACAAACATCCCCTCTTTTCAATGCTGATGATGAACTAGAGCCAGCAGCTCGCCTATTTGACATAATTTGTGACCTGGCAGAGCTCCACTCTGCAAGTAATGAAGCAGACGAGGTCAACCACATTGCTGAGAAAATCTCAGCCGCCATGACCATCGAAAAGGAGCTGCTCGCTTGGAAATCAGACCTCCCCGAGAGGTGGATGTATTCTTCCGGCGAAAACAAGCTTGACAAAGCCTATGGGCCCTCCTGCCACGTCTATGCATGCCCCTGGCAGTCTTACATCTGGAACCACTATCGCATTTGCCGACGCATGACCCATTCCGTGCTCCTACACTATCTGGGCACTCTCGCGTTACCCGTCACTCAGGTGCATCCCGCGCTTATTGACGCGTGTGCCTCGCAGCGAGAAGCTTCACACAAGATTCAAGCGGCTAAGATGCGTGATTTACGCGCGAGTATGCCCTACATTCTAGATTTTTACGACAAATCAAAGGGGAACAGCAGGCTGTTTCCCCAGCACTCGGGGGTGTTTGGTCTGCTGGCCTCGATCCAGGCAATGATAGGGGTGGAGGGTGTCTGCAAAGAGGATGCTAAGTGGTTGTGCGTAATGTGCAGGTACATAGCGAGTCGGTTGGGAATTGGGTTAGCTTTGGTGATGGAGAGATGCCTTCAGGAGAAGAGCTAACGTGGGTTAGCAAGACTTTTTCCTCTAGCATTGTTTTTCTTACCAAATAGATACACGACTAGACTTCAGCTAGAAATAGTTTCATTTGTGTAACCCTCCTAGTGTCCCTGTTTATCTCGTCGAAGTCGCTTTCTGACTCGATGAAAGGCGAACTTACTATCCACAGCGTAGACGATCTTCTCATCATGAATAGAAAGCCTCGCGTCCAAAGGTTAATGCCTCATCGGGCTACTCTTTGAGCGGGCTGCACGTTGAGCGGGCGCTGTGAATCCTGAATAGCCGCCAGGATCTCGTTCTATGCTGCGAATCATGAGATCGACGCAGGCGTCGAGAGGGTGTGGGAGTGGCGCAGGTATACACGGCAACTCCCGCAAGCAAGTCTTGCAGCCAATCTTGCGTCAAACCTCGCGTAAATCCTGGCGTAAAGCCTCGCGTCAAGTTCTCGCGGCAAGTTCCGCGAAAGTTGTAGAATTCAGGGGAAATGTGATGCTCGATTGATTGATTTCCTGTTGATAATTCATTATAGATTTCCGAAGTTGACTGCCTATGGAGATTTTTCAAATACTGTTATGGGCTGAGCACCTGAAGCAATGGGTGTAAGATGCTCTCTCCAGTGCTTTTGTTGTTCCTCGTGATTGAGTTGTGGTTGTTGAAGTACATAAGATCAAGTTGACAACTTTCTTCGATGGCCATGATTCAGAATAACGGTAAACGAAGATGAGTCAAGCGGCCAGAGCGAATGATTTGAACTTTTGTTTGGAGAAGTCATGTTCTAATGTGCGACGATGTGCAAGAAAAGTAAGTAGACAAGACTGCCTTTTTATAACTGACACCAACGACCTTGTTTTACTTAATACATAGTAATCAGGAAAGCAGATGAATCCAATGATGAAGCTAGAGTGAAGGCTCACATTTCTAATCAATCCGGATCTTTCCGTTTCAATGTCTCCCAGCTTGTATAGATTAGGCAACCTGATATTCTCTTTTGGACAAATGCAAACATGGTTTTTGTACTATTCTATGAGCTGTCTGCTACTTTCAAGCCGTCTCCGAGTCATTGCAGCGATTTAGGCTGGGAGACGCTAAAAGACGACGTGCATCGCTGCTCTGGGAATTCATGGACTAATAGCCTCGGTTACGAGCTGCGTTGTCGGATTTACAACACGTAATTCATGAATCGTAGTGATAGGGAAAGTGTTTGTATTCTCTTCGTAAAACTAAAGACTTTCTCTGTTTTTTCGTAATGCGACAATATTTCATATCGCTGCTCTGCTGGGAACCATGGACTAATGGCCTCGGTTAGAAGCTGCGTTGTCGGTTTCACAACACGTAATCCATGATTCGTAGTAATAGCGAAAAGGTTTAATATTTTCTTCGTAAAAGTATAAAATTCTCCTTGTGTCTCGTAATTTCACAATAATTCATTTCCATATTCATTTTCGTATTCAAATTTTATAATGCTATACAATGAGAAGTTACAAAAAACAAACTACGAAAATATTAAACATACGAATTACCAATTACGAATATGAATCTGGATCCGAATCTCGTTTTCGATTTATCAAAACAGAAGAAAGCTCATATCTGTAGCCTCACTACGAAACAAATATGAAAGATTTTTAGTAGTACCATTAGTATTCGTTACGAATTTGTCTCTACCATACGCTGAAAAGAAATCACCGCCGGCCTGCCATTTTAACGTAATGGTGATGTGCGGTGGTGTATTTCTGCCATCCCTTGTCTGGCCAGGAGCTTGCCTTACTTAAATTATAGCATCTAGTATTGCTCAACTTGTTATCGAGGCTTTAGAAAGATGGATCAAATTCGAGCGAGTCCTTTCCAAGAGAAGACCAATCGCAAGATACGTGGCAAGGGAGCTATTCAGGGCCTTTTAATTGGGCAACTCACCTGAATTATGTCGGGAGACAAGCGGAGAGCAAAGATGAGAGCCAGATTCCTGTACGCGGTCTCTACGACATAGAACGTAAGAGGCGAAAACGTGGGATCAAAAAGGCTTGATTTTTCTAAGCGATAATCTACAGGGCTAGCTAGCTGTAATCCTCTGGGGAGGTCTTCTTCCTTCAGCTTCTGGGGATTTCAGGCTAGGCGTTCCCTAACAGATTATCTCAACTGTGTTCTTGAATTGAATATTCTCTATAAAGCGACTGTCTCCCGCCATATTCTATAGGGACTATCTATTCGGGTTTTCAACTATAGTTAAACAGTATCCAGAGAAGCAGCACCTGTAGTTGTTAGTCCAAAATATCTATACAACAAGACAACCTAGTCTGTTTAAACGCGTTGAAAACATTACAAGAAGCCGAGACTCCTAAGGATGACCGCGCGCTGCCGCCTCCTTGTCTACACTGATCAAAACAACAACGAACTCACCAGCCCAAGCCGCTGTATTGTCTTCTATTTCAACAACAGCAACGCAACCGGCCTCTAAGTGCTTAACCTGTGTATTACATGTAAGCCCGGCATAGAATTGCAGGGGTCATATCAACACACAAGGCAGCGGCTCATGGTCAACACTCAGGGTTGTATTGTTATAATAGACGTCTAGCCGCATAGAGGACGAAGAAGGTTGGGTAGTTATAGTTATTTATTTATAGAGCGTTGATGGCTTTTCTTTTAGCTTCGTTTATCTCAGAGCGCTGGAGTCAGTGTTCTGCCACCCAAGGCACACGTCCCGCTTCTCTGAATACCGCTTACAGGTACTCATGCTTGGATACCAGATAACCAGTTCCAGCCTTCCATTGTCTGATCTCTTTCAAGTGTCATTAGAACGAGTAATTTTATACATACAGCTCTGAGGCTAAGTAGTAATCCAAATGAATAGTCACGCGGAATAAAAATGGTCGAATGGCGTATCCAATCAGAGTTGATCAATGATTCAATTCATCGTAGCGCTTTACACGCCGAAAGAGTTGGAGGGGCCTCGTGCAGAAATTGAAAATGGAGATTCGCGATTATTTATGCCTTCACTTTTCGTTTGCGCCAACAGTAAACGTATTTCAAATTTCTGTATCAATGGTACAATACACCTATTTTGGCCTTATATAGTAAAACGCCACTCGTCTAGAGTCTGTAACTAGGTAATAAGACACGGTATGACAAAGCGCCAGCCTGTAGTAGCTACATCTGAATGCTTATACTACAGTCTTGCCAAAGGCACATATACAGAACTCATGAGTAGCATAATCAACTAAAAACGCTAAGAGTGAGAAACAAAAAATAAAGTGAGAAGTAATATGCAAGTCAGCTGCCAGGATGTGAAATTGCAGATGCAATTAGATATCAAGTAGACTGGTAATGGCATCTTCGGGATTAGAAATGAGAAGCTTAGCTAATGCTCTATCTTCTTACACACCGCAACACACCGCAACACCGCAACACCGCAACACACCGCAAAGCTGCTTACTACTATAGATTCGATGCTTTGTAAGAATACCTTCTCATTACAGCCTGTAAGCTGATAGGCCTCGTACCACCCACACAGACATACAAAATTTCCAGAGAGTTATGAAGGCGGGGATGCAAGCTTCCTAACAAATCCTACCAATGTAGCACACGAGGTAGTAATTCCTATAAGTAGTTGAATGGTAAACAAATAGGCTTTGTTGCATCACATCCACATAGGCAAAGAGAGAAAACTGGAACTACACTACTGACTGCATTGGGTCGACTGACGAATTCGGAATGAAGTCAACCGACAGAGAGTACAGAGTAGACTGAGTTTATATCCCTCACTGGACTGCATTTTACCCTGAGTTGAAACTCCGACGGCCAATGAGTTGTTGCGCGGCATCATTGAGCCGCATTGTTTACTATCTGGGCGAGCATATCCGCGTACGGCTGTCACGGCCTCAAAAAAGCCTCAAGTTTGTTCAAACGCTGCTTAGGTATTCATCGGATAATTGGAGTAGCATCAGTGCCACCGTGGACGTTGATATGGAGTAGAGAGTCTCCATACGCTTTAGCCGATGTTGTCAATAGCCAATGGCCGAGATAGTTTTTGTCTTGTTACAAAAGGGAACTATGAAACTAAGCAGATACATCACAGTGTGCATCTTTCATTTGATCCGAATGTCTCGGCCGTAAATCTCTGGCACAACAACTAATGTATGCACTCCATTCGAAGCGCCAGTATAAATGAACGCATATAGTGTCGGCGGGCTGATCTCCAGGGTCCATGTTCCGCACCGCGCCAGCATCGGCGATCCCGGCTGGGTCGGTTTCTCACCGACAGACGCTCGCAGTTTGCAATGGCCAATGGTAGGGCTCTCAGTGGCCTATGGTAGATCCAAAATTGGGCCTAGAAGAAGGGGAAATCTGTCAAAGACGACGGTTTAGGCTATTGGGTCGGCTCTCGGGGTAGACCCTCCACGATTTAGCACCGGATTGACAGGGAGGTTTCAGTTCCTGCTTCTCTTATGGCCGGGGTACAAGTCCAGTCCTGGTTCATATGATGCGAGTTGCATCTTAAATTCACCCCATTCACCCCCTCTTGTCCTATTTCGCAGCTATAAACGAGCCATTGTTGTCAAGACGGAGACCTGTAAGCCCAAAAAATGTGCTTTGTTTGATTCATGGTTGGGTGCCACTGAGATGGTGTCATTCAGACCATGCGTGGCGTGGCGCGCTAAAAGGGATGCCGCTGTCGCCCAGGGATGACGACCGTAGTGTAGCGCGGGGCAAAATCTCGGATCCTGGCACGAGTAATCGTAAAAGCCTATTGGGTGAGTGAGATTCTCGGGGTGTTGAAAAATCTCTGAAATTTTCTAATAGGAAAGACCAAGGACCTATAAGAAAAAGTCTATTTCTGGGCGGTTCAAGTCCATGAAGAAGCTTCCGGGAAGCAACTGGCCATCCATTGCTTATTGAGCGAGTCGTTCAAAATGAAACGTTTCTGTTTGTAGATCTAGTATTGCGAAATTTCAACCACGGGCCACCTCATCAGTGCCACAGCCAGTCACGCAATCGATCTTGGCCCCTGAATAGAGAAGGTACACGAGTGTCTCTGGGTCCATACCCCACGGCCAGTGGCATAATGTGGCATCATCGGGTAAGATATCTCGTGATTGCTGCGGCTCATCCGTAGTGTACTGGCCTTTCTTCGGATCTGCGATGGATTGACGTGCGAGGACCGGAACGGTGTACGGCAGTAAAGGCGGCTCGACTTGTGTCACCTCCAGCCAGCCACCGCTAATAAATACCATTTTGACCTCCCACGCATCCGCAGCTTTCTTTTTTTCCTTCTTCTTTTTTCCATCTTCCACAACAAAGGCCAATTGAGTCGGTAGTCGAACCTGTGCTAGTCGAATCTGTGCACCATCAAACAGCCACATCCTTCCTTAAAAAGCATATTCCAACAAATCAGCCCCCCACTCGATCATCATGGCTGCTCAAATAGAACTGGTACAGCCTATCGATGTGCCTTCATTGACCAAGGAGGTAACGCCAGTTATCAGCGAGCTGAGTGCTTTGGACGAAGAGCGATTCGTCCTCAAGTCGCCGTACTCAGAGAGGCCTCATCTGCTTGACCTGGAAACCGTTTCTCATGAGGCTGGCTTGCTGGCAAAAGCTTTGCGAACCCTGAAGCCAATTCGGGAGGACTATGCCACTGCGTCATATGAAGAATCCTTTAACTGGCCCGAGGTCATCGCGGAAGTGAAGCGCTTGTCTCAGAAGTCCGGAAAAGAATTCAAGGAAATCTCATTCTACATTGTCGCCTTCCGCTCGAAGATTTTGACGTACACCGATTATGATTATCTTTGTGAGCTGGACAAGGCCGCTCATGCCGAAGCCGTTGCAAGCGGAGGCTTCCTGAAGTAAGAGAAAGACGATCTTTTTGCCCTTTTTCGACGCTGACCAATGAAACAGATACTGGTTTGGTGAGCCAGATGATGAGCTCCAGAATCTGTCGACGTGCGTGTGGTGTTCCAGAGAGGCCGCAATGGTTGGTGGTCGAGGGCCAGCGCATCGAAAGGCGGTGAGCGTCACCAGGCACCAATATGCCTATTATAACATCGACCAACACCGACTCACCATCCGGGACAACGTCGATGATTGGTCGATTTCTTGGTGGAAATGAAGATGATCGGCATTCGCCATCTTCTTGAAGCAACTTTGCTTGCTTGATGAGTTCTGACAGAGATGATGACAAAATCATTCGGGAAAAACAAGGGTGCTGGGAGCAAAAGGGATATGACTGGATTTGAAAACATGAGATTTTTTTTTTGATATAGGATACCATGCGGCAAGCGAGCATCATGTTGGCATTTAGAAATGGTAAATGAACTGTAAAATAGAGAATAAAGCTATACTTGCATAATGAGACGAAAGGAAAACAATTCCAGTGAAGCGCGTAAGATGATGATGGCACAGCCGCGGCACTAGACTCCTGAGTGCTCGGCGAGTTTATGTTGGCTTGAGACGGTCTAAGAATGTGTGATGAAAAGTGAGTGTATTCGGCTATTTAGGACTATATATATGTCGCCGGGATTAATCGCAGAGATTGTTGTTGTGAAATTGAGCAGAGCTTCTGGAGATGCAGCTGGGAAGATTGGCAGCCTCGCGCTGGTAGTTGGAGGTTAATTTCGACCCTCCTTCGGATTCTGCCGGCGCTCACCGCCCCAAACCCACAACGCCCACAAATCTGGTAGGCGAAAAGTTCGATATTCACAACAACAGCGCGAGCGCTCCTGAAGCTGCCACCATTTAGCCTCGAAACCGGCATCAACCTCGGCTCGACTCTCGCCACAATCTCCCCAGACTCTTAAATTACGGCCACGATGAGCGAAGTTCCGAAAGATGCGCCTTTCCAAGCGGTGCAAGTCGATGCGCTGGTGAGTTTGAGCTCGAATTGCCCCACCCTCCCCTCCTGAGAAGATGGAGAGCAAGAGGAAGACTGACGCCTGGCCAAGGTGATTATGAAAATCGCCAGACACTGCTCCTCAATCTTCCCTACCGTGGCGACCGGATCCCTCGTGGGCATGGACCAGAACGGAACGCTGGAGATCACCAACAACTTTGCCTTCCCCACCGTCGAGAACTCCTCCTCCGATAGCCACCAGAGCGACGCCAGTAATGCTGCCGCTGCCGCTCCTCGCGCTAAGAGCAACATCACCTACCAGAGCGAAATGATCCGACACCTGAAGGAAGTCAACGTAGATGCCAACAATGTCGGATGGTACACTAGTGCAACCATGGGTAACTTTGTTACCCTGGCTTTCATCGAGAACCAGCACCACTACCAGAAGGACAATGACAAGACTGTGGCCCTGGTTTACGACACCAGCCGCAGCTCACAGGGAACTCTGGCCCTGAAGGCCTACCGACTGAGCAACCTTTTCATGAACGTCTATAAGGAGGGCAAGTTCACGACTGAGACGTGAGTAGTATACGAGTCACGGAGTTTGAATCGTCTGATATGAGCTTTGTGCTGACAACTTCGCACAGCCTGCAAAAGTCCAAGCTGTCGTTCCGTGATATCCTCCAGGAATACCCCATCACGGTCCAGAACTCACACCTCCTTACCTCCTTCCTCCACCAGCTGCCTTCCCCTCCCGTCAGCGACATCAAGGAGCCCACCACCCTCAGCGAGCTCAACAACGACCGCATCAAGGCGCCCCTGTACCCTTCCATCGACAACCTGGATCTGTCAGTCGATCCCTTCCTCGAGAAGACTTGCGACCTGCTGCTGGAGAGCATCGAGTCCCACTACGTCGACCTCAACAACTTCCAGTTCTACCAACGCCAGCTGGCGCGTGAGCAGACCAAGATTACACAGTGGCAGGCCAAGCGAAAGGCCGAGAACGCCCAGCGCACGCTTGCCAAGCAGCCCCTGCTGCCGGAGGACGAGTGGCAGAGACTCTTCAAGCTTCCCCAGGAGCCCAGCCGCCTGGAGGGCATGCTCAACGCCAAGCAGGTTGAGCAGTACAGCAAGCAGGTGGATGGCTTCACGGCCAACATTAGCGCCAAGATGTTTGCCGTGCGGGAGAACCTGCTGCCGCAGTAAAATGCGCTGCTGAAACGTTAAAATGAATAAAATTCTTGAACTGATCTTTTGGTGGTTGAGACTATTGGCGGCAGGGTGCATTGGCGGCGTTCCGGTTTGGGTGGACTATAATAAAGTACTTCTGGTCTAGATCTGCAGCGACAAGAGAGTCTTTGAGAGTGTTTGAAACTACTAGTAGTACGGATTCCTACGCCTAGACTTGTAATTCCTGTTAGATACCACTATGATTTGTTTCTCTCTTTGCCCTGTTGTTTCTGTGCTGTGCTTTCCGGTGGTGCATGATGAATTGATGCGATGCAAAATATCGCACAAGAGGCTGAGCCGTATCTTTACCCTTAATACGAGTCCAAAGTGATTGAGCTCTATATTTTAACGCCCAAATAACAGACAGCTATACACACTTCTCTTACTTGAATATTTATTACCAGCAATAGATATCCTGCACACTTCCTGTTGAGGCCGTAATGCCGCATCTCATCTCGGGCTGCTGTCCCCAAAGCCCCGCAGTATATGAGACGTGGCCATGTCTCTTTTGTTCGGCATGTGCATGTGCATGGCAGAATACGAATACTAATACTAACACCGCTAGCAATTGGTGCTACAGAAGAAAAAATTACCCATAAGCTGAGGATTGAGGAGGATTCTGCCCTGGACGTGCAATCCAGCCGCGCCTCTCATTCGCCCAAGCTGTGAAAATCCAATCCCAATCTAATCTGCCCCGCTTGGTGAGAAAATTTACCCCTCTAGGCTCACCGCCCGCTTTTCAACGGATTTGTTCCCCTCCCTGGGCCTTACTGCATTCATCGGAGCTTTTTTTTTTTTTTTAACTGTTGGCACTCCCCATCAATTTTTTCCTACTTCTTCCTCTTCCTCTTCCTCATCTCTCCCTTACATCCTTCTCCTTCATCATCTTCTTCTCTATCCAAATCTTCGGATTCTCATCAATTCCTCCTTCACAATGTCTGCTCCCGCCCACAAGTTCAAGGTCGCCGACCTGTCCCTGGCCGCCTTTGGCCGCAGGGAGATTGAACTCGCCGAGAACGAGATGCCCGGTCTGGTGGCCATCCGCCAGAAGTATGCCGCCGACCAGCCTTTGGCCGGTGCCCGCATTGCTGGCTGCCTGCACATGACCATCCAGACCGCCGTCCTCATTGAGACGCTCGTTGCTCTGGGTGCCGAGGTCACCTGGACCAGCTGCAACATCTTCAGCACCCAGGACCACGCCGCTGCCGCCATTGCCGCCGCCGGTGTCCCTGTCTTTGCCTGGAAGGGCGAGACCGAGGAGGAGTACAACTGGTGTCTCGAGCAGCAGCTCAGCGCCTTCAAGGACGGCAAGAAGCTAAACCTGATCCTCGACGATGGCGGCGACCTGACCTCGCTCGTCCACTCCAAGTACCCCGAGCAGCTCAAGGACTGCTTCGGTGTCTCTGAGGAGACCACCACCGGTGTCCACCACCTGTACCGCATGCTCAAGGAGGGCAAGCTGCTGGTCCCCGCCATCAACGTCAACGACAGCGTTACCAAGTCCAAGTTCGACAACCTGTACGGCTGCCGCGAGTCCCTGATTGACGGCATCAAGCGTGCCACCGATGTCATGATTGCTGGCAAGGTTGCTGTTGTTGCTGGATTCGGAGATGTCGGCAAGGGCTGTGCCCAGGCTCTCCACGGCATGGGTGCTCGCGTCCTCGTCACCGAGATTGACCCCATCAACGCTCTCCAGGCTGCCATGGCCGGCTACCAGGTCACCACCATGGAGAAGGCTGCCTCCATTGGCCAGATCTTCGTCACCACCACCGGCTGCCGTGACATCCTGACTGGCGCTCACTTCGAGGCCATGCCCAACGACGCCATTGTCTGCAACATTGGCCACTTCGACATTGAGATTGACGTTGCTTGGCTCAAGGCCAACGCCAAGTCTGTCCAGAACATCAAGCCCCAGGTCGACCGATTCACCATGGCCAGCGGCCGCCACATCATCCTCCTGGCTGAGGGTCGTCTGGTCAACCTTGGCTGTGCTACCGGCCACTCTTCCTTTGTCATGTCCTGCTCCTTCTCCAACCAGGTCCTTGCTCAGATTGCTCTGTACAAGGCCGCCGACAAGGCCTGGGCCGAGAAGTACGTTGAGTTTGGCAAGACCGGCAAGCTCGAAGTCGGCGTCTTTGTCCTCCCCAAGGTCCTGGACGAGGAGGTCGCCAAGCTGCACCTGGCTCACGTCCAGGCTGAGCTGACCACTCTCACCGATGTGCAGGCTGAGTACCTCGGTCTTACTGTCGAGGGTCCTTACAAGGCCGAGATGTAAGCACTACCTCTTACCCATGAATATTTATTGATGACATTTACTAACGAATCCTTTCACAGCTACCGCTACTAAGCATTTTTCATGTATTCATACCCAAAGGATCCTTCAACTGGATTCCTACGTGTAACGACATCTCTTCCGGATTTATGACCCGGTTAATGGGAAAACTTGTGATTTCAACAGCATCATGAACCGGCAAGGGGCATATAAATGGGCAAGGATAAAATAAAAGCCCACGGGATTTTATTGGTTTTTTATTGTTTTCGTTTTTGACACTTTTTTTCTTTCCTTTCATCATGGACTCTTTTTTTGGAGATTCTCGCTGGGCGGATGGTGGGGCAGAAAAGAAACTGGCCTTTTCAACAAAAACGGCGTCGGGTAAATTTACTTTTGCTAATGATGATTCCCCCCATGGCGAGAGGATATATATGCGAATTATAAAAAACATAGCGCATGATACAGATGGGCTCAAGCTCGGAAAGGGCGAGATGGGCACATTTGGATGAGGCCCGTCAACCGCGGCTGAAGGAAGAATTTACTAGCTATAGAAAATGTGGAATACATTCGCGGGCAGTTTTAGCCCTGGCTGAGTAAAATGATGTTTCTTTGAATGTGACAGTATGACTGTGTTGAGGGTGACCCATGCTATCATAGTGCCACACTCCCACTGGCTCCGTTTGTGTTTTGGATGATAGGATACTTGAAGCTGTAGAAGTATGCGTACAATTAAGTTCTTCTATTTGATCGTGGGGTTGCTGGGTTTGAACATAAAATAGCTGCGGACTTTGAGGTCACTTTTGGTGTATTCGATCTTTTGTACTATCTATCTATAAGGTTGCGATGTATAACGGCATCCATTTCAACTACATCCATAACACCCTTTTATTTTACTTCATTCTATTCTTTCCACAGCTCACTCCAAATCCTTCTGCTCCGGCACAATGCTCTTCAGCTTGCCCTTCGTCACCGCCAGCCGGACATTGTCAATCGTCCACTCCTCCATCTTCTGCTGCGTCTCCTGCGTCCAGGTGCCCATGTGGGGCACGAGCAGGACGTTGTCGTTGGCCAGCAGGCCCGGGTGGATCTCGGGCTCGTTCTCGTAGACATCGAGGCCGACGGAGGAGACCTTGCCCGAGGCCAGGGCGTCGACCAGGGCGGCCTCGTCCATGACGGCGCCGCGGGCGGTGTTTACGATGACGATGCCGGGCTTCATGAGGGCGAATTCGGGGGCGGCGACGGAGTGGCGGGTGCTGGGCTGTAAGTTTGTTAGTCACAGTGACATATCTTCTGAGTTGGTGATTGCTTACATTCAGAGGCAGGTTCAAGCTCAGCACATCACTCTCCTTGTACAGCGTCTCCAGGTCCACATACTCGGCGCCGTCCTCCAGCTCCGGGCTCAGGCGGTGCCGGTTGTGGTAGCGGATTCGCATCCCAAAGGCGCGGGCCTTGGTCGCCACGTTGCGCCCGATGCCGCCCATGCCCAGGATGCCGAGGATCTTGCCCTGCGGGTCGTGGCCCAGCCGGGGGAGCGGCGAGCCGCGCCACTTGCCCTCGCGCAGGGCCTTGATGCCGATGGGCAGGTTGCGCAGGGCGCCGAGGAGTAGCCAGATGGTGACGTCGGCCGTGGCGTCGTCGACGGCGGTGGGGGTGTTTGAGACGTGGACGGAGTGGGCGGTGCAGGCGGGGATGTCGATTTGGTCGTAGCCAGCGCCTGGGAAAGGTTCCAGTCAGTATCATATATGTAGGTAGGTATCATGTATGTTTGTCTTACCGTTGTGGCACAGAAACTTGAGGCTCTTGGGCAGCGCGTCCAGCAGCTCGCTGTCGATTTTGCCAGTGATGTTCGCAGAATCAAATGTCCGGTACGCTACGTATACGCCGTCCAGGGCACCGGATTGGCATTCTGCAATGAACTCTTGTCTGTTGGTGGCCTTTGGCTGGACGATTTCCGCAATGTCGGAGATGGTGGACCATGCGACGTGGGCGCTGGAAAGCGATCGGTTGTTAGCTGGCCTTACAGTGATACAAGAGAGATCAGACGCGGTTGAGGCGACCTACTGGTCAATCTTGCCTAGGAGGAGGACCTTGGTGCGGCTCATTGTGGGAGAATGTTTCGGAGAGTCTGTTGGTGTTTCTATATGCGATTGGCAAGAGTTGGAAGGGATGATGCAATTGCACCAGAGCAGGGTATCAAGTGATTTAAACGACGAAAAATAGGAATTGCAATTCTAACAAGAAATGAGTAAAGAAAGGAATAGCAAAAGATCAATAAGAAAGAAGAAAATAAAAAAGAATAAGAACTAGGAAAAGATGTCCATCGTCTCCATTTCTATCGCATCGGATGGATGTGGTTGCTCGCAATAAAGCACCCCGAAGCCGCGCTCGGCGGGGTAAATTTCACTATAGCGCGGGGGACTTTTTTTTTTCGGAGCCGACGTGGGGTTACAATTGCGCCCTCTCTATATTTTCTTTCTTCAGTTCCTATCAGCCTATGTAAGTTGAGTAATTCTGGTTTTTTTTTTTGGTGATCATTCAAATTAACGAGGAACTAATATTCGCATGGCTCATTACTAACTTACTCATGGATAACGATAGGTGCTCTAGCAGGTAAATTATTATGGCTTTGAGACGCCGTCGTGGGAGTTACATCTCCAAGTCGAAGCAAGCAATTTTCCGTATTGGGCAGCCCGCGCCGGGGACTGAGACCCATAGCATGGAAGAGACAGCCGGTGGCGGATCTCCCCAGAAGGCGGCTATTAGAATGGCCGTAGTGACATTTCTGTGATGCGGAGAAACTTGTATTACTTCCGAAGGCTGCAATGTGAACTTGTTGAGCATCAGATTGTCATAATCTGGGGGTTTGCCAAATAGAAAAATTATCCCGGAAACTTTCAAGTCTGTCCAAACGTAGTGTACGTCAGCATCAAGCAGAGTCATTATGTGACATTATAGTTCTTCGACACTGCCCATTGGCAATGGTTAGAGCGCTGATAGCCTTATCTATCTACGTTCGAATTTTGGGGGTCGGCGAAATCGGAGAGGATGCGGTGAATTTGCTGTAATGAAATGTGGAAGAATTACAGTGAATTGATCATCTCACTTACAGCACATAGGACGATTCTCCCAAGCGCGCAACTCAAGACAAAATATGTACAAACTATACCTGAATGGAGACTTTTATTCAAATAAACGTCCGTTTCAAAGCCTAGAGCCAATATATGTCGTCAATCTGTCGCTCTAAGCTGAGAATGCATTAAAAAGCGTCTCCAACTATCAAATCTATATTCGATATTCAAGTATCTAAAGCAAACGCCAGCCAGTGTCATGTCTCTCAAATCCCAGAAAACACGCTTCTATTACTCCCAAAAAATCGCCTCATTAATTCAACCGCTTGCTTTTACATCCTCCTCTTGGTACATATCTTCTTCATCCATCCTGCCATTAAGATTGAGCGTAAAGTGCCATATATGCGAAACTCTCCATGCTACAGTTAAGCATTGTATGCATAATATGACATTGCACATCAGTTTATCGTACGGGCGCTGAAAGACGTCCCCTTCGTTCAATCCGTGAAAGACAATGCTGACACGCCTCAGAAGTCCCAGGGCCCAAATACTTGTGTCATCCAATTGATGTCACCAAAGTCTGGAGGCAATTCGGGATCTGGCATCATAGAGTGGTCGACTAGCAAAGTATGCTGCGGCGCGGTGCCTGGAACAACTTGGCTGCTTGGCGTTGGGAGCCCCCCTAGGTTCTGTGAAATGGCTGGTTCCCAGCTTGAGCGCACATTGCGAAGGACCTTTGTGCACTTCCCAAAAATCGATACATCCTCCGGTCCGCCTCTCAGGGGATAAAGCGCATCCGCCTTGGTAAACAGGTCGATGGTCCTGTCCAGATACGTACTGAGGTCTGCCGTACTGCGCATAATCTCCTTGTCCCAGGCAGGGTCATCAATGGTCGTGAGCCTGTATAGCAGAGCGTGTATCTGCGCAAGCTCTATATACAAGGAGAATGGCATGCCCACGAAATCCGTAAGTGGCACGAGAAACAAGGTATCGTACCAGGCCCGAGCAGCGAGGAGGCCCGCGTACATGGAGTCGATACGCGGTGAGTCTGGGATTTTTGTCCCGCCAAAGAGGCCAATGGAGTGGATTTGAGTTTCGGTGCTGTAAATGTGCAATTGTATCACCGCTGTTCAATGTTGTAAGCACAACTCTGTGTTGTCTCGCAGATATTATGAAAGGCTGATTGACTTACCCTTGGACATTGCCCCAGGCGGCAAAGTTTCGCGGATCTTCTGAAGCTGGCAAAGAAGATTTCTCTTGAATACGTACGTGGGAGCTTTATCGGGATCGAGTCTGCCAAAATCACGCCCGACGAAATCGCTTACAATGAGCTTTCTTGCTTCTTCTCCAACGAGCTGGAGTTTCACCAGTGCGACCAGGGTTTCGTCTGATGGATATTCCTTCTCACTCTCCAATAACTCCAGCGACTCTTGCATATGCATCGTCCAAGCCAGTGGCTCCATCTTACCAAGGAAAGCCGCGCATCTGGTGAACATTGGTTAAAACCCTGGTTTCGCAATGCAAAGAGGGAGCATAGCAGTGGCACCACTTACACTGATGTGATGAACCAGAAGCCAAGCACGAGCCTCCGTTCTTCCATTGTCCGGTTTTTAGGCTGGCAGTTTGATGATTTGCTTCCCCAGGCTTTGAAGCAGACTGTCGAGTATTGCTCTTCGTTGGGAAATCTGGTGAGACTCAATTCGTAGATGATGCAGCTACATATATGCGAATACAAGGTAAGAAAGGGCTTGTTCGCAGCACCAGCATTCATGGCCGCCCTAAGAAGTCGGTCAATTAGCATTATGGACCCAGCAGCCACTTATATTAGTCGATTAGAAGTAAAGCTTACCATGATATCAGAGTTATCAAGCCTTGAAGTAACTCTATGCTTCGCTCGTGGCTGAGGATCATCCGTTGCGCAACTTCTTGGCGCAGCCTGTCTCTCATCATAGCCTGTTGCGGCATGGACATACTCGTGACGTTCATGATGCAGAGCCAGAGGAAAGGCGATTCCCTCTGCAGAGCTTCGGCCGTGAGATCCGGGCTTAGATGCATAAAGGGGAAAAACTCCAGCCACTGGCGAAACTTGACAAGATACACTTCGGCCTCGCTAGGAGCTGGCTCTGGAAGCCTGTCCAACAGACGCGGAGGAGGTGTGAGGTTGGAAGGGTGTGTCTGTGACTGTGATGTTGTTGCCGCGTCGGCCAGCGAGTCAAGTCGGCTTGTAAAGGGCTGGCATGTTGAAGCAGACGATACTGACGAAGGGATGTCACAGCTCGATACGCCGCTCATGGGAGGCGGCACAGGAGGCTGCTGCTGCTGCTGCTTCTGGAGGTGAACATGATGCTGCTGCTGCTGTTGTTGTGGCGGCGGTGGCGGCGGCGGTTGCGGTTGATGGGCCTCATGGTGGTGTTGATGATGCTGATGCTGTTGCTGCTGCGTCGCCCGCAGTATCGACACCAGGTCATCGAGCTTTTCCTCCAGCTGCGCGGTCCTCGAGGCCGTCGTCCTCTTGGCCACGCGCTTGCGCGACGTCACCATCTGGTGGCAGTCTTTGCCCAGGCGGTGGCAGCGGTCGCATTTGCCTCCTTCCGGCCTCAAGATGCACCGACACTTGGCGCGCGAGCAGTTGGTGCACGAGCGGCCATAGCCCGCTGGGATGCCGCCGACTGAGACAGAGTCTGGCGGAGGCGGCGCCGGGGCCATTGTCTCGTGTGGGATGCGAAGCGAAGCGATTGTCTGCCGAAGCTGATTGTCCAAACCCGATCGACGCAGGTTTCCTGCAGTGGTGAGTTGGAGTCGCGCAGCCGGGATTGGGACTCCCTATTCCGGCGAGGTTGGCGGTTGAAACTGTCGCGTTGGCTGATCAGTCAGGGACTCTAGGCGACGGGGTTCGAGGGAGCTCTTGTCGCTGCCGGGGTGGCTGAATCAGCACATGAACGGGGTGCCGGGTATAGCGGACAATCCGAACTCCGAGAGTGCGACTGGATCGTTGTGAATGCCGAGCGAGTATCGCTAGGCAATGATGTGGATGGATCAAAGGCTGGCCTGTCGTGGAGATGCTTAAAAAGTGCCAGTCAATTGACAAGATCCGGAAGATCGGTTCGATTCGATACGAAGTCTTCATTGGCTGCATAACTTGACCTCAAAAGGAGATTGAGGCTGTGCTTCGTCTCATCGTATTATTGCCAGCGTATCTGCCATTGCTGTAGACCTGCCCAGGTGGGGCCTGGCAACGAGACGCGCCATTGCAGCCTGGCCCAAATCAGACTCTTTGATGGACGATTTGTGATGAGTTAACCTGCAGGCTTTGGTCATTGGGCCATACGTCAAGCTGTTCTAAGCTTTGTGCTACCTTGTTTGCTGTCATATAGGTAGTTACAAAGCAAGCGTCGCGCCAGGCTGAGGGGCTATTTGAGACGACGTCGCTGTGTAGAAAGCATATACTGCAAACTCCATTGTAAGCAGCGTGATTATATAAATGAAAAAGAAGAAAAGGCTCAAAAAGCCAAAAGCTATCAATCAATTGATTTGAATGAATTCACTCCGCTCAACAGCTAATTTGTGTCCAAGTAAAAAGCTGCTGCCGCTGCCATAGCTCTAATCGGCAAATCGTTTTCGCCGCCGACAACCGGCACGTCAAACTATTATCCGAAGCTAGCCATTGAGACAGCCTGAACCCCAGACAGTTGTCTTGATAGTGGCATTCCGCCGTCTCGATTCCCAGCTCAACAACAGCCAAACGCCAATCGTCGCTCACAAAATGGCTGCCGCCGGTCTCGTCGCAGTCGAGACGCTGCCTCGATTCTTGCTCCCGCGCATCAGCTGGACTGCGCCGCTCTCAGCATCCCGAACCGCTGCAGCCCAATCGTTCGCTGCGTTTCAACCGAACCAGCGAAAGTCAATTTACAGCTCAGTGCCTGCTTTCAACACAGGCTTCCTGACGAGGCGGTGCAATGGTAGCCAAGCGCCAGCCTTGCGAAGAGGATTCCATGCGACTTCTCGGCAATACCGCGAGCATCACTTTGATACGCTCAAGTTTGTCCAGCGGCTGAAGGATGAGGGCTTTACGGATGAGCAGTCCGTTGCCATGATGAAGGTCCTCAACGATGTCATCCAAGAGAGGTTCGTATCCATGACACAGGCTAATGTACTTGAAAACTATCTGTTCTAATATGACACCTAACGCAGCATCCAAAACCTCACACGAACCATGGTGCTCCGCGAAGACGCCGCCAGAACCACCTACACCCAAAAGGTAGACTTTGCCAAACTGCGCTCCGAACTCTCATCCGCGGACAGCACCGAGTCCAACGCAACGCGCAACGCGCACGAGCGCCTCACCAACGACATTGCAAAGCTCAGCAGCCGGCTGCGCGACGAGATTGGCCGGACGCAGGCGAGCGTGCGGCTTGACCTCAACCTGGAAAAGGGGCGCATTCGAGAAGAGGCTGTCGGGCAGGAGCTCAAGATTAAGGAGACGGAGACCAAGATTGAGCAGGAGGTGGCGGCTTTGAGGGAGAAGCTGGAGCAGGTCAAGTTCCAGACGCTGCAGTGGTTGATGGGTGTGTGCACCGGTTTCGCGGCACTGCTGCTTGGTGCTTGGAGATTGCTCATGTAACGGAGCAAAAGTGTTTGCGTTGGATGGGAAAACTGTTGGGATAGAAATTGCATTTCACATATGAATGCCTGCACGTTATTTAGCTGATGATCCAAATTAGAACTGACACAGATATTGTCATTCTCGTTCGCTACTAATATGCTACATGACTGTCAATCTCATTCTGCTACTTCTTACACCATCCTACCATGGCTATATAGGCGTTCATTGGTCAAATTGATCCCTAACATCAGTCAGCCCAAACACGACAACTGCACTTACACTTGGCCTACATGCCTTAAGGCTCCCTGCCTCGTGGTCTCTCCAAATGCATCCCTTGCACCAGCGCTTGCTTGGAAGTCGCCCTGCTTGGTGCCTTCGAGGCCAAACTGTTTCATTCCACTGTGGGAAGTGTCGGAGAAGGTCGAGTCTTGGCCCGTTGGATCCGTGTCCTCTTTCAAGATGGCATGGCCTCCCTGGAGGACGTGGTCGCCATGCATTTGCTCAGAATGCGCGGCAGCGGCAGCTCTGTTCATGTTCATGGCGAGAGTTGATACACGAAGTCTTTGATTTATCTCTCTGGAATGCCGAGACTTGAGTGATGGTGCTATTAGCAGATCACAACGAGCCACAGCGTACGATGTGTACTGGCTCGTGCCGCCTTTTATACGAGACGGGCGGTTTAGCTTCGCCCATGACAACACAGTGACGAATTGAAGGATTGAGTCGGTATGAGGTGGGATACTGTGCTTGTTTATATTTTTGTGGCCATGTTGGCCGTGTGAAGTCACTCTTGGACTGTTGGAGTTGGAGACTGTGCGCCGTAGTGGCTGCTTAGAAGCCAAAAATAAAGTAGAAAGGGAATGGCATGAAGCTTAACCGCTAGGATATCTACTTAGATGTAAGCTCAGCATGTAAGGTAAATAATTGGCCTGATACATTGCATAGTAGGGGCTCTATATTGGTGGACATACACAACTTGGTACTGCCGCTTGGAGAGAAGTAGCAGAGAATACTCAATTTCCATCTCACCTTCCTTTAAATGGGATACACCTGTTATAGTTGACAACATTTTGCCAAGCCCAACATTCAGGACACTTTCGTCCGTCTTCATCTACACAGCTTATTTATCAGCATTCTCAATTGTCAGGCATAGCACTTTACCCAAATCACCTGCATGTGTCCGATGAAAGCCTCAAATGGACGGCCACCACTCGCCCTGGAATTCTGATCAAGTTCTCGTTGCTTCCGACGAAGATTCCGACCTATCACTGCAAGTTAAAGCATCATTTTCCGGCTCCGAATACAGTCAAGGTTCTTCTGAGCAAGATTTCGGCCCTGTGTCATCGCTACACTTTAGTGGCAGAATTATATCTGCCACGTTTACCATTCCATATAGACTGCAAGCTCGAAAAGGAAGAGACGACTGGGTACGCATGCTTCGACTTTCTCTTCCTTCGCTGTCCTGCCAGCTAGGAATCACTACACCCCGGATTTCGAGAGCTGACCCGAGTAGCGAGTAGATCTCTGCAACCGCCATGATCATTCGGTTCAGTTTGACGTCTTGAGTCATCTCTCATCTCCAGATTCTCCTTGGGATCACACCATCGTGGGCTGGACTGGGGAAGTAGAGTTTTCTAAAACAGCTGATAGTGGTGAAGACACGAAAGGCCTGGGCAGTACAGCCGAAGTAATTGAGTATTATGAAACATCTGGCAGTGATGGTGTCACGAAAGGCCTGCGCAGTGCAACCGAAGCAGTTGAGTACTATGAAACATCGGGCAGTGATGAAGACTCGATGACCTTGGAGAGTATACCCGGAGAAGATGAGTGTCCTAAAACATCTGGCAGTGACGGAGACGAAGGACTCATCGACTACTGCACCAAAGAAGGACTTGAACGGCAGCTGTACCATGCTGGGCTGAAAACAGTGCCAATCTAGTTGGCGGCCTTGTCGGAATTTTCAGCAGATGGAATCTTCTTGAGGAGGCAAAGGAGATGGAGGCGGCTTACTGATAACGTCCTCCGCCCATCTTTCCTCGGCGACAAAGTTTCGTCAACTGTTTTCGAGTCTGAGGACATATGGCGCGACTATTACTTCATGATGGAGTGCTTTCTCGACAAAATCCACGAAATATACACGCCGGGAGATGTAATCATGGTTCACGACTATCATCTGATGATGCTGCCTCGCCTTCTTCGACAACGCTTGCCGGACGCACATGTCGCATTTTCTATGCACACTCCCTGCCGTCATATACTTGAAACGCCAGGGCGGCTCGGAGAGTTCCTTGAAGGTATCCTTGGATCGAATATCGCCACTTTTCTGGAGCCCGAAGACGCGGTGGATTTTGGAAGCTGGTGTGTACAGAACTCCTTTGATCGGCCATCATACTGGGCAACTCGAGCTATGGATTCATGCACCAGTGTTCCAATGGGCATCGATGTATCCGGCATCTTATCAGTTGCACAAAGCGAAGCAGTTAGCGAACGGTGCGAGACTGTAAGAAGAGCTTTCGAAGCCAGAGCGCTTGTCTTGTCGTACGGCACGCCTGGCAGCAAGATGGAGATGGAAGAAGTATCGAGAGGATATTCTCAATTGCTGAAACAGGCGCCCTGGTGGGAGGGATGCGCCATCTTTTTAGAAGTAAGATGCACATCTAGGGCTGGCGATTCCCCTGAACAGTACAGCATCTTTGATGACATAATGGACTCAAGCGACACTGTGGCTATACGGTGTGAAGGTCCTGTTTCAGAGCTTGATTTCCATGCTCTGGTACGATGCAGCGATGCCGCCATTTTCTCCTTTGCTCCCGGCGGTCCCATGACAGCAGCCCTGGAGTATTTTGTTTGCCAGCCGAGAGGCGAGAAACGTCCCATCGTCTCAGATTTGAACCCGATAGGCTATCAGGTTCCAGGCATGATCCAATATCGCCAGGGAGATTATGACAGCATCGCGAGGACAATCGACTATACCTTGCAGCTCCCTGGCGGGCTATGGATGGGGAACCCTGGGACCCCTCGCCTCGAAGACTACGATGTGGGAATCTTCAACACTGCGGAGTGGTGGGCAAAAGTTGTCTTGCGCCATCTCATGAAGAACCTGGTGCGTGGCTGTAGGTCGGCAGGCACTTACGATACCGACGTGCGCGGCTCACGCTCACCTGAGGCCTTTGCCGGAGCCTAGGATGGCGATGAGCAACTGCGCAGTGAAGACGGAAGAAGCCCAGCAGGCGATGGTGAAGGAGACAGAGAAGAAGGGGATACAGAACTCGAGAGTTTTGAAGATGGTATATCGACGCCAGTTGAGAGGCTCAGGACACGCTCAGTGGAAGTGGAAAGATTGCGTGCGGAATCTTTAAGAGAAGCGTAGGCGAGAAAGATGCATCAGTGTGATTATGCTTTGCTTCATTTAGCTGGCTGGTACGTTACAGTATCGGCACCGAGTGGAAGTGCGAGATCCGCGTCCCGGGAAAGCGAGAAACAAATTAAATGATAATAAGATTAATAATAAACATGTCTCAATCGTCATCTCTAATTGATTGCCATGTAACCTCCAGATTCCCGACAAAGTCCAGGGTAGCATCCAAATCCCCCGCGATCCCAAAGCCAAACCCTTGTAATAAAACCCGTGCAGTTCACGTCACAAGATCTCGCAACCACACGAGCCCCTCCAAAAAGAGCCTTACCCTTTTAACAAAACCTCTCATAGGCTCATCCTATCAGCCGACAGCCTTTGACCACGATCATCATCTCGCTGGTCCCGTGAGGAATCGGCCGCGTGGGGTTACATCATGGCAGAAGTAAAAAGGATTGTGTTTTTGGGGGCCAGGTGAGCCTTGTGTTATGCAGGAAGCAGGGTGTAGGCATCTGAACGGGCGCTGCGGGTTGGAGAGTTTTGATGTGTGATGTGACGAGATTGATGCCTGGAGGGCTTTTGTTTCTTCTTAAATGTTTGAGTCATTGGGTTTGATTATATATTTGGTGTTGTATTGGCTTTATAGTTGATTTCGGCGTTTATATATCGTTTGTTTGTTATGGATTTGTCTACGACTTACACGAGCTGACGTGCTATTTTACTCTATACTCGACATCAACTCATTCCATCTAAACACACTCGTTCAAGTCTGTCCTTCATGGACCCGAACCACCCCTTCATCGCCTCCTGGACCGCCACGCCCATCCCCAACCTCTCCCTCTCAGCAGGCGGCCTGCTCGCCCTCGCGGACCTCAACACCATCGCCCAGCGCACCGCCATTGCCGGCGGCTCTTCATGGCTCGACGCATTTGTCCTCGCGCCGGGTCTGCACTACCAACAGGCGGCGGACCTCCTAACGCCCGAATATGGCGCCGGCAGGCCGGTGCTGTCGATGGCGCTGGATGGCGGGAAACGCTATATTGTCAACAACGTGGCCATGGTCAAGTACCTGCGGAGGCTGTGGGAGCGGCAGGGCAAGTATGGCGTCGTGACGCTGTATGTGGAAATGGAGCCGAATGAAGGGTTTGGCGGGAGCGTGTTGACGTTTGCGTCGTCGCTGTCGTTGTTGTTGGGGCATGAGGGTGCTGGGAAGAAGGATAATACGAGGAGGAGGTGGCAGAGGAGGCAGCAACGGGGGCTGAAGAAGCTGCGGGAGATTGATCATGACAGCCATGTGAGGGAGGTGCTGGAGATGGACTGGGTGAGCCATGTGCTGTATCTGCTGAGCCCGCTGCTGACGGTGTCGGCGATTGTGTTTATGGTGTTGCTGCAGGACTGGTGGGGGTTGGGCTTCATTATTGCGCTCATGGTCTCGCGGCTGGCGAATATCTGGGCCATCAAGGAGCGTGCGCGACCTGATGCTACGCCGCCGGCGCCTCTTACGCCCGTGCCTTCTCCTGCAAAGGACGTGCCTGTCGTGACATCGCCTGAACCGACTGCGGTGGCGGGCTCAAAGAACTCCCTGCCGCTGCCTTTTGCGCTCAAGAGGGAAGACACGGGCATGACGGAGTACACCATCGACTGGGGCCAGAACCGACGCGTCGTGCTCAAGGGCCTGGATGCGGATTTACGCGCCGTGACGACAGAGACGTGGCTGCGAGCCAAGACGACGCTGGAGGGATATCTCGAGGCAATGTCCAAGCTCATTGTGTACATGGTTGCTTCGCTGAGCGGTAATCTCTCGGAGGCGGGCGCCATTGTGCTCATGGCGCTGCTGCTCGTGAGTGCGGGTCTTCTGGGCTTGAGCAATGCTCACTCGACGAGTTTGCAGATGCATGGAAGGCGGGTGGGCAGGTTGAAGGTGGAAAAAGTGCAGATTGCGCCGCTGGATCCGAGGTTGGCGGTGGATGGGCAGATAGATGCGGCGCCGGATGGGATCCCCGTTCACATTGTACCAGTACCTAGTCAGTGATTAAGATTGGAGGTAGATTCTTTTATTTTATCTTGTAGCGAGGAGTTGTTGTAACTGGGTTAGATTTATAGACATGCGTATGAAAGAAGACTTGCAATTTTTTTCTCGGCTCCAGGTATATTGTATTCCTTGTTTTATAAACGCTCGTACTGCGATAGGTGTAACTCATGTACTCCATCATAACAAAACATAATTCGATAAAGTATAACGCATGAAGAGAAAACAAATTGAAACGTATCCCAACAAATTCTCCGGACTGCTCTGTGTCTGTAAAGTAATGCGCCAATGCCACTGACCCGGTGAAGAGAAACAACACCATATATATAAGTGAATCTGACTGTGCGCATAAAGGGTGTCGTATCTAATGGTGTCAAGCCACCAAGCCAACTTATGCGTCGGCCGGCGGGTCTGCTTTTTCTTCTTGTCCTTCTTCAGCGAGAGGTTCTGATTTCACTGGCGGAGTCACGTCTTCCATAGGCTGATCTTCCGGCACAGTTTCAGGCTCTAGTTCAGGCGCAGATTCCGGTTCGTGTTTCAACTCTGGCTCGGGTTCTGGCTTTGACTCTGGCTCTGACTCGGCTTTGGACTCTGGCTCCGGGGTAGGTTCTTCTTCTGGTTTTGATTCCTGCTCTGGCTCAGGCAGCGTCTCTGGCTGCGGGATGTTGTGCGTGGCCTCCTCTTCAGTGACAGGCGGTGCGGCCTCGGCTTCAGGCTCGGCTTCAGGCTCGGCTTCAGGCTCAGCTTCAGGCTCAACTGGAAGCTCATCTGCAGGCTCGATTTCTGGTTCAGCTTCTGGTTCAGCTTCTGGTTCAGCTTCTGGTTCAGCTTCTGGTTCAGCTTCTGGTTCAGCTTCTGGTTCAGCTTCTGGTTCAGCTTCTGGTTCAGCTTCTGGTTCAGCTTCTGGTTCAGCTTCAGGCTCAGCTTCAGGTTCAGCTTCAGGCTCAGCTTCAGGCTCAGCTTCAACTTCAGGTTCATCAACGTCAGGTAGCGTCGTATCAACAGGACTCTCAGGTTTAGCCTCGGCGGCGGACGTGGTGTCGGGCTTGACAACTTCTTCCAACAGCTGTGACGCAGCTGCCTGGCGATCAAGTTCTCCCATCAGACCTCCAAGCAGATCCGGCTCGTCCTCTTGGACCATAGGAGCATTGTCCCCTGCTTCAGGAGCAGCCACCTGCGGCTCAGTTGAATCAGCCCTTGTGCTTGCAGGAGCAGCTTCTTCCTTTCCATCCTCTACCGATGCGTTTCCAATTTCCGAAGGTGCCTCGGATCCAGGCAAAGGAGCTGTTACTGAGACTGAGTCCTCCGGCTTGATGGTATCCTCGGTCATTGTAGACAGCTGATGCATTATCATCGGTCTTTGAACGCTGACATCGGGTTGGACGCTGGTTTGGCCCTTGGAGGCTTCATCAGAGACTCGGAAGCTTTCATCCTCAGCCCTCGGGCTTGAGATATTGCCTACTTGATCGGGAGGAGGCAAGGCTTCTTTTTCGACGGGTCTTTCAAGGGCTCTTTCAAGGGTAGCTTCATCATGCGGAATATCTCGCTCAATAGCCTCCAGAGGGGCTTCTCCAACGATTGTTGAAGGTGGCTCAGCGATGAGAGAGTCGGCCGTGTTGTCAACACCAGGCAAATCCAGGAAGGGCTGAGCAATTGCGGCCTCGGGCTCGGTGCTCACCGATGGCGCAGATGGAGAGGGCACAATGACGGCATTCCTAGGAGGTGTGTCTTCGTGCTTGATTGGCAGAGAAAGAGGGTTTTCCGGGGGTAGTTCGAGCGTAGGATTTGCTGGCTTGGGAGGCGAGGGCTCTCTTGGTGCTGGCTCTTCTGGCGCTGGCTGTTCATCCTTCATCTCAGTATCAGGGTTCTCAAGTATGTGAGACGCATCGATCATCTCTTCATCGTGATCCCTGGGAGCTTCTAGGATGGATTCATCGACAAAACCAGTTTCATCGCCTTCGCCTTCTTCTCCATCTTCGCCTTCGTCACCGTCGTCGCCCTCTTCATCATCATCCTCCTCTTCATCACCGTCGCCTTCTCCATCGCCAATTTCACTGTCCACATTCGGAGGCGCGTTTTCGTTTTGCACAAGTGTCTGCATTCCAAAGATTAGCTTTAAATTGACGCAGCAGCTGTTTAGCGAAACACTTACGACTCCTCCATTGCCTTCAGTCTTGACTGCTGCTGCGACTCCAGCCGCTGCAGGCACACTTCTGGCCGCCTGCTGATCTGCAGAGGGCTGCTGTTTTGACTTCTTCTTGCCTCGCCCAGGCCCAGCCTTTGCTTTTCTCTTGGGTGGCGGCGGCCTCCTTCTGGCTGCTGCCTGTGACATGGCCGCATAGGTATCTGGCTGCGCCGCGGGAATGGCCTCGACCCTGGTTGATATGACTTCACCATCTACCCGTTGGCCGTCAGACAGAGTAACTTCCTCCGTGTATGGGTTTCCGGCTGCATCCATCCGCCGGACTGTAGCCCTGGTCACCGTCGGTCCTTGGACTTTCTCCTCTATCGTTCGGCTAGCTGTGGTGACGGTGTTCTTTCTACGCTTAGCGAGATGCGAAATCTCCGGTGCCTCGACGTTCTTCGGCAGCTGCTTCCAAACCCTGATCTGGTAACCCTGCGCGCTTGTATCCTCCTCTTTCTTCTCGAGTTTGTCCTGCATACTGGTCTCGTTATCCGCCTCCTCATCCTCGTTTGGGTGCGGGCGCTTGTATAGCCGGCCGGAACGCGCAGCGCGCAGAAGCTCTTGCGTGTGCGGCGGCAGCAGTGTCGCATCTTTGGGCATGCCGTGGATGAGCTCGATGGCCCAGATGTCGTTTTGCTGCTGCTGCTCCTGCTGCACCGGAGGCGCGACGTTGACCCATTCCGGTCGCCATTGACGGACGGGAAGACCTGTGATAATCAGCCGCTGTCGCGTGATAGTTGAATGCGCAATATCGGCAAACCTTCAAAATCGTCGTGCTCGGCGTAGCCGCTGCGGCCAGCGCGTCTTGTCTAGAAGATCCTGTCAGCCGAGAGTGTCGCGCAGTCTTGATCGCGACGAAAACGTACTCCTGGCGCCATTGCGCCTGCACGGATTGCTGCAGAAAGCGGCCTCGCTTGTTACGGAGCAGCGCGGGACTCAGCGCGATGGCAGGGCAGATGCTCAATTCGTGCGTTCTGCGATGCACCTAGAACGAGGATCGTCTGATACGCTGCAATGTCTAGGACGAATCAATTGACGACCGGGACACGACCCGGATGTTGACTGGCGAAAACGATGCGCCTGCAGCCAATTAGAGATGCTGTAGAATGATGACATAAGCGTGCCGTAGTGCGCCTTCTGCAGATTGCAGCGCATAAAAGATTGCTAGAGTAAGGAATGCTGAGAATGGCTTTGCCTTGCTGTTACAGACCATTCTGAAATTGAGGGCAATTGACTATGGAAGATATATCAACTCGGTGTTAACATGCTTGAATTGCTTAATCAAGTAGTTTAAAGTTGGGCAATTCAAGTTCAAACGGTATTCAGCCTCTCGAGATGGAGCACTCATAAGTACATGCATGTATCATCTCTGGCACTCTACTAGGCTTCTGTGATCGCTGTAGTAATAGCAGGCGAGTGCCTAACTGAGTGCTGGCGCGCAGCAATCATGATGCAATTCCAGCGCAATTCGATCTCATCAGATCTCCTCAATTGACGCCCCGTAGGGCCGAGGTATCGAGCTCGTAGAGACAATATACATATAATTAGAAACCTACCCCATTGGGCATATTAGGACACCGCCGAGTTGTCGCAACCAGAATTGAGATTTGTTGTAGTGTAGTAGTCTAATATTTGTTTCATAACGATCCCGCAATACTCCCAAACCAAGCCGAAAAGTCGTCTCTCGATATTCCAGTGGTATATGTATGATGTACAAGCCCATTGCCACCCTACTGTACAGCTATCATTCCGCCCGTGATTATTTTCGTCGTTAATGCATGCGTCCTTTGCGTAATTAGTCATGCCTATGCATATATCTGTTAGCGATTTCGGCAGTTTCCAAGGTTCAAGGCGTGTAGACTCACCCTGTGTCTTTTTGCCTCAATATCTCTCCTGATTGACCGGTTTCTTTGCCCTGTTACTAAAGTTAGCGTTTGGATCATTGCAAGCCTCAGAAAGGAAGCTTTATACCGATTGTCCTCCCTCCACTACTAATCGATCCATCTTGTAGAACTGTCCAATGATTGTTTGTCGCTGTCATGGGCCGTCAGTACCTTGCTCGTGAGAAGAAACGCTAGAGAGCAGCCTCATCTCATACCTTCATCGCCTGGAGTTCCTTCAACCCCTTCTGGATCAGCTCTTGGATCTGGCGCGAATCTTGTACCGCAACATTTTCTCGGAAAGCATCTCGGGTCCGTCGCCTCGCATATTCGCGGAAATTGTAGGAGTTGAATTCTTTGCTCTGGCGCAATAACTGTCGATACTAAAATGAAAACCCCAGTCAGCTTGAGTATGCATCAAGGTTCAAGACATGTCCAAAGCTTGAAAGCGTCCATATTGCTGTTTTCATGCGTCCCCCACCATGGCAATATGTAGTCTCGCCGAGGCAGCTGCCCTTGTTTCGTTTTCGCATCGGGAGAAACCGACTTACCAGTGATCGCGTCTGCTGTGGTAAGTCACCCCGTAAGGTGCCGATTAAAGACATTTTGTGGTGATAATGTGGTGATGTGCTGTTGCCGATTGCAAGTATGGGCGTTCATTCCGCATACACCAAACATTGATAATGACGGCGGGCAGTTCGGTGTTAGTCGGGCCGGAGAAATCCCTGCTCCGAACGGGAGCCCCGTCCGAGCTTTGCCCGGCGAATTTCATGTTAGAGTCGCCCGCTTATAGCTTTGGACCGAGTCGATGCTGCTGCTGTCTCCGAACAGCCGAAGGCATCCGGTATATTCAGCTTGGCCGTCTGATTCAGGGCCTTGGGCTACCGTGTACTACTTGAGTTGGATTCGGTATTAGCGTTGATGTTGAAAATGCCTGTAATACGTTTAACATGAACCTGAGCAGCTGTCATCCGTGCACAGCAGGCAAATAAACTACGAGGTTTGCCCCTATGCGCAGGCAAATAGCGTGGCAAATGGATCACGTTTTCATAGTGATATAGTCGTTTGGACGCAGTAAGAGTGATATCTACAAGAAAAAAGGCTGCTTGTTCCTTATTCCCGCGATGATGGCATATTATTTTGTGCACTTTGAGTCAGAAACCGTCTGACGCTCTATATAAAATAGGATGTAATGCAAGCATTTTCGCCTCTTTGGCAAGACTATTACACAGCCTCGGGGTATGATCTCTATTGACGCATGATAAATTTTAAAAGTCCCTCCAATCCATTACTTTCTGGCAGGTCATGAGCTGGATCCTCCAGATGCAGCAAACGATGCCAAGGCTTGCGCAATGGTTTCAGATGAAAAGCCGTTGCCACTAAGCATCTGGTTGAATCTCGTATCGTGGTTCAAGTCTCCCTCCAACTGAGTCGTTAGAGTGTACTGTCTCTGCGATTGGTTTGGTTTCACGACTGTGACAGCTTGAGTATGCTTCTCTTCTGAAAGGAAAGGTGCAAAAGCCACATTGGTGACAGATGCGTTGAGATTTGCCAATTCAGCAGGATGGCTGTTGTCAACGAGATTCCATTTAAGAATCTTGCCCTTGACATGGCCTGTAATGATGGAAGTACCGCCATGGCTTACTGCCAAGCAAGAGGCAGGTCCTACATCTTCGTCGGCCACTCCCAGTGGAGAGTTGATCTGCATAACGATAGATGCTAGCTCAGCACTGCGGGATCCCAAAAGGGGCTTGTCGCCAAACAGTTCAACAAGGTACAGGCTGGCATCTTCAGAAGAAATATAGAGGGTTCGAGCACAAGGATCCAAAGAGATGCAGAGAGGAGCCGTGGGAAACAACAGCGTCCGCAGGACCTGGCCTGACTGGTAGTTCCATAGAATGCAGGTCTTATCCTTGCTTGCAGATACGCAGAGACTCGTCTCCGAGTTGGAGCCTGGACCCAGCACAAGGTCGACGACGGCAGCTCGGTGGTTGGACAGGGTCCTATCAGGCTCATGACCAATGTCCTGCCCAGCCTCTAGAAGACGTGGCAGGGACCACACGTTGATATTAGAATCATCCGAGGCTGACAACACGTGGTTAGGAGATACGGCAATGCAGCTAACGGCCTGCACATGGCATGGAGGCGTTGTGATTTGCCGCCCTGTACAAGTCTAGACTGCCATGTTAGTATATCTGACATGGACAGGCGAGCACCCTGGCATTTCTCTGTGTGAAAAATGACTAGACTATTGAACCAAAAGCAAAGAGAAAGCAGAAAATGAGGAGATGAAACATACTTCCCAAAGTATTAACCGCCCCTCCGCAGTTCCCAGAATAAGAACGTCCCCAGCGAGAGCGAGGCATCTTATTCTTTCCTGAAAAGGAACAAGAGCCTCTTGGTTCCCCCGGCTTCGAGAATAGACATGAACATGAGCTTTCTGATCTTGGGCAGCAAACACATGAGAGTCGCTTATAGCTAAACAGTGGACTGGTGCCGAGCTCTTCTTGAAGGATGATTTGATAGCCCACGTGGGTGATAATGTGTGTGCGTAGATGCCAACGTCTTTTGATATCGCCGTGTTGGCAGCTATGGGTGGCCCGCACACTGAAGAGAAGAGCTCGTCCGATAGCATGGCGACTGGGATGCCTTCCAGATGACTAGACCTTGAAAAAGTGGCGTTTTTTGGCAGTTGAAATCCGGATTGTTTCTCTGTAGTCCAGGCCTAGACTGATACCAATCCTGCGCTGAAACTGAGATCACCAATGGCAGCCCAAGAGTTGACAAAGAGAAGCTAATGCCAATGGCCTGCCCACTAGGAATTCAGCTGTAGATGCGAAATTCGGATATCGTTTGCCCCTAGCAGCTTTGCGTCTGGTCGCGTGGTTGCGGTATGAGTTTCCTGTCAATCTCACGGTCCAGCTTCAAAAAGCAAAGAAAAAACTAGCCGTTGGAAGAAATTCGTGAAATTTGGCGTCTAGCTGGAAATGTACGGTGACCCGCTATCTGGGGCACCAAACTCCAGCCGCAGCCCATCGGATCCAGGCCTTTTCAGCGCCTCTGGGTCCCTCTGATGCCGCCTGCTAGCGCCCCTTGGCGGGCCTCTAGCCACCAGCGTCCGATCATCTGCAGGCGACTTATCTGATTAGTAGGCCTGGCTAAGCCCATCCTGGCTCGTCCTGCTTTGCGCCTCTCGCCTGCCACAAGCTATTGCGTTCTCAACCTCATCTCCTCTGCTCCTCTGTCTGCGATTCGGCGTCTCACCGACCCTCCAAGATGCATATGCGAGTACGATGTACGAGCCCAGCTGCTCCAGGCCGCGCCCTGCATATCGCCACAGCGACTATCAGCTGCCAGCTCATCATTTGTGTCCCTTGCGTCGAGATGACTGGCTCCTAGTGGCTTGTCTCGCCCTTGGCCCATAATGACCTTCCGAGCCGCAGCATCGTGCACCTAATCTAAATCCAAGTTGGATCTGCGGGGTCTCCGGATATGTCATGCTCAACTTCCGCTCAGCTCGTTGTCGCTGCCCAGAGCGCGGCCATGTGGTGGTGGATGCCCCGAGACTCCGCAGCACTGCAGCTCCTCTATGCCGGTTCAAGGAGGTGATGATACTGGTCTGATGCTTCAACGTGATGGTTTGCATATGCTCGTTGATACTCGGGTCTGGAATTTCCACAGCGAGAGGCTGATGGGCCGTCATTGCAAGGTCTTCGGGGGGCACGGGATACGATGCGGACCCAGCCACTCGCCTGTCGAGACCGTGGCTCTCATTAATTACCTTTTCTTTTCTTTTTTCTTGCATGCGGCCAACAACAGACCCAGAGTGCAGGGGCAGCATCCTCAGCCCCTCAGATGGTACGGAGTAGTGTTCTGTACCACCTAAAACCCTGGAACGAAACGGACAGAGAGCTGACTCTGGCGTAGTATTGTCTAATTCTATGGTTTCGCCCATATGTGCCGTCTACCACACGGACCTGTTGAATGTGCGTGCGCAAAGCAATTGAAGAGACAAACCGGATGCACTAACTGCTACTCGTGCTTTGGAAAGCTCCGCTCCTCACGCCACTCTCGGACCAAAAAGAAAAAAGAAATGAAAGGAGAAGAAAAGAGCAAATAGTAGAGGCCAAAAAAAAAAAAAAAAAAAGGAAAGAAGACAGCCATTCGCAAGGATATTTGTACTAATCTGCTGGGCGGCAATCTATTCGCACTACGAATACCTCGAGTAAGCAGTACTCCCTATGTGTCGCTGCGGAGCTGGAGTCACACGAAACTGTCTTGCTTTAGCTCTCTAATGAATATAACTTCCTAGCTCTTAGGAGATGATTGTCTCTTTTTAGATGGAAAACATCACTGAGCCGGAATAATTCTGATTCGTGATGTTTGCCCAGGTACAACATGCAAGCATCATTGGTACGGATCGAGGCGAGCCACATCTCCCGAAAGCATTGGCTGTCTAAGAATCTTCCGACTATCACCAAAAGAGATAGCTAGTTATTAGCTGCAGCCGCTCGCATACCACCCCTTGCAGGAAGCCCCAAAGGAGATTAAAAAGTGGCCATGATAGAATGGCATGAGTCCGTCTCGACGGCGGTGATACGCACTCTTACTCGACGCTCTTTTTGCTAACGGCCTTTTATTTGCGCATACAGTAACAAATACAGAGCAAAGAACAAGAGCTGAAGCACGGAAGATGATAAAGAAGACGGCATAAGCGAGATTTCTCGACCTGAGCTCGGTGCTAGAACGAAACAGTGGTCGAATATCGGAGTTTGTCTTGGCCAGATAGAGGCCTGGGCGTTGACCTTGACGAGTTGGAGCTTGGTGATGTCCAGCATTTTCTCTTCGCTCTCAACATCCCGTCTGCCCCTCCCTTCCACAGTCAATAATCCATAGGCTAACAATGGCCTACACTAAACTGGAGCTGCATCGTTCTTCTGGTCCGCGCCAACCCCTGAATATGGCTTTTGCTTGTGCTACTAGCCAGGGTGTAGTCACCCTTCTCAAAAGTCTCCATACTTCGGCCATCGCAATGAAGCTCCCTGCAGTACCATTTATTATACGCAGTCACCATCTGAGATATCACTTTCATGTACATATGCATGTGCTAGATCGGCCCCTCATCCGGTTGCTCAGTGCATCGGAGTTCAGTTTCTCGGCAAGTTGACTTATCTAATACCATCTGAGACGACTTTCCTATCACGAACCACTCGTTCTGCCTATCATCTCTTCTCACAAACTCTCTCAAATGCAAGAGAGTATACGTACTACTAAGTACCACTACCAGTAGTTGGACTGCCAACATCTCATCCCTTGTGTTTGACTCTGTCTGTGTCTTGCTTTTGCGACCAGTCGCTTCGTACAACAGCCTAGCCCTGAATTTCAACCACTATCACTGCTCGCCAGTCGGTATCTGAATTTAGAATCTCTGATACTGTAGATATACTACTAGCTTGTCTGTCCCTCTCATGATATAAATCTGCCATCCCCAGATTGAGACGGGATAGACGTAGCCTAAATGTCGGTTACTAGTTTACAAACAGCCACTTCGCCAACCTGTTTTCTAGAACAGTCTGCCAACAGCTCTAGGAGCGCACCGACCAAGATCACCCTGGCCAGGGCCACGCGGAGAAGAGTGTCAAGTATGAAAGGTCTGCTGCCACTTACATTATCATCGACATCGTCTTGTTCGAGCCTCAACAGTCAGCTACCTGATGAAGCTCTGGAACAGCGAGTGGATGATTACTTTCCAGAACTACTTGCCCGAGACCTGGAAATATCCAAGCCAATCTTCGAAGCCAGAAGCATGACAGCTGGACCGCCTATTTCGCCTTCTGCTCCGTCATTTAATGGCCATGCGGACAAACCAAAGGTCGCTACAGCTCCTTACCGGCCAACCTTTTCGCCATATCAGTCTGCTCATCTGCGCGTCCAGGCTCTTGGGTCTATCCAAGAGCGACATTCAATGGTATCCTTCCTTGACCAGCAAGAAAACGACAGATTAAACGACATGACATCCGATTCCTGCTCTACAACTGAAACCGACACATCATCGATATATTCTGCAGAGCCTCCCTCATTCCTGATACCGCATCTGTCCATAGACAAAAAATCATCGAAGCTGCAGTTGGCAAATCAGAAGCCACCTTCGTTAAACACATCGTCCATACCGCGATATGAGGGCTCCCGGCATGATAGCAGTTGGATCGAAGCTGATTCGGACGCGGAAGATGAGTACAGGGAAGAGGCTGGGATTTATAGCACTGCGCTTCACCTTTCACCGAGGCCGCCAACGCCGCCAGAATTCGAAGCCAGCATTGGCTCAGTTTCTGTAGGCGGAAGCACGCATAAATATCTGCATCGAAAGGCACATTCAGTCACGGGGTCCTCTGGTATCGCGCCACCACCGCCGGGGCAACACTTGAGCAACTCGATGGCACAGACGTGGCGGCCTAGCTCAACGCAGTACCCTGGACAGATGCGGTATCCCGACAGCCCAGAAAGCCTTTATCTGCCTATGCCACAACGCACCCCTTCCATACCGTCGTTACAGAGCCCGCAGTATCCACCCGAAAATGGTCTCTCCCGGCGTACAAGCAATACGTCGATCAAGAAACGGGCTGGCAGTCACGCGGCTGAGGCTGCGTCGATGACTTACGAGAGTGCTACGCCAGAGTACAATCATTTCGTGTCTTGCATCGACTCAAAACATGCGCCCAGACACGACGGCGTCTACATCCGCCCCTCACCCCCTCCATCGCCTCTCCCCAGTGTGCAAATGTGGCTCAACGGGAGCGCGCAGCTTTTTTCGTTGCCTTTTCAGAGCGATGAGCTGGCTCGCGTGGTTCCCCTGCCACCCAAAGTCATGGAGAATCTGAGGGTAAACACGGCGTGTTTTCCTGACACGATGCTCGACTCATCCAGCTTAACTATTGATACAATCCGAGCCTACTCTAGGAAGGCTAGACATCCTGAAACAGATACCTCTCCTCTTCCTAGCCCTCAATTTCCAAGCACTTCATCGAGACAGTCACTGTGGAGAAGAGTTGTCAAGAGGGGATCACAGATGCCTCTTAAGACGCGCGAATCGCATGCCGCTGGTGGTGTAAATAACCTGCAATCACCTAGCTCAAGCTCCCTGGAATCCCCTAAGCCGTGGGCATCAATCAAGAATGTATTTGGCAACTGCTCTGACTACATCTGTGAAGCACTGTATTGCCACATTGTCGCCTACAATTATATATCTGCTCTTGTTGCTCGATTTCCAGCGCCAATGGCTCCCAGACGTTCTTGCTCGCCCATAGAATTACAGGGCGATGATATTCCTAGAAAGGCAGCATCTCTTCTTGGTCTCAAAGAGGCAACAACCGTGACTTCAGCAGCATCCGTTCGCTCTGCAAAAAGAAACAGTTTCACGCAATGGAGCAGAGATGATGGGAGGAGTGCTAGCCCAGTGGGTACTTTTGCAAGCCAGGACATGGCTATCAGAAACATTCACACGGAGCTGCTGCGGTGCATACGACGCCTCATTGCGGCCGCCAGGTTGATGTCTGAAAATGGAGCGGCGGAAGAGAAAGTGGTGGAGATGGACATGGAGGATGCGGATGTGCTGCTGCTGCGCAGTCTCTGCGAAATCGTCAGGGTAAATGAAGAGGTGGCGTATATACTCTAATGACGGGATGGATAGATTGGTCGATGGACATCTTCGAAATTGATTGAGAGGCTTTCTTTTCGCCCAAGGTCATTTTCGAGATTAAGTGGGTGGGTCATGATATCGAGAATATGGGATTATTATTAATGAGATGAATGGAAGTATATCAAGGGCTGGAGTGATTAGGAAATAGGTACATAGGCTTTGAAATATGCAACGAAACAAGAACAGATGATCTCATTTTCATCATCGCATGTTGTGAGTGACCAGAAACCGCGAGCCACACTTTATAGTACAGTATACTCTCTGAAAGACGACTTGCCCTGACCTATCTACAAGCATTTAATTTATAATGTCAGAGGCATAAAAATATTCTTCGGATAGAACGACAAGTGAGATAGACCCTCGGGAGAGACTGTATTTTAGTTTATGTGACTAAAGATAACGGCTATATAAACTCAATCGCGCAATATGGCGAGCTTGGGGTCTTTTGGATCGACGAAAATAAGTCACGCTAGCTTTTCCCAGATATGCTTCTTGAATACGTCGATATGGCAGAAAAGCGATACACATTTTATTAAAATGAACTGAAATTAATAGCTAAAAGAAAGCAGTCTTCTCAATCTATCCCATATATGAATTAATGTCTCCAATTGAAAGCCAATGTGACCCTCCCGCGCAACGGTATCCATCAGCCTGCTTGATCCAATGATACCCCATAGGGCACCTTCCAAGGGCCATTATCTTCTCCCGTATCTTCGCCTCTTCTTCTCGTCGTTTTTCTTCCTCAATCAACTGGCGAACAATCTTCTCTCGAGCTTCTCCTGTCGCAAGATTCTGAGCAGCTTCCTTGAGCTTGAGGTACTCTGCTTCCTTTCGCTCTTCTTCTGCTTGATCTTTCTGGAGCTGCTCCCAGATTTCGTCGCTTACACCGGCGTCTCGTACAACTTTGCGGCTGTGGCTACTTTTGGGCGACTCAGGCGGTGTGGGTGCTCCTTCATCTGACTCCTCGGCGTCAAATGCCTCGTCTTCTTGTGCCTTTTGTTGGGTTTCGATATTCGTGTTGGTGCGAATTGACAGAGATGGATTAGCTGGGGCTGCTGGCGCGTGAGAAGAAGCTGCGTTGCCATCGAAATGTGCTCGAGGAGCAGATTTGACCATCTTAGATTGTCGGTCTTTCAGCATCTGATCAAGCACCTGCGTAACCTGCTTCTCCTCCACTTTGAGTGCTTTTGCTTTCAGATCAATCGCGTGAAAGACATTTCTGGCAAGCTGTTTCACATCTCTTGCGCTAGCCCAGCCTTCTAAAGCGGTCAATGTCTTGATAGTAGCTGTGGAGTTAGCGAGAAATGTGTCGGACGGACGTTCTAAACAGCTGATGTCCATATCTTTGCCCTTGCTTGCGAGCTCTACCTTTCTCTTTCGCAAGAGATCGGCAAGCAGCTGGAAACAAGCATCTGGCTCGAGTGGCTTGAAATCGATGGTTTCAGGGAAGCGGCTAGTAAGTCCGGGGTTCACGGACAGGAGTCGATTTATATCGTGTTCGTAGCCCGCCAAGATAATGATGAGTTTGCCTTGATATTTTGGCTTGGTGACACAGTCCACGATCTCATCAATGGCCTCTTTGGCGAATCCGCCTTCAGCGAACCGGTACGCTTCATCGATCAATAGAACTCTTCCAAGCGATTTTTCGAGAACCTTTTGGACTTTGGGCCCAGTGTGGCCGACATATTGACCTATCAGGTCCGTAGCTGAGCATTCTTCCACCACAGCCTTGTCAAGAAAGCCCATATCGTAGTATACTTTGCCCATTTTCCGTGCGGTTGTTGTCTTGCCTGTTCCTGGTGGACCTCGGAATAGGAAATTGAACGGGATCTCTTCCCTGACATCGTACTCGAGAGATTTCAGCTCTCGAACTCGCTGCTGGATGTGCTCAAGCTTCTCGATAATATCTTCGCGCCCGATATCATCCTGGAATAGTGCTTGCACATTCGTGTCCTTTCGTGTCGTTCTGTCAAAGTCTTCGTCAAAATCTTCTGCCTCTATCTGGTTCTTCTTTTTCAGCTTTCCAGCTGAGAGGCGCTTTTGGTAAGACGCTTTGGCCTTGCTTAGCAGATTCTCAATCGCGCCACCATTTCCAAAATTAGCTCTATTGCGTTCTCGGATCAGAACATCGAGTGCAGCAGTCTTGCCTTCTCCAGTCGTGGTAAAGCCGGAAGCTTTCAGTTTGAACTCCAGTACCTGTCTGAGAGCGTCATCATCAAAGTCTTCGAAAACGAATGGCATATCCACTGAGAATCGACGGCTGAGGCCTGGATTGACGTTTTGGAACATTTCTTCCATCTGCTCTTGATAGCCTATTAGAATGACGCAGCGATCATCGCCAGGCACGTTTTGGACATCTGCGACGATCGTGTCTATAACAGCCGTCTTGTACGGGTCAGAAGTAGAGCCGTTTCCGCCATATAAGCCGTATGCTTCGTCAATTACAAGCACTTTTCCTAAAGTCGCAGCTAGAATGCCCTTTGTCTGGGACTCTGATACTCCTAGAGCAGCACCGATGAAATCTGACGGATTCCTGACTACTAGCTCTCCGTTGGACAAGAGACCGAGAGTTGCAAGAATCTGTCCGTAAAGCTTGGCAACTGTCGTTTTGCCTGTTCCTGGCGATCCCAAGAAGACCCGATTGAGAGTGAACTGTATAGGAGGCTCTTCGTCCAGCTCTCGCTGATAGTTGGTTTTTATAGAGTCAAGCAGTATTTTAACCTGTTCTTTGACTTCTTTCAGCCCAACCATCTCGTTCAACTTCTGCCACGCCTTGCAATCCCGCAGAGACAACGAAGGCTCTGGGCCAATGATATCCTCTTTCGTGAACAAAAAATCGTTTGGATTATTGCCGGATCGGCGCTCACGGCGAATTCTGGTGGCTTGTCTCTTTTTAATATTCGCTAGAGCATTTTCGATGGCGCGAGCATTTCCAAACCCTTCTTTGCCTCTACTTCGTCCAACTCTGCGGGCAGCAATGCGTATATAGAGGCCATCCAGTCCATCTTCGACGTCCATATTGTTGGCATACGTGCGGTTCACCTGACGCTTGAGGATTTGTTGCAGCTCCTCGTCCGAGTAGTCTTCAAAGTTCATTGTAATAGGAAATCGACTGGGGAATCCTGGGTTGTGTGCAAAGAACGACTCCATCTGTTTAGAGTACCCGGCAAGGACAAATGTGACTTTTCCTCTGAGATTTTCCACTTCCGCAAGCAGATAATCCAAGACTGCCTTACCGCCAGGACTGTTTCCAGATGAGAGTTGGTAAGCTTCATCGATGAAAAAGACTCCTCCGCCTTCGTCTTTCATCTTCTCAAGCAGATCTTCGCATCCTTTGACGCCCATGTTGGCCAGCTTAGAGCCTGTTGTCTCCTCGAAGCAGTCGCCGGCGATAGCTCCAAGGCTCGTAAGAAATTTACCCCATATACGGGCCACTGTTGTTTTACCTGTCCCGGGATTTCCAAGAAGGGAACAACTGAACCTTGAATCAGATAGGGGCGTCTCCTGACGGATGGCGAGATCAATTTCTGACTTCTTGGCGAGGAATTCTCCTTTCACCGACTCTAAACCAATGAGATCCATAAGTTCATCCAGAGCACCATTGCTAGCTCCAGTATCGCGCTTCATGTCTTCCCATTCCAGCGCCGAAGGGCCAAGGCTCTCAGAGGAAGCGGGTTTCTTATCTTGGGGCTTTTTGCTGGATTTTCCTGGCTTGGTGTCTGCTGATTTTGCCGCATCTAGCCTTGCCTTTGTCTCTTTCAGACTTTGTAGCTGAGCCTTCTTCTGCGCAAGTTCTTTCTCTTGATTTTGCTCTTCTTGCGTATACTTCATGTGGCGCCGATGATGATCGATTTCATCATCTATCTCCTGCAGCTCCCGTCGATACTTGTCCTGCTGTTGCTGCCTCTTCTTCTCCATCTCAAGGTCCCGTTTAACTCTACGTCGAGTGTCTTCGTCTTCTTTTGCACAGGGCTTGCAGCCTTCGTTCTCCTTTCCGCACAAATGCTTTATCTTGTGGCCACGTTCGCAAGTTTTCTGAAGGATTTTCATGCATGGAACTTGCGAGTGGTTTGACATGCGATGACATCGGCGTTCGCACGGATGTTTCCCACAGCCAAGCAAAGCACCACTACATAGGTAATTAGTAGATGTCGCATCAAATTTTGTAATTTAGAAACGTACCATAGCTGCGAGCATCCTCCATCTGGGCAGTGCTGATCAAAGTCTTCAGGCTTCTGGAGTAGAGCAGATCGATCGGGATGTTGCTCGCAGTGGACGGGTAATCCGTCGAATAAGAACCCTTTTTCTTTCATCGCATCAAAGTACACTGTCCATATTTCGTTGCCCTTCTTGCTAGCCAAGAATGTATTCATATCCCCAATGAGAATGATACCGTTTCTTGCTCGCGACAAGAGCACTACTAGTCGCTCACGAGCAACGAGGAAACCGATGTCGCCTCTCTTGTTGCTTCTGGCCAAGGATATGATCACAATATCGCTCTCTTCTCCTTGGTAGTTATCTGTGATTCGTTAGTAAGTGTCTTATAAAGCTTGTAGATGCAGATCTTTTTACCAATAGTCGACAAGCGCAGTCGTCCCTTTGAAGTTTTAGCAGCAGCGTGTGTCATTAGCCCAGCTCGCACTAATTCGTGAGTGTCCAGGTCATTCAAGTAGGGATCATTTATCTCGCTGAGTTTCTGTCTTAAGAGCGAAAGCTGGCCCATGTATGGAGTCAAGACAACCATATTTTCGGAACGGTAGCCTTGTTGACTCAAATACTTGACCGTTTTCAAGACCATGTCGGCTTCAAACGTGTTTTTCTTGCTGGCCTTTGAACTTGGATCCCGACGATCAATGACATTATCAAGCTGCTCTTCTGGATGGTCATGGTTCACAAAGATGACTCTCTCTTTTAATCCCCGTAACTTTTCTCGATTGAGAGTTTTTGGCATATCCTTGAGCTCTTCGTAGGCCAAGATTCGTGAAAACTGAGAGATATCCGGATGACTGCGATGTTGCTCTTGGAGAGTAGTGAAATGATGGCCTTGTCTGATAAGGCGTTCAAAAAGAGAAACGTTGAGATCATAGCCTTCGCCCTTTTCCACAGAGAGATTGTAATTGTTGATCTTGGGACGAAGCTGCTTATGGTCACCAATTAGAATCAGTTGTTGGACAGACGGACTGAGAGCCGTAATAACATGTGCCTCTAGAATTTCACCAGCTTCTTCGACAAGAACGATATCCGGTTTAGCCGCTCGTATGATGGATTGATACATTGCCGCACCTGTGGTCGTGCATCCAATGATTCTCCTGCTCTTGACTATGTCTCTCTTGCTTTCTTTGAGGAGGCTCTCTATCCTCCGGTAATGGTTATTCGCCGTTTCTGCTTGCTGTGCAAACTCATTGATCCTTTCCCGCTGAATTTGGCACTTCCATGAGTTATGGCACTCTAAACGGGTCTTTGGCGCGGCTCTCCAGACTGCTCGTGCTTCGTCACTCATATTTTCAGCCAGCATACCCAGCGATGATAGTTCCTTTCCCTGAACCCAATAATCATAGACGTCAACAGGCCGTAGCGGCTTGTTGTTTTTTCCTACAATTTCCTCTCCGAGTGGGACTTGGAATGCATCCCAGAAGCTCATTCCAGAAGCGGAGAACTCCAACATGTCCAATATTTCTTGTGGCTGGACATATGGCTTGGCCAGCTGATCTATAAGGCGATCTAGCATTATCCGTGTTTCCGTTTGCTCCGTTCTGGTATCATTGAGCATTGATTTAGTTTCAAGGCTGAAACGGAACTTAGAGTCTTTTGCGAGACTATCGATTCGTAATGCTTCTGTTTTCGTAGAAGCTTTAGAACCGATTCGAACCATGTCGCTCTGCGGAATGCCTATCTTCATCAAATCTTCAAGAAATTGATCCAAAGCATGGTTCGTATAACTGAGGACCAGGATTCGAAAGTCCGTCAACTTCATAAGTGCCAAGGCAATAATAGCCCCAATAAAGGATTTGCCAGTTCCTGGTGGGCCTTGAATTTGGCCTACAGGGTTTTCTAGGCCGTTAATCAGCGATTCGAGCTGTGCATCTCGAATCTGCACATTGATGCCCAGTCTGCTCTTCAAGTCGAATGCTGTTCCGCTTTGCAGCGCAGACTGTAGTTCTCGGATGAAACTGTACAGCTTTGGGGGAGGATCGTACTGAGATGGAGGCCCTGACGGATCAAGGATGGCATTCTCGATCGGAATCTCTGTGATTTCTTTTAGGCGTTGTAATATTGGTTCGTAGGCGAATGTTGCAGTATCAACGACGTAGAACTTGAGTTCAGGACAATCTGGACCCATGAGTGCCTGGACCGCTCCCTTTAATCCAGCATTATCGGTGAACTGGATCCCAATCTTGGGCGGAATATCGATAAGCCAGTCTTTTTCACGTACGATGGAGCCAAAGGCAATGATACTTTTGCCTAAGCAAAGAGCACCGACAGAGTTGTGCTTCACAATGTGTCTGGAGTCTTCGAGATACTGCTTCCTGGCTTCTTTATTGCGTAAGTTTCGAGGAAAGTTGATCCCCGCTTGGCACTGAAGTACCAGCGTGAAGGGCTTCGATGATCGTTCAGCTCCAATGTCGTAACCCGCTAGATTTAACATCCCAAAGGCCAGCGGCCTACGCTTGGCTTTTCTTTGACCCCATGCTATTTGCAGATCTTCTTTTAGATCTGCAATCATGTCTTCTCGTAAGAGACGGAAAAGCCAGCCAAGATGATTCAATGCACGGGTATCCCTGGGAACTTCAAACACATCATCCAGCCGTTGTAAAAAGGGATCCTCTTTTGAACTAACTTCGTCTGCGGTGGGGAAAATGGAAATCTGGCGGAAATCTGCAAAGTCATTGTCGTGTCTGCCACCAGGGCTGTAGTCCAACCGAACTGACGCGGATGCAGAGCGTTTTCGGACTTGAATAACTTTCTCGATGCGATAACCAAGAGGTCGTACTGCCTCGAAAGGCGATTTGGCCAGCGATAGGTTTCCAGTAAGTGACTCCACATCATGAGAAAGCACCATGATCTCGGGCGATGATGAAGACACGATTGCCAAGCAAAGAGACGCAAAAGCCAATAGGTTGCTATCTTTGAGCTGATTGGATGTATAGAGGCTCAAGAATGCAGTCCAAAATGTCGGAGGACAGAGGATTTCCTTCAGCAATCTCTCAAGAAAATTGCCGTCATTCAGGATTTCGACTTGAGGCTGGCATACCTGCGCTATGAAGGTAGCTGTCGAAGACATGATGAACGTGGCAGAGAGATTGCTGCGAACAGCTTCTCTCACAGTTTTTGGACCATCCTTTCTCGCAAGGATGCATTCCATACAGACTGCCGCAGATTTGTGCTCGCATATGACGCCAACTGCCTCAAAGAAGTGCTGGGCGTCGCGTGAGGTCTGTATAGTGCGGTCGCCTTTGATGAAGGAATAAAAGATACCCTCGAGCTTGGCGGCACGGCCAGTGAGACCACTTTTGTTAGCCATGGTGTTGAATAGCGTAGTTGATAGTAGTAAGTTGTGAGCAGCGTTTGATCATGGCGAGTATTAAGAACTGAAGTCTATCATATATATATTCACATGGGTCTGTCTATCAGGCCACCAAGAGATACACTATCTGCAAATGAAAAGACTCGGTTAATACGTCAACGCAATTGCAGTGACTGCCGTAAGGCAGCCTCGATACCTGTAGGAGGCCTTGCTGCGTCTCGTGTTACATGAAGGGTGGGGGGGATTCTCTTCTTGTTGGATGAATCTTATAGGCCTCCCGCAGCCGCGTCACAGCCTGGCCGTTTGATTCGGCCACGACACGGTCCTTTACCCCTCATTAGGCCGCAGCGACCTTTCAGAGACCAATTGCGCCGGAGCAGCTATGTTGTGTAAAGTCAAATACAAGTGTTGGCCTGATAATGCGGCCAATTGCGCCTCAACGCGTTTGAAAGCTGCAGATAACAGTGAAGCAATGGGCCGCCTAAAGGCGGCATTCACATGACTTGTTGTAGGCCTCCCAGATTCATTCAAGAGTAAGAGGGGATGGGGAGAGTAGCATAAATCTTGCTGGTGTGCTCGACCTCTCTTGTTCACTTTGTTAATGTACACTCAAGAGCTGAGATTTCTGTCTTACCAGTACATCGACATCTGAATCATGTCCTATAATACCGGACGGCGTGGCCGAGGAGTTTTTATAGGAGCACGCGGCCGAGGAAACTTCTCGAATGTCAGGCCACATAACCCTCTTGTACAGTTGGAAGAATCGCCTTTTCCTCCTCTCGGAAACCTGATTGAAGCTATTGATGCAAAAGCCTTTGAGGATATTGACGACGATGAAGGCACACAATTCGGCATGAAAGATGTTGAGCCTATAGCGTCATATAATTGGGTGGATCAAAAGGCTCCAAAAATAGTTGTTCCTGGTATGTCTTCACAATTTCGTCCAATGGAAGGCGCAAAATGTCTGATTCCAATTTATAACAGGTTGTCCGCCTCTTTGGAAACCATTAACCGACCATCCAAAGCTTCAAGAAGATAATGGCGTGTATTATCGCGATGACAATTCAGCCTTCTTCCCAGAACACCCTCTTGAGCCCGCGATCGTTTCCGTCATGAAGGTGCATCCCGATTCATTCGACATTGACATTGTCGGCTGTAATAGCACTCTTGGAAACCTTTTGCGTTTCATTCTTGGTGTTGAGTGCACTTTTCGCATGCTTGTCGAAGTTGTGGGCAAAACTGTCCATCTAGTGCGAAGAGAAAGGTCGCCAAAGGAGCAGATGATAGGAGTCAGAGGTTTTGGACATACTTTCCCAGAGGCTTACACCACATGGGCATCTGATGTCCGGCCGTCTAAATCGCATCATAGAATTGTTAGATGTCGGTTTGGAAAGCTTGACTTGTTGATGCGACAAAGCTCAGATGGCTACATTGGAGAAGATAAAGACAAAAGCCCACCAATTGCTACACCATCTTCAACTGCCGACGAAGACATAGCCAATCTTCTTGGAGATCTCTCTATCAAGTCATCACCTGCCAAATCGACCAGATTTGGACAACTTGAAGTGGTCGATGGCGGCTGGCTAACGCCGCAATCATCTGCCTTTGATCTCAAGACTCGATCAATAAAGGCTATTGACAGAGACACTCTTGGAGAAGAATTGCCGCGCTTGTGGATGATGCAAATTCCCAACTTCATACTTGCGCATCACAGATCTGGAACTTTCTGCAACATTGATGTTTCCGATATTCGAGATGATATCGAAAATTGGGAAAAGTCTCATCAGGCGGATTTGCGCCGTCTGAGCGCGCTTCTACACCGCATAATTACTACGGCATTTGAGAAAAAAGACACCTTGCTGGAAATTGTCAGGGTGCAAGGAGGCTCCTTGGAGATTCGAGAGCGCCTTCCAGATGTAGGTGTAGCATTTTCAGCAGAAGTGAAGGAAAAGTGGTTGAAGTGGCTTGAGAACGCTGAAGAAGACACTGAAGAAGAGATTGATGATGATAGCGACAGTGGCAGCGGTGATTTCACTGAATGCAATGAGGAATGCGGATACTGTGGTAAATGCAGCTCTTGATCTTAGTAACATATTAGTGGATAGCTCTAATACCTGTTTTCATCTCCGTCGGACTTTTCGCTTGATGACCGCTTCTAGTTACGGCTATCTTTCGTTAGAATCAGCATCAAGTAAAGTATAGACTATGCGTGAGTAACGGCATAATAGAATCAGCAACTTTCAGCATCCCTGTCGGAAATGCCTATAAATCGCCCATCACTGCTGGCAATCCGGAGACATGGAGATTAGATACATGAAGTTTTCGGTCTTGTGCCTCGCGGTTGAGAGAATAGACGCGACATTCGCCGAAGTTCCTTATGTCCTATTTCGTTACTTGGCTTCTTCTCAAGGTCTTATGCTGAGCTTTCTCAACTCTAAACCAGCTTCAGCTTCCCAAAGGAGTGATTAACAATTAGAAAAGAAGCATCGGTCTAGGTGGGCAAGGTGGGAGAGTGCGAGCTGAGGCGAGGCAGGGATGAGTAATCGTGAATAAAGAAGCACGAACCTAAGAGCGAAGGGCGAATTTGAGCGGACTTTCGGCCTATTGACTTACAAGCGAAGATCGCAGCTATTACAGAGTTTTGCTTAATTCGTCCAATTAAATCTAAGCTTAACATGGCATGTTGTATCCACAAGCGAATAGATCTGGCTCTTCAAGCGATATATATCATGTATATAATGGTCATAAGCCCCCATTCAATTATCTGCGTTCGACAAGAGATACTCAATTCAAAGTCCTTTGCAAAGCAACTACTCCTTGAGACAGGAAGGAAATATGGCTACCTTTAAGAATCACGAAGAGATTCTGGAAGCCGCTTTCCGCGACCCCCAAAACACCGCCATCAATTTAGAGCCCTCCAATGTCAACAAAGTCATCAAGAGCGGAGCCTATGACGCTGATCCGAATATACATTACACGAAAACTCAACTATGGGACATGGAATATAACAAGGCGTACAATCCAGAAAAATATTTGCGACACATCTTGCGACCAGGAAGCGTTCGCATCTTCAATATACAAAAAGACGGTCCGAGAGAAACATTTGTCCGCGTTTCAGATCAAGGAACATGGGTGGACCCTTCCAAGTACAGCACAGTCATTGAGCAAGTCCTCATAGACAACGAAAGGCAGCGAGCATTCTTCATTGGTGTTCTAGAAGTCGACGACCCAGAGGGCACGAAAATCGTCACTGGAGACCAAGTGCTTTTCCATGTTGAACACTCCGCGGCCGGAACTGAAGACGAGCCGCTCAATATTTGGCGAATTGTCCACTTAGACAAGGATGAAGATGGGAAGATTAAGGAAGCGTTTGCGAGGATGAGTGCTACGCCATATCTCAGAGAGTTTAACGAGGTCTATATCCGTGAGGATCTGGGCAAGAAGCTGAACCGAATTTGATGTACATAGGTATATAATGGGTGGCCAGTGCTACCTTGCACTCTGTTTTAGCATACACTTGTATTTTAGCATATTTGAACTAGAAATAGCAATGTCTGTCATGAATAAATTGTTTGATGCTTTTTGACTGCTTCTGAAGCTTATAGTATATATGTATTCGCGCCATTGGATCATTTAGCTATGAAACCTCACTCTTGAGAAACAGCTCTTGGACTCCCAGAGTAAAAAAGTGAATTGAATAGACTTTAGATTAGAGAGTACATGGAAGGAGACGACATTTCCAAAATTATTGATTACTTTGAGTCAATTACTTTGAACAGTGATTTATTGAGTTAGTCGCTACAGAATGGATTTTTTAAGTTTGTTTGCTCAAAGCCTCCCGGCGGGAAGTGCTGTTGGGGTCAAAGTAGGGTCTCTCGCCTACACCAACAGCTCGGTTGCCAAAGCGCTCGCCCAAGCCTGTGTAATCGTATGTAGCAGTGTGGAACACGCTCCGGTTATCCCAGATAGCTGATAGAATACGTTAGCCCACATCCCAGATCAACTGTAACAAACGATACATACCAATGTCGTTGGGGTTCTGCCAGCGGAATCGCACTTGCAGATCATGGCCATCATGGACAAGGTCCAAGAACCACTGGCGCAGTCTGTTGCTCTCATCTTCAGTCACTCCGTTGATGTGCTTGACATGGCCGCCAACAGGGAAGATGCTCTTCCATCCTGTGACGGGGTTGGTTCGCACAACGGGGTGAATAGCCTTGAGCTCTGAGCCAATGTTTTCGGGGGCACCGCGAGGCTTGGTGTACAGCTCAAAGCCACCACGTGCAGCGATTTCGTTGAATGAGGGTGTTTGGAAGGTAGCAGTCAGAGACTCGAGGAACTTTTGATAAGGCTCGCTAATGCGGTCATAGATTTCGTAGCCAGAAGCCCAAAGGGTATCTATATCACAATTAGAATCACTGTCAAACGAAGAAGAAGAAGCTTAACTTACCGCCTCCAGTTGGTGGAAGTTTAGTCAGGCGAAGAGAAGTGTAGTCAGCTGGGGCAGGCTCAAAGGCGATATCGCTGTGCCAGCTGGCGGCCTTTTGCTTCTTGGGGCTGAGCTCTCCTGGACCAGTCTGCTTGTAGAACTTGTCGAATTGAACTGAGCTGATGGTGCTAATCTCGGGATCAGTGCCGCCAAGCTCTCGTTCGTTGTTCAAAACAGGGTGAATGTGCAAGCTAGATGTAGCAGGACGTCCGGTCAATCTGCCAAGGCGAAGAATCAGCTCCTTCTGGAGGTCATTGGTGAGGTTGTCTTGGGCGCGGAAGAAGACGACACCACGCTGTGAGACTATAGAAGAGTTAGATGAGCTGTTATAGATCTGAAGTATCAGTTTGTCAAAGGTGGCTTACTAGTGACAGCGAGGTCACGAATGAGTTCATCGGAGTTGGGAGCGTTCAGCCACTCTACAAGATTGGCCTTGGGGAATTCACGGCCGATGACTGGAGTGATGTCGAAAGACTCATATTGATCCAAGGTGCCAGCAAGGGCGACAGGCTGCTGGGCCTTGGTCTTTATGGGCAGGTCATGAATAATAGCTGGAGCTTCAACTGCTGCGGGAGCCATGATTTCTGTGTTTGAGTAACTTTAAGGGCAGCAAAGTCTTGATATTGGGTGCCAATTGAATTGATTCGCAGTAACAAAATTGAGTTCACACAATGCTGCTTTGGGGCACAGTAAACACTTATATGTTAACTTTTCAAATCTTATAGTCCTTTCTTAGCTGCCATTACATCTGAGTCATACCGAACTCAACGCCTTTTGACCTCAGTTTGCTGACTTGATCACCTCTCCAAGTCATAATTTAGCCGTATTCACCCAAGAAGCGATAAAGTGACGCGTTATTATACGACATCGGCTGCCAAATTGCGTCAGTGAGGGGAGAAAGTTTGGCCAACCGTCCTCACGACGTATAACTTTGCGGACTTTGGGATCTCGGCCATTACAACATCAGACTTGCAAAGCATGCGATTGGAGGATCCGGTCGGGTCCTCGGTGCAAGCAGGCGGTTCATAAGCAACGCGTTCAGTTGCATTGCATGAGCATCTGGTTCCAAGTCGGAGTAAAAGCGTCTCTTTGGGTTAGAGCTTCTGCATCTTCAAGGTCAAGTGCCGGAACCTCGCGGACTAGCCACGTCTCCAAAGCGACGGCGCGGACGTCTCAAGACTAGGAGATATCGCATCATCCAATAATGGCAAATAGACTCTTTCTCCAGGACGTGACGAGTTCAAGCATAATCAGCTGCACCGTTGGAAACGCGGGGGTGCTGCAGATAGAGCCCCTCAGCTTGTGGAATCACATCAACATCTCGCGAAAGCACGACAACAGATATGGCCAATTGTTAGCATTAGGCCGTCTACCAACATGGATACAAGGGTCTCTGTTATGGAAGTCGCACGCGGCATGTCGCCTGCAGAGGGATAAAATCTTGTCGGTATCCCTATCTCGGCTGCCCTTGTATTTCGCTGGAATTGCGTGCTTCGGGCGCTTTTAGGGGGATTGAGGATGTGCGTTTTGCCGCTCGTTGAAAGGATCAAGGTGGTGATTGCGTGATTGCGGCCGCCACTCACACAATGAAACATTGCAGATAAGGTGCATTTTCCTGCACACTTCTGGAATATGTCAGCTTCGGAAAAAAAAACAATAAAGGAATTTGATTCAAGATTCTGCAGATGATGAGAAGCATTTGATGCGAAAAGAACTACATGTTCCAGTCTATAAGTGGTTTGTCGAAGTTGTCACCCAAAACACCAAAAAATCCACAGCAAAAAGGATAAGTAGTTTAATCGTAAAAAAAACAGTATGTAGCCAACTCGGGTTAAACACCCAACTGATAAGAATTATACTACCAAAAACCTGCATTCAATACGCGATGCGTATATGCATGATCTCATTCCCCAGAGTAACAATCAGGAAAGGCTAGAGACCAAGGCCGGGTCACAGGTCGTCTCAATATTGCTCGTCTTAATTGCCAGCCGCTTATTGATACCCCAGAGAGCATATCCTAGTAGCATATCTCCTAGATTCCATCGAGTCTAGTCCTCTCGTCGTAATTGCTTGGGTTATTCTCATCATACCCAACCCGGGCCTACCGCGTTCTCGATATCGGTTCTTGGCTCGTTGCGTGCGATCGCCACATTCAGCCACCAAGGCCGGCTTTATGGTTGCATTGCTATATAAGCAATCCGGAACAAATAACTCACGATGTCTAAATACTCGCTGAAGTTACATTCGCCTTTCTTCTAGCACTTTCAACTTCACAGCCGGCACAATGGCGACTGTACTTGCTAAAGGCTCGAAAGACCCGTCTTCTGTCTCGACAGTCTCGCTAGACAGCAATTCTCCGCCGCTTGGAGCTCCCATAACTGAAAGAAAGTCATGGTTCAAGAAAGGGTCACCAATTGACAAAGATGCCATCGCCACCCAGGTTTGTCATTGTTCAATTGGTGCTTTGAAGCAACTGTATTGACTCAAAGGATGACAGCTTAGCGTTTTTGATGATCCTGATACGGCGGAAAAGTACCAACCAAGGCCAGATTGGTAAGTCGATACGAGGCTATCCAGTACAAATTGACTCTTAGTTACTAATCTGATCTTTCATAGGGAAAATATCCACAGATTCGATCCCAGTTTCAGATGGACTTGGCGTGAGGAGCTGAAACTCATTCGGAAGATTGACTGGTATATCACGTTTTGGGCTTGCATTATGTTCATGGCTCTCGAACTTGATCGTTCCAACCTTTCGCAAGCCCTTACGGATAATTTCCTTACTGATCTCCACATGACAACCAATGGTATGCTTGACTCCGTCATATAGATCCAAGAGTAATGCTAACACTGCCCGTCTTAAAGACTACAATCTCGGTAATACAGTGTTCAAGCTCTCTTTTCTCATCGCAGAGCTTCCATCACAACTAGTTTCGAAATGGATGGGCCCCGATCGATGGATTCCAATGCAAATGTGCATCTGGAGCGTTATCGCAGGTGCACAGTTTTGGTTATCTGGTAGATCATCATTTCTTGCCACGAGAGCCTTGCTTGGAATCGTTCAAGGTGGATTTATTCCAGATGTGAGTTTCGATATCGTGAATACAGGCATTGCGGCTACTAATCATGATGCAGATTATCTTGTACCTTTCATACTTCTACAGGCATGCGGAACTGTCAATCCGGCTTGGCTTCTTCTGGACTGCTCTGAGCTTGGCAGATATCCTCTCAGCATTACTCGCATACGGTTTGCTACACATGCGAGGCATTTCAGGAAAGTCTGGATGGAGATGGCTTTTCCTTATTGAAGTAGGTTACCATGCAATATTCGCCTGAACACAGTTACTAACGAACCGTGTCTTAGGGACTTCTAACTCTCGTTGTTGGACTCTTCGCTTGGCTGCTTATGCCACCCGGTCCCTGTCAGACGGCCAGTTGGTTTAGAGGCAAGAAGGGATGGTTTAACGAACGAGAGGAGAAAATCATCGTCAACCGAGTAATTCGTGAAGATCCTGGCAAGAGTTCTATGCATAATCGCGAGCCAGTCACACCGAGACTACTATGGCAAAGTCTTAAAGATTATGATCTTTGGTGAGTCAAGATTGCCCCAGACAAGCCCAACATGCTTTAACTAACGATATGTCATGAAATAGGCCGATTTACATACTTGGGCTCGTCTTCCAAGTCCCCGCCACGCCGCCCGCGAATTATCTTACTCTTGCGCTGAAGGGACTCGGCTTCGACACTTTCCAAACCAACTTGCTTACCATTCCATCGACAGTTTTGCATGGTATGCTCGCTCTAAACATCTGGATAGTTAACATCCTATTAACCTTGTCTTAGTGTTCACAATGTTGGGCCTCACATACTTCGCTGAAGCTGTCGGCGAGCTTACTCTCACTGCCTTGTTCGGTCAAATATGGGTGCTTCCATTCTTGATCTATCTCAATGTCGTGAATAGCCAAGAAGTCAACAAATGGGTATTCTGGGTGGTAGTCTCACTGCTTTTGTCATATCCAAATGGTAAGTTCATTTCCGATCCAAACACTACATATATTTACAGCTTCTGATGCCCAAACGCAGCCCATCCAATTCAAGTCGCCTGGAACTCTCGCAATTCCAATGCAGTCCGCCTACGAACCGTTTCGGCCGCGTGCTACAACATGTTTGTGCAAGCTGGTGGTATTATTTCTGCCAACATCTATCAAGCAGGTAAAATTGCTCCCATAAATTACTTTCAGTCGTACGTTGGCATACTAAATATAGATAGATGATGCCCCTCGTTACGTCCGCGGCAATCGCGCGCTTCTCGGCATCAACTGTATGAATATAGTCATCTATCTTCTTACCAAGGTGTATTTTGTGTCTCGTAACCGATACCGCGAGAAGAAATGGGCGGCCATGTCGGAGAATGAGCGGCTGGATTATCTCGCTACGACGACTGACGAAGGAAATAAGAGGCTTGACTTCCGATTCCAACATTAGACATTCTTTAGATATGGTATTAGACTTTGGGTGGCTTTGGTCCTTATGATTATGTGTTCGGTTGATAGCTATTGTGGATTTTTTCTTGAGCGCAAGTTTGTTGTTTTTCTCTTTGCGTGATTCTGCATTTGATGATACGATGGCTTGGTATATAGGTGCTGCGTTAAAAATCAAGGATCAGTTCTGTCGCTATATAATATTCGGTCTAAATCGCCTATACTGTAAATCCAAGATGCTCTCTCTCATCGTGTGTAATTCTTCCCCATTCCAACAGCAAGCGAAACATGTAAATCTGCATATCCTCTTTCCTCAGCGCTTTGCGCGTCCAATCTCTACCTTGTTCCGCAATTTTCTTAGCCATATCAGGCCCTTGGCCGTCCTTATCATTAGAACCTCCACTGAAAAACTCAAAAACTGACCAAAATCCTGAGCCAAGCCTTAGGTCCGCAGGGACGTAATGATGCCAAGCTTGAAGTCGCTCGTCATACCAGGTGCGAAAGACGGCAGCGCGATAGGGCAGGCTGCGACTCTCTAGGAAGGGGAGAAAGCGCCCGCTGAAACCTGCGCCGTCCATGTCCATCAAATGACGGTACCGCCAATGTTCTTCAAATGGGACGCTGGGAGGTAGCCGGCTGGCTTCGGCGTGGGATGAATGTTTGTCTATTGTCGCCCGGCCCCATTTCTCATACATCTCAGATTCAACGGCGCATTCTCTTCCGTCGCATTTAGACACTTCTCCAGTAAAAGAGGCATTAATACTCATTGGAGACATTGTACCAGAAGTTTGCAACGAGAGTGTGTTTTCATAAGCTTCGTGCACAAATCTTGGTCGTAAGAAGCCTGGCCATCGTCCATGAGCTGAGAAGCCATCTGACCGTGATCCACGCCAGAACAAGCCATTTATTTTGTCTTTCCACATCATGCCACCGTCCTCCTTGAATGCACTTTTTTCATCAAAGTTCCACGGAGATGGAATCAGAATGTCCGAGAAGCCGCCAACACGTGCTTGGCTAAAGATGGGGAAGATTTCTGTTGTGCCTATCATGGCAGATGGCGAATTGAGAAATCCATCCAGATACGCAGCATCTGGCTGATGGCAAAGATTATGAGCAAGTGATACATTTGCCAGCAAAGCACCGCTGCTTGTCAATACGGAATGCGGACTGATGCAATTCACGCAGATTTTGCTCCAATCCCACCACCGCCTGGAATTTGCCGCAGAATCTGGTGGACACGAGGGAGCCACATAATCGTAAAAGATTGGTCTCCGAACATTATTCGTGAATTTGGGGTCGATGGCATCTTTTCCGCCATTCGCTGCTCGAGGTTTCGGCTCCGGGAAGACTTTGGGCCATGGAGAAGACGAAAATTGACTGGTTGGCCAGCCCTTCTCTTCCTTTAGGCCTTTCACTTTATCCCTATTCTGTCGGGCTTTGGCTTTCAGTTGTTCCATTTGGTTGAAAGGAACTGCCATGCGACACTCGTCGGCGAGATTGATTGCTATGTCCATATCAGGCAACCATTGAGCGAAGGGCTCAATCATCTTTTGGGAAGATTCTGCCATCCAGCGATGTGATCCCGGTATATATGGCGACTGCTCCACGGATCCATTTCTAATGCGCATGCCGCCCATTTCAGAGCTTCCATACTCAAAGACCCTGGTGGTCAGGTCACGTATACTCCCTGCATCTAGTCCCCAGTATGGGAGCAAGTCGTTGTTGATCTGGTCAAAGTGATCGATGACGGCAGAATGATGTGTCTTGGCGAATTCATGCCATTTGTCAAAATTTGGCGGAGGAGGAATACCATATCTCTTGGTGTATTCGCTCACAGCGTCGGCCAATGATACACTAACTGCTGCTTGCAGCTCCCATGCAAATGCCTGTGCTGACGCTTCTGAAACAAGTGACTTGATGGCTACATCGACTGAAATCATTGGCGAGTGCTTGAAGAAGAGTAGTCGCGTTACTGTTTCCAAGGCAAGTAGTGCCAATCCACTACTACAGATAATCAGCCATTTGGATAATTCCCGCGATGTGCCAGAATCTTCGGTATGATGAATTTGAATGGCAAGATACCACAAGGGCACAGCTACCAGAATCGCAAGAGTCGTGTGCTTTGTAAGCTCGTCATAAGACGGGGACGGTAGAGCTGAAATGACGCTCCGAGCTGGTATCTGTGAGCCCATAAATGTCGCAGTTGATACAAGCAGGGCAAGACATGCTGGAGGTAAAGAAGACAGCAATGATATGCCGCATAATATCCCGATAGTTGCTAGAAATCCATCAATGGCAAAGTCTCGATTCTCAAGAGCCCGAATCCGGAATGCCATGATAAACTCCGAGTCGGAAAGCCAGGACGGAAAAGAGAGCAGTAAAATGCTCGCCGCTGCAACAAATGAGAGTTTACTTAAAAAAGGAGCTATCTCGACCTCATCATCCTTTGCAGCACGAGCCAGATGAGATGCGTGGCTTATGATGGCGGCATTGAGGACACCAATGAGTAGCTGAATGAAAGGAATGAAACGCTCCCATTTCCATCCGCTGGGGCAAATAGTGCCAGTGGCGACGATGGAGCCTTCTTCTGATGAAATCACAAGGAGAGGCCATACCATGGCAAGAAAAGCGAAGATGATTTGCGATTTTGAGGGCATAGACCACTGTGCCTGACGCTGATTGAGGCCATTATATTGAGACCCAGAGAGCGTTAATAACGGTCCAACTGCCTCTGCGGCGATGGTGAATAAAGGTAGAAATGCCTGCACCAAGTTTTAGTTGGGGTGGCCGCTCATTGAAGTGTCATGTATCATCAAAAACATACCTCTAGACCAGCTCGCGAACATTGTGTAGTTCTAATAACGGCCCAATAGAGCCATGTTCGCAGTCCGATGCAAAGGAGAATTAAGAGAAAGGACGAATGCAGATGCCGAAAGTTCTCCAGTCCGATTCTTACAAACTTGATTACCGTACTTGTGGGTCGAACGACATCTATTGAACTCTTGTGGTTTGCAATGACAGTGAGAGATTGGTAGTGACCTCGACGACTCTGATAATACGCGTAGGCCAGCAAAGAAAGTCCAGTAAACAGAAGAGTGATGATTGAGAAGTGGACTGGGCGTTCTAATATCATGTTGAATCAGCTTTGATCAGGAATAGGAGAACTGTTTTACATACCAAAAGAAGCACCGGTGTAGTATCTTGCGGAAAGGAAATACGCGGATGAAGATAGGCATCTTGACTAAGGCGTCAGTATGTAACATGAATACAACTTTGGGGACTTTGGGGACTTTGGGGACTTTGAGGACTATTTTTATGCTTACATTAGCGCCACTGAGTGAGGCACGGTGCCACGCATCTTAGAGGGGAACAAGATGCGACTATCACGAAAGTTAAGTGCGCATTGGTGTATGTTCAACACTCTTCAACTACAGCGTCTGGAACTATAATTGTTGCCTACGTCTGCCTATGGGTGAGACCACGTTATCAATCGCTGAAAATCTGTTTGCGCCAATCAGCTGGGGATCATCACGACACGCCCCTGTTTAGCACCATTTCGGGAATGGTCATGGCTTGGCAATGATGGTAGTACTAATTGCTCTTTTTGCTGGCGATTGCATTGTATGAAGCCCAGATACTAATTCGATGTTGAAGAATAGACATAGCATATCAAGTCTAGACTCTCATCTCCAAGAGGTCTCTGTAGGCCAGGCCCGGAAGCCAAAGGAAACTCGAAGCCCAGTAGTATCGCGATCATCTATATCTGTATACCTAGGTATATTAGCCCGCCGAAAGTTCCCCGCGCATTTGCCAAGAAATTTCCGATAAGCATCTCCATATGAGCTAGACGTTAATGGGCATACCTTGGTGAAAAGAACTTTTGTTTCCAGAGAGCGTGATGATTGTCCGAGTAGCATCGCCACTCACCGTCGCCGTCAACTCCGCGCATATTGACAACTGCCAAGCTGGGTCTTGATTGGGTCGCCGTCACGATACTGTCGGTCTTTGGACCGGATGTAGCAGGTGGGAATAAAGTCGGATAAACACAATAAGCATAACGGTATAGATCCAGGTTAAGTCTATCTGCAGGCTTTGAAATGTGCAGGGTATAGGCATTTGAACGTTGAATCGTTTTGAGAGCGGGGTTAATATTCCATGTCTATGTCGGCTGTGCTTTTTGGTAGAGAAAAGGCTGTGGGACAGAATGTTATATAAGGGCAATGGACAGACTAAGCTAAGTCTCCCCAAGGTGTTAAAGGTCTTTGCCTTAACCTAGGTGAATAGTGCTGGAAGTCGATGGCAATGTTTGCCCACCAGCCGCGCCGCCTCTCGTTAAGGGCCTCTGCCTTTGCAGCAGTGCTTTGTCTTGAGTTGCTGAGTCTCCCAGTCGACGCGTTAACGGAAGCCTCATGGAGGAATCCTTTTGCTCCCATCGATCCTCAAGTCTGGGTCAATCCTGATGACATGACCTGGGATGACTTCAAAGCGCCACCTGGTACTCAATGGAACGACGTGACAAAGAAAGGCTCAAGCCGCAACTTCAACATCGCTTTGATCGCGGTAGATTATAGCGACGAGACTTTTGTTGTCACCAGAGAGCCCAATTCGACTGTATTTGGCAACCCACTACCGATAGTATCTGGACTTGCTAGAGGAGACGTACCTGCGTACTATCGCGATCTGCTGAACAAGCCTACCGACCTCAACAATGGGCATACAATGCACGAGTATTGGATGGAAGATTCTCACGGTCGGTATGGCGTCGATTTGACATCATTTGGGCCGTATCGCATGCCTGCTTTGTCGTACCAGTACGGCGTCGACGATGACTTCAATCCCGGAGCATGCCCTGGGAGCAGCAGTTGTAGCCGCGATATCCGAACAGATGCTTATGCAGCCTGGCGAGCAGAGGTGGGCAACAGCACGAGCAACTCGTTTGAGCTCGTATTTATCCTCTCGGCTGGGCAGGATGAATCCTCAACATGGCAAGAGTTTGGCGAGATGAGATTCTCGTCGCCGGAGGATGTTCCTGATGCATTTGGACCTCCCAAGAACACCAACGGCTCTTCGTCGCTGCCAAACTATGCATCCACTCGATATGTTCCCTGGACGTCGTGGGCATCGGCATCTACCATTTGGCCCAACGCGGGGGGCGGTTCGTCGACTCAATGCGAGAGTTCGGGAATGGGTACCTATGCTCATGAGCTTAGCCATCTGTTGAATATTGGCGACAATTATAACAACCCGTATGGCATTCCTCTACGGCGAGATTATACCGGGCCATACTCGATGATGTCTCGGGGATCGTTCAATGGCCCTGGTGGCCCTCATACACGGTACCAAATACCGGCGCTACAAGGAGGCTCAATGGGTTCCTTGCATACGGTTAGAGATAAGCTTGTCCTAGGACTCATCTCCAACGACACTATTGTTCGCATATCGAGAGACGCCTTGGCAGAATCAGGCCCGGTGGTGGCACAAATCACCGCTCGATCAGTCGTATCTGACCTCATTGGCCTGAGGGTCGATATGAACCGAGATCTATCTCCTGCATGTAACGTTTCTACCGACGTGCTCTGCGATGGAGGCGGCTATAACACTTATGATGTCGAAGTTATTGACAGGATGGGAGCCGATTCATTCCAACCTGACTCGGGTGTTATGATAAGCAAGACGAGAAATAGCAATACTCAGCCATTCCAGTGGACTGTCGATGCGAATCCCCAGGATATCAAGCTCGTTGATTTCATCCGGCCCAATGGCACAGCGGCCATGATTACGATGGGCGACTATCGCCAACTAGCGGATGCGTTATTCCACGCGGGCACCGGATCTGGCAGCAAATACGAGTTTGTGGACGAGGCCAACGGTCTTCACTTTTACATATTGGACATCCACAGGGACCAAGCCGGCGTGCTCTCCTATACCGTGGGCGCGAGATCTCTCGCCGACGCTAGCTCAAGCGAATACGGGATTCGGATGACTTCCGGCGCACCACTTGCGCATGAGAAGACGAAGAGCAGTCCCATCACGGGGGGGATTCTTTGTGAGTTCGAGCTCACCAATAACGGCACATATTCCGGTTCCAGCAAAGGCCATGCTCAGGTTCGATCAGAGCACCTTGAGTGGGATATTTTTCGTCTGAAAGCTGATATCAAGGGTGCTGGTTGGAAGGCGGCTTTGCCAAATGCTGTGATTGCATTGAGACACGGGCAAGCAGCAAAGGCCTACGTGGCGGTGCGAGCGGATATTCACGCGAAGGATGCTGTCGGGGTGGTAAAACTGACGGCTACGTCGGAGTCGGACCCAACGGTGAGGGCAACGTCGTTTTGCATAATCGACAAGCACCGTGTAGTTGAGCGGCTCGTATTAAATTGACTCGCAAGGTTATAGAAACGCTGTTTGAGAGTTTAGATTGCATATGTACCTATAAGGAGATATTACTACCTGTGAAGTCTATAATTAAGCTTGTATTACTGCCGCAGATTTCAACGGTGTCTGAATACAGGTGTCTATGTGATATGATGCTTGGTTGAGATCATCAAGGGGAGCAGAGCTGGCAGAGTGATTTTCTTGATGCCACCTCCTGAGCATGATAGCGGTCAAAGAGTCGGTGGCTGTGTGGAGTAGCAGACGCTGCATGTAACCTATTGATTTAGGTTAGAAAGAGGAGTTGTCGAAGGGAGGAACATGTCACCGGCCGCAGAATGATATTCGGTGATTTTCCTATCGATGGTGGCACAGCATACAAGTATCATAATGATCTTTTTTTGCTCATTTTATCTTGTGAGGTAACAAAGTTTAAGTTCTTCCTAAGCAGCGTACATACACCCCGGATCTGGACCCGCGTGGAAATATAAAGTTTACAGTTGACATTATTACATGGCAGAAATAGCCTGCAAAACAAGCTTTTCTTAGTGTCGCTCTTAGAAACATGAGCAGAATTGCCAAGAAAGGGTATCTCGGGGAGAAACACCGATCGACAACTCTATTATCAAGGTCAGCGCACGACGTTCCAGAACACAGGGGCTCTAGGCAAGGGGGCGAGAAAGGCCGCAGGGCTGTGTCGTGTTTCACACTCATTTCTGCAGATACGAAGAACGAGGCAGTGTCCATCGTATAGCGGTTATATACAGGCGGTAGGCAGCAGCACATGGACGATGCCGCATGCATGGCCCTTTTGTTGTTGTCTCCTCTCCTCATTTTACGGCTGATGACATGTAGAGTAGACGTGCCGCTGTGGCAGAACTAAACTTTGGAGGCAGATGGGGAGATGGCTGTAGAATGTCCATTGGAAAACAGTGACGTAGACCAGGTTAGCCTTTGTCGACGAATCATTCCAGCCACGCCGTTGGTTGCTTTGCATAGCCTCAATACATGATACGACGATATACCGGTAGGGGGCATGCATTTCCGAGTACGTAACAGTCTTGGGGAATTTGAGCTTGTGCAATGCGGGCAATGATTGACTACGGCTAGTATTTCTGGCGGAGACGGTGCTGACTTGGGCACTAATAAGACGAGGAGTATTGGAAACAGAGAAGATCGAATCTCACTCAATGACACAAAGATCATTTTGCAGTCCAGTACTCATCTTGAACACACCACTATTCCTAGATACATCGCTGTATTACTTGTAGTTGGTGTTTACCCGCTAATTAGTCGACACAACGTGGTTGGCATGACGGGCTCCGTGCTTTGGCCCCCCATATTACATGCCAAATTAAGAACGATAGCGCCACGCAAAGACAAAATGGAGGCGGGCTTTTGGCAGATAGAAAACTCTTGGCATCAATAGCCCCCAGGAACGGATGCTACGGGCTGCAGAAAGGCGGCCAATCCTAGCGCTGCGTGGTGGCAACGTCTCAATCTTCTGCGATCAAACTAGCGACAGTGCGCCTTTAATTAATTAATAACGTCTGGTGCAGTTTAAGGTTTCTCCGAACAGCGAGTGAGTCGATGTTGTACGGCTTGGCTTGTACATCTCGTCTTCGTCTAGGCTTCATCACTGCTGTGCTGGCGGCGCCCCCTTTTGCGCACTCGTTAGTCCCCGTCTTTTCTTCCTTTTCCCTCTCGCCTATCCATTCACTTGCAGCAGCGCTTGGAATATCTCCGATTAGGGTCCTTTTCCAGCGCTTTAGGCGGGTCGCCTTGAATCGGCGGGATTGGATGCACCAAAATTTGAACGCTGCCACTGCATTTCCGCACTAGCTCTTCCCCCCCTACTAGCGCCGTCGCGGCGCGCATCTGGACCTGGAATTGCTCCCAGGCCTTTTTTTGGCGCCTCCCTTTGTACGACGACGATTTCCCGCTTCTCTCTTCTGCTTCTCTCACTCCCTCGCAGGCAGTCGAGGAGATTCGCCAGGCGACGCGAGACGAGAGCGACATCAACATTGACAACCGCGGAACGCAGACGCAGACACGATGCTGCTCAACTTTGGCAGCAACAAGTACGCCGTGCACTCGCTGCTCGGCGGCTCGATCCTCTTCATCACGCTGCTGCTCTACGTCTGGAACTTCCACCTGCTTCCGGGACCCGGCGATGGCATCCGCGGCCATAGAGGGCCTGGAGAGCCTGGAGGACCGCCACATCCACCACATCCTCCTCCTCCTCCTCCAGGAGGACCGCCACCGCCGGGAGGCCCTCATGGGCCAGGGGGCGACAAGCATAGGCCGCCAAAGAAGCCTGTAGACGACAAATGCCCTAAGGGTACGCTGCGGCATGGGAATTCAACGTACTGTGTGCCCCAGGAGATTGGCGGCATCACCTGGCAGCGACCGGCCGAGGCGAAGAAGATCATGGGACTCATCTTTTACGGCCGTCGCTCCACTGTTTCGATCCTGGACTGCTACTTAAAGGTACGGCGCGCAGACCTATGGACAGTCTAATGGGACTCAGCATGCTAACTTGAGATGGCGGAAACAATAGCGCAATCTGGCCAAGAACGGAGGTCTTCTCGACGGCGTCATCTTCCTTCAGCGCACTAAGAAAGAAAAGGACATCAAGTTCCTCGAAAAACTGCTGGCGAGCGAGCCCGATTACGAGAGATGGGACATTGATATGACCGAGGGCGGCTTCGCCTCCTCTTACGATCTCATTCAAGACGATGTCTTGTATGTCAAGATGGACGACGATATCGTATGAATTTACCCCAGAGGAAGAACGCAGCGTCAGGGAGCTAATTTGAATTGGCAGGTCTACATTGAAGATTCCGTCATTCCCTCCATAGTCACCACCCGAGCTCAACACCCCGAATACTACGTCGTCTCGGCCAATGTCATCAACCAACCGCTCATTAGCTGGATTCACTGGAATCTAGGCGCTATTAAGCCCTATATGCCCGAGATCAACAAGGCCTATCCCGCGCCCAAGCCTGGCAGCAAGTTGGATTGGCGACCATCAGTTTTACCCTCTTGGGAGGGACCTGACGATTTCGAAGTTATCGATTGGAATCCTCCCGACCACCAGAAACACCGATGGCTACCTATGAAAGGCCGCAACGACCACGTTCTTGATCGCACTCCCATTCAAGAGACGGAATATGACGCCTTCGGAACGGGCTGGAAGAAGTGGCAGATTGCCGCTCAAGAGCATTATAGTCTTTTTGAGAACATTGAGAACGATAACCTGGATCAGTATCGCTTCAAGACTTGGGACTTCCAACTGAGGCGCATGGGGATCCAGTTTACTGCCATGATGGGCAAGGATATCAATCAGGCCAAGCCAATTGACGCTGATGACGAGCATCATTTTGCCGTCACAATGCCTGAGAGGACTGGGAGACGTAAGTTGTTTTCTAGGATCGGAGATGGAGATTAAGTACTAATAGCGTGATCCGCAGATGCTGTTGCCGACGGCGCTGGTGTCGTTGCCCATTTCAGCTTTGGCGCCCAAGCCGGCGAAGAACGAATCGAACAAACAGACATTCTCGAACGGTACCGAGTCTACGCCGAAGACATGATTTGCAAAGACCCCATGCTATGGGATCCCATCATGAATAAGCACTCCGATTAATGCCAAAATTTTAAATGGCAACATTTTTCCCTTTTTTCGATTTACTTTTCGACAACACGTGTATAATGTACATCCTGTACGCATATTTCGGAACAACGTCTGCTTTTTCGGCGAATACGGGAGTTGGGAGTATGGTACTATTAGTTTGAAAGTGTGGGCTTTTAGGAACGTGAAAAGAGATGCAGCAGTTTTTGGCATGAAAAGAGGAGAGATCTCATAATGGAACGATGAGCGAGAAAAAGGAAGCGGTCCATTTAGTTGGCATATTATTTTTGGTTCTGGGCGATACCCTTTGTCACCGGGTTACAGAAGCACAGCATTTAAATACTTAGAATGGCGGCGCTGGGTATAATCAATTTTCATAGACATGAAAGCCTTGTTCTTTTGGATATGTGTTTTTGTATGGCTCATTTGAGGCACGGTGAAGGTTTTGTGCGTGTATAAAATAGGGAGTGAAGGACAGCAAGGGGGAAAGCATAGATATATACGATCATAACGGAGAATGTGATGCTGTCTTATTTTCTGAGCGCCAAGTGAGTTGCCAGTACGAGCCTCTCCCTATGCGTTTTCTAACTCAGTTTCCTCTGATAATGTAGTTTCATGTAGCTCCACAGCCGACGCATGCTGCTATAAGGCTCAGTGGCTGGTGGATTTGTTCTTAGGCAGCTGTCCTTGCTCACAGCCAATCGTCAACCTTACAACATTTCTTTGCCAAAAACATCCCGCGCTCTCAAGCTGAAGCCCTCGCTATGATGCTCACCAGCTTATGGAGGCGACCAGTGGCCTCTGTGATCATATCCAGTGCTCTTGGTCGACTGAGCAAACCCCCGCAACTCCCGATATCTGTCACGAATGTTCTGAGGCAGCGCAGCTACGCGAATGATCACGCAGCCTCCGGAGCAAAGAAAGAAAAGAAGAAGAAGAAGAAGAAGAGAAAGAAGAGCGGGGCGGTAGAGGTCAAGCCTGAACAGACAACATTATCGATGATATTAGCCGAGACGAATGCCCTGCTAGAGAAGCTGAACGGAGTCAAAGCTGTATCAGTTGAAGCTCCCCCAAGTGACGCGACAGAAGAACAAAGCCCTACCTTATCAGCCGAGCAAGAAGCCCTGGTCTCACTAGCATTAGAAGGCCACAACATATTCTATACAGGCTCAGCCGGCTGTGGAAAGTCTACAGTTTTGAAAGCCATTCGAGATCGCTTCGAAGCAAGGGGCGAGTATGTCCATGTTTTGGCCCCAACAGGCAAGGTGGCGCTCGCCAACGGAGGCAGAACAACATGGTCGTTTGCTGGCTGGACGCCCAACTCGCATAAAATGAGCTTATACGAGTTAACAAATCCTGATTCTCGACGAAACATTCCGTTATTCCGGCGGCTGGACAAAGTCAAGACAATCATTATTGATGAGATAAGCATGGTCGAAAACGTACACTTTGGACGACTAAATGAACTCATGAAGGCTGTGAAGGAGTCTCCTCTTCCCTTTGGAGGCATTCAGATCATTGCCACGGGAGATTTCTGCCAGCTACCACCTGTGAAGCCATTCCGAAACTGCTTCAGCTGTGGCAGTCAACTTGAGTACAGCTACCGATCACGCACATACTCATGCCTGAATCAGAGCTGCGACATTGACTTCTACGACAAGGAAGACAAATGGGCTTTTAAAAGCAAAGCGTGGCAAGAATGCAACTTTCGCTACGTCTACCTTGCCACCGTCTACAGACAGAAAGATCCCGCCTTTATTGATTTGCTACAAAAGTGTCGGCTCGGATTGCAGCTTAATGACGCTGACTTGAAGCTTTTGACAAGCTCAGACGACAAAACGGACAACCACCCAGTGAAGCTTTTCCCGACGCGAGCAGAGGTACGAGAGGTCAATGATGCAGAGTATCGGCGTCTACATGCTCCTCCGCAGGTATACAAAAGCGTGGATATATCTTTGTGGAACAAAAAGAAACACCGTTACTTGGAAGACAAGCAAGAAAGAGCTGGCGATGGCTCTCTGAAAGCACTGAGCGACCATAATTTTGAAGTCGAACTTCACCTGAAAGAAGGCATGCAAGTATTGTTGCTGCATAATATTGATCTTGGCAGAGGATTATGCAATGGCGCTCAAGGGCAAATTATTGGTTTTGAGTCCTTTGGGGAGATTCCACCTGAGATCCCTCTGTATGAAGAAGATCTACCCGTATATATGTCAGCAGCCCATGAACAGAAGGAAGCGATTGAGAAATTCATGCGCAAATGCCACGATGCCAAAGGTTGGCCAATTGTCAAGTTCCACAATGGCATAGTCAAGACCATCTATCCCGTTTGCCAACCTCTGCTTCTAGGAGAAGAACGCCCGTATTCGCTCATTGGCAGGATGCAGATCCCACTTACCGCTGCCTGGGCTTTAAGCATTCACAAATCTCAGGGAATGACGTTGGACAGCGCTGTGGTGAGTATAGGGAAAGCTTTTGAAGAAGGCCAGATCTATGTAGCTCTGTCGAGGGTGAAGACCTTGGCGGGATTGAAGGTGGAGGGTAATTTGTCCCCGTTACGGGAGTTTAAAGGAGATAGAGTGGTGCAAGAGTGGCTAAAGAAGACATTTGGAGAGAAACTTGTGATGGGAAAAGAGGATTGAGAAACGACGAGTCCCTTCCTGTCATGTCTGCTCCCAAGGAATGTTTTTACCTGAGACACATGTCTCATAAGATAATTAGAGTAAGACGGCATATAAGCGATATAGGAGTCCATACTATACACCATTTTGAGATAGAGTCTGGCGAGAATGATCTTGCCACGCCACATACCCAATCTCAAACGTATTACTAGTTTATCTTGTTTCCACCAAAATCGTCATCCATACAAGCGTTCCCAGCTCATCAGCCTCTTCACACCAACGAGATATCGCCTCATGAGAATCGGATTGCTTCGATTCGATCTCCGTGTTTCGTCCGTTCAACAGGAATATTGAAGATTGTATCGTGCCAAGGCACATATTCTCAACTCCGTGTTGGAGCGACATGGAGTTTTGATACCGCCTTATCCATACCGGGTCCGGGACAGGCTCCCAGAGATCTCGCGTACATGGGAGGGGCACATTTTCAAGCCCCCGGCATTTCACATGGTCTGGATCTTCTCTGAAGACCTCTAGGAGTAGTTCTATACCGTAAAGAACACATATTGTCCTGTGAGTAGAGTTAGGACAAAAGTAAGAGCAAATCGATTTTGTTTTGTACTGACCGGCGAGTGCCCTCCCTTAGTATCCATTCTGGCCTGATGGCGCTTTCATCTGGCCCCAACGGAGTTCGAAAGTCATGTATACTATGGAGGTGTCGGCCAAAGTCCTGCATTCTATGTGTTAGCCATGTCACTGCTGGAGAAAGTACACGTACTATAATTGCTTTAATGACAGAGAGCACGCCCCCAGCCTGAATTGGCTTGATATAGCGTGCATATAGCAGGGCATAAAGTGTGCATGCTTGCAATGATGCCTGGACTTCATAACAATCCATTTTTGACAGCTATAGCATATTAGCATGACTATCACTGGCAGTAGAGAGGCAATAAGAAGCGCGCGGCTTACCTCTTTGTATAATCGCAGCACTTCATTTTCAACAATCGTCCAAATAAAGCCTTTGTTTGACGTCGCTATGTTCTCCGCCATTGTTATAATCGCGCGGCAATTTTCTAAAGGCCGTAATAGACATTGGTGACTTCCATGCAATCCGCAACCATCGCCTTGTTTGCATGAGGCAAAGATAAAAGGCGGAAGATGGCTGCTATTCACCATCTTCAGATAGTTGAAAAGTTGTCCGATTAGTAGCTTTTTGGTCAATTTGGATTCGATTGTTTCACTTCTTTTCGTCACCGAGGTTTTTGGCTTGTCTCCTTCGGACTCAAGGCCATGGCTATTTCCAACTTGCAGCCAAGAAAGTTCGCTTGCGTCTCCTATTGGATCGAGATTTGGCTGAAAGTAAATATTAATAGGTATATGTTTTGATATCGGGCTCGGTGGAGCTAGTATTTGCTGTGACAAGCTTTGCGACCCTGGCGTTACTAAGTCTTTCAACAAAGACAAAAGCCCTGGGTCAGGCTGAGGCCCAAGCGAGCTACCCATATCGCCATCGATTATCTCATCAAAGTTTGGCATAAAGGAATTAATGCTGGGGAATATGGATGAATCATTGCCAAAGTTATCAGCAGTTGTGGGTATTGAGCACCAATTATCCTGGCCTTGCGAGTTACCGCCATATTGGTTCAGGAAGTCATGGACGTATTCGCACGTCAGATTCCGTTTACGGCATCTACTACAAGGGCTGGATTGGGAGCATCGTGTCTTTGATTTGTGACACTCAATACAGGCCTTTCGTTTTCGGCGTGGAAAAGGCATATTGTTGAGTTAAAGGGATGTAGGTAGCATGATTCAACCAGACAGCCGCACGGCAATCGCGTTCATCATGGCAACTCGTCTGGGAATAGCGTCGGAGTTGCTGTGGGCCTGATATGTCTCGTCGAATCACAGACGTGGAAGCGCCGATGCTTTCTAATCCACAATGCCGGCGCTATACCGGCACTCCTATTAGGGAAGTCTAGAATTGCGTGTCATTGCGGATTAACTGTCCGAATATCCAGTATTGGCCAATAGTTGACTCATGCCGTAGTTGTATGCGTATGAGACTGCAAACATGGAGTGGACATTACTCGTCTTGTCGAATCAGCGCCTTGGAAGTGCCGAAGCGATTGACATGCCAATGCCGAGATGCTTAATTACACCGAACTCGGGCATTGAGCATCCAGATAACTATAAAAGGCTTCGTTTTCCAACTAGATCGACCATTCATGATTACTAGTTAAGAATACATCAAACTCTATTATCATATCATGGCACCAATCCGAGTTGGCCTTATCGGCCTCTCAACCGCAAAAGCTTTCACCGGACGCGGTTGCTGGACCGCAGTTTCTCATCTCCCGGCTCTTCTTCAATCGCCAGACTATGAGATTGTCGCCCTTGCAAATTCCTCCGTCGAATCTGCAAAGCGTTCCATTGCAGCACAAGGACTTCCAGAGTCGACAAAGGCATATGGAAGTGCTGATGAGCTCGCCGACGACCCCGATGTCGATCTGATTATCGTGTCAGTCAAGGTGGAGAGCCACTATGAGCTTGTCAAACCAGCCCTCCTCAAGAACAAAAATGTCTTTGTAGAGTGGCCCATGGCCGCGAACACGGCCGAGGTTGAAGAATTGGCTGCACTTGCAAAGAAGAACAATGTTCAGACGTTTGTCGGAGCTCAAGGCAGAGCATCTCCGGTGATGCAGAAGTTGAAAGAATTGATTGCGAGCAATAAGATTGGCCGAGTCATTAGTTCTTCGGTGGTTGCGTGCTCTTTGAACCGCTCTGTGGACGTTTGGCCTGAAAGCTTGAAGTCTTACCTTGATATAGAGAGTGGTGGAAATGAGTTCACTATAGTCTTTGGTCATTGTAAGTCGCTTAACAGGCAAATGATTTGCACAACAAATTACTGATATAAGCAGTCCTCGATTCATTTGTCAATGTGCTGGGCGATCTTTCGCACATCCAAGCGATCTTTAAAACGGGATATAAGACTGTCCGACTTACCAGGCCTGGTAGCAATGCCGTTGATCCCGCAAAAGATAAAACGTCTACCAACAAGGAGGCAGTAGCTTCCATAGCCGTCCAATCTACGGGAGCTGGTAACGACATTGTTGATTCTGCATACGTCAAAACGTCGCCCGACCAAATCCTAGTGCAAGGAGTTACCAGCAGTGGGGCGGTAGCTTCCATAGCTTTCCGAAAACCAAGGCATCACAGCGATGAACACGACCTACGATGGTATATTTCCGGCACTGAGGGAGAAATCATGGTCACTGGCCCCGCAACATGGTCAATAGCTGACAAGGACGTGGAAATCCGAATCAGGAACGGAGATGGGCCATATGAGGTGGTTGATTGCCAGAGCTATCGACTTCCTGCCGCTGAGACACTTTCGCCGATGGCGGCGAATACACACTCAATGTATGATGCATTCGCCAAGGGAGATACAGCCAGGTTCGCAACGTTTGAGTCGGCAGCGAATACTCATAGGATCTTGGAGGAGATAAAGAAGGCTGCATATATACATGCAGACTAAGATGTGTTAACACTTACAGGGATCCAGATCTTTCTTCGATTACAGTGCGCTGTTAATTGAATATGACTTCATAGCATGCAGCGTTTCAATGGAATATGATATACATACATACTAAGTTCAAGTTGCCGGATAGCGTAAATGCTGTGCAAAAACTCTATCGTAGATCAAGTGGACTCTCAAGTTGAAAGGAGCGCATTATGATGTAAAAAGCCAATGCGATTTCACCACACCGCCGTCAGGAGATATGGAGAGTCCGCCTTTCATAGCGAGCTTTGCTAGGTGATTGAGGTCATTTAATCAACAAACTAGCGCTTTCGAAAGCATTGTGAATTTATGTTCTGGTGTATTCGGACAGAGAAGTCTGTCAAGCATAAAGATGCAAACTATTATCAAGACAATGACTATTATTGCAAATACAAATCAAATAATCCATCAATGTCCTTTTTACGAGTTTTTACGCTAGTTATCTCGCTTCAAGCCTTTGACATCAAACTATTGATAATTGAGCCAATAAGTCTTTAACTCGTACGGATAGAGTCTTTGCTAAAATTTCGCCTATTAGTGTCTCTAGGCTTGGATTTGTCCAACCCAGCATCATGTTTTAATCGATTCCTTATTTAACGGTATTACTTTTTACCGATATCTTGGTCTTGACATCCCAGTTCATAGGACCTCACACGCCGTAGAGAAAGTCTGTTGACGAGATATGCATACACGGCGTGTCCACTTTGCACTACGGCCGTTTTAGGCGCTTATCGTGATATTTCGGACAAAACACAATACCTCGTTGGTCGTTGAAGCATTTGAATCTGTCATGCAAGGAAATATAGTGTAATATCCTCTTGAAGCGGTGTTCCTCTACATTAGTGCATTTACCTTGATTGGAGACTCAGCCACGTACTACCTCAATAATGCCAGACGTAGGACGTTTCCCCTCTTTGAAGAACAAACAACCGCAGTTTCGAAGACAGATTCCGCTTAGTTATCTTAGTGTCGATGCCTACTTGGTCGCATAAAAACTTTGTTTCTTCCTCCGACGGAGGACTAGCCTCTCCGTGTCGGATCCGAACAACTACCTGGGCGCCATCGCACGATATAGACGAACTAGTGACGCTCGTTCAAGGAGAAAGCCGGAACGTAAAATCCCCCGTTACACGACAGACGTTATATCCGAGAGCGATGTGGGTGAAGTTGGTTGGCCGTGCACGCCTCATCATAGATGCATGCATGTAGGTTGTTCGCGATGCTCGTAAATCGTATAGAAGCTAAGAAAATGGTGGCTGATCCGATAGCCCTTCTAAACGTGGCACGCTCGGTGCCGTTCCGACTCGGCAGGGCTGCTTGGCGGATTTCGTTGCCTCGCCACGTTCAGCTGTTGCGTCTAAATTTTGGCGTTTCGCTTGGCGTACAGCAGGAAGGAGGTTGCAAAAAAGCGCCGGGCGTCTTTAAAGCGAAGGGCCGGCTAGGATAGCGCCCAGAATGGAAAGGCTAGGCGGCTTCTCCTCACTTTTGATGGATACGTGCCTCGGCTCGTCTTGCTTAGTGGCCTCATCGATGTAGACAGCTTCCTCATGAGTCATGGGTTGGCAATGCCCTCGATCCAATCAAGAATCAAGCAGCCGCCCCCAGGTTCGTCAAAAACGCGGGGTGTGGACCAATATCCTTTAGCTGGAGCGGTCAAGCCCGTTGGGACGAGTCCGATTTAAACTACGAGATAAACAGCTGCATCGAGGTCGATTCTCAGCTCAACGTTTGTTGGCGAAGCTATAGAGTCCGTGTGGGGGAATGGGATGAAGTGAGGTTCGGCAGGGATCTCCCCACACAGCCCAATTCCCCCGTACGGGGAAAGTCCAAGGGTGGTTTGCATCCATTGATGTCAGATTGTAAGAAACCCAGTAATCAAGATCAATTCCATATTCCATTTTGGGTCCCTGCCGCGAACAAAAGCAAGTGTCAATGCTGGAGGCTAAAACAAAAGGGCTTTGGTTAGTCTGCGAGCATCATACATCAATTCTCATTCTGATTTTGCATCTTAATTCCGAGACTCGATTCCGTGGCCGTAAGACTCTTTGACTGCCGCCAGCAACTGTGCGCCGGACGAGCCGTTTCTGGTAGCGAGCATTGTCTAAACTTTACTAGTGGCTGGACCCAGGAAGAAGTCCGCAGTATAAGAAAAAAATGATAGCAATACTTGTCTAGTAAAACAGCCTATAGATACGCCCTTTACGCATCATGAGGCCAATAAAAGCAAAAACATATCCAATATCCACTTGATGACAGAAGGCTTTCAAAGCCACTGGATGCTTGCCCAGCTCGTCTCGTCGGGCAAATTGATGGGGCCGCCTGTTAGCGACGATGCCCCGGACTTGGCGAGGTGTCCGCTCGTACTACGTCGCACAGACTCTCCCGTACAAAGGAGTAGCTAATCCGTAACTTGCCCTGCCCGCTGCTAGAGCTAACAGAACTGGGCTAATGATTAATATCCGCCATGCAACCAACCCGGAGACATAGCCTGAAAGATCGTTAGACTGCGGGGGAGCATGGAGGCGGGGGCGAATGTGGGCTCTTTGTCCGGGGTAAAGAAGCAGAAAATAGAGACCAAAGTGGGCTCAGTTGCGAAAGCTGCCCCAACTGGCGGACGACTAATTGACCGTTTCATGTAAGCCACCTGATGGTTGGAGCAGATAGTCCACACAACTCTTGTCAACTATCGAAATACATCGATCCGGCGCCACGCAAGAGAGATCCAAAGTCTGGACTTTGATGTGCGTTCATGGGGGGCCTGCAAACAAGGGTGCGGAGTTTGCAAGAGGCTGGCACGGCTTGACCGTATGATGATGGTGATGTGCATTCCTGATGATGGTGTTGGCGTCTGGGTAGCATTCAACTATTTAGTCTCTTGCCTTTTCCTGTAGTAATGGGCATATCTCGCCTCCTTCCCTTCTCTCTTCACACCTCGATTGCTTAAACATATACCTAGTACAAGTGAAACGTCTGGTTACACAAGACAGCACCATGACGACTCGGGAACTGAATCGTCTACACACCCATGATTGTATGCTCTCTTCTTTCTCTCGTGGTGGATACAGTCCATGTATCGTTGTCAGTGAAAAGACAGTCAACTAACTTGTCGTGAAATGAAGTGGAGTTGGGCACAACCGAAGCCACCCAGAAGCACATTCCTCGCAATGTTGTCCCTCCCAGGCGCATTTCGCAGCGCCGACTCGATTTCGAGCACAGGCGGCCTCGCTGGCTGCGCGAGTGTATAGCGGAAGCGACTGGAGTGTTTATGTATGTGCTGCCTGGAATCGGCGCCATTGCCACCTTTACCTTGAACGGCGCATCACCTCTCGGCGTCTCAGCCTTTGGAAGTCTCTTCGCGATCGGTTTTGCGTTTGCTCTTGGCATTGCTTTTGCCATTATTACTTGTGCCCCAACCTCGGGTGGCCACTTCAGTCCAGCAGTTACGATTTGTCTTTGCATTTGGCATGGCTTTCCTCTCAAGAAAGTACCGTACTATATATTCAGTCAACTCCTTGGTGGATTTATTGCTGCCCTGGTACTCATGGGGATTTACCACCAGCAAATCAACGAGATGAAGGAACTGCTCCTTGCGGCCGGCAAACCTCTCGTCGCAAATGGCGCTCCCGCAAGTATCCTGTGCTCGTTCCCCAACCCTGATCAGTCAATGGGATACGTGTTTCTCACAGAGTTCATCTGCGATTGCTTCGTCGGATTCATCATCTGGGCCGCCATTGACCCGGCCAATCCCTTCATCTCTCCGGCAATCGCTCCCCTGATGATCGGTTTGGCATACGCTGCCATGGCCTGGGGCTTTGGAGACGCCACCCTTACCATGAACACAGCTCGAGACCTTGGTCCTCGAATCGTTGCTGCAATCTTCTTCGGCAAGGAGGCCTTTACTTACATGAATTATTCTCCCATCGCCATTCTTGCCAGCATACCTGCCACACTGGTGTCCAGTGCGTTCTACGAGTTTGTGTTCCGAGACAGCGTAACTATCATTCAAAGTGGCCATGCGGTTCATGAAGATGGGGATGAAGCATTGGTCAGACACCTCACTAGGACTACTACAGTAGAGGGCATTGAGGAACGGCGAACTGAATACAAATCTTAAGTAATCTTGGTCGGGTTAAAATAGGCCTGTCATGCAGACAATAAAAACACATTTTGAATATCTACATGTACCCTGTTCTACCGCTAGCGGACAAAGTGACTGTTGGCACGCAAAAATTGTAAACTCTTGACCATACAGCGCTTACTTCGATAAGAAGCACATGTCCTAGCGATGCTGACATCCTTAAACTTTCTACGCAATCAATTATAATAAACTCACTGCAACATGTAGATGGCAACCTCTATTCTCTTTGCTTATTCATCCAGACTATCTTCAATGAGTACTTAGCAGCAAACCCCCACCCTTTTGTGTCATTATGGTCCAATCTGGTGATCTTCGGTACCTGCATCCGTGATTATTAAACATGCATACCGGCATCTCAAGGTTGGGAGCGTTGCCACTACGAGACACACCCTTTCTAAGACGTTTTTGGGCAAAACGACATTTCCCAAAGTAGCTCAACCCTTCTCCATTACCCCAAACTACTCTAATTTATTCTCCCTTTACTGGGAACCCCAGTAGCACATATACTTGTTGACTTGGTCTCGGGAACGTGATCAGTAATCACGTCCGTCGTCTACACGCCGCACCTTAAAAGCATATATTGACTTCTAGCGGCTGTCTGTAAACAAGATTGATGATTAAGCTAGAGTTTTCCTACTAACCAGAAACGCAGTCATTTGCTGACTTGCTTTTGGTACCTTTGGCTGGATGGTGTATAAGCAGCGTGCTCGTCAAGCAGCAGAGTTAAGATAGCATGGGAAGACGAAAGGTGTCTTATCACTCAATCAAATGCAGATATGCCGCCTTGACATATGTTCTTACACTGGTGACATAGACTGTTTCTCAGTCTCACTGAGTGTATCCAACTAAGAAGATGTGACTCGAGAAGTTAGTGACCAAGAATACCTGAAAATCGACATACTGTCTTCCTGATTCATCGTTGAAACTTGAGGCTATACGTCTTATATTAACTAATGAAATGAGCTAAAGAAGCAGACAACAATAACTAAATAAATGCATAACATTTAGTCTACTATATAATTTTACCTTTATCACTGCTTGCTCAATGCAAATGCCAAAATTGTGGCGAACGGGCACAGCCTTTAGCAACTTTGGGAGCGTTTCACACTGCTGACTGCTTAAGGTACAGTTGAACTGTGCTACAATGTCCCACTTTTGTATTTAATGCATTCTGATGACTTCTGGCATGCCCTCAACACATATTTTCTTCATCTTTCTCTTCCTTCCAGAGCCAACCAGATTGAAATGTTTTGGTTCCCCGCACGGGCTTCAATTGGCAAAATGGCTTGGCGCAAAACATGTATGGAATTGATCCTTCTCAGCCAATTCACGTGACGGAAGGTGCATGATGCACGTCGGATGCTGACGGCTTCCAAGCAGCCAACTTCAACCATCAGCTTCAACTTCAACTATAACACAAAATTGGACTTAAAGCAAAACAACTTTAAATATGGGACGCGACTGCTGCGGCCAACAGGCTTCGGCACCGGAAATATTAAATGCACCAGATGCGGGTCCAGCTGAGCAGAGCAACGTCTGCCAGCAATCTCGCTCTGATGACGACTGCTCTGAAACTCTCAGCTCTATGAGCCTGGGTGGAGGAGATTGCCCTCAGGCCGTACTGGATGACTGCTGCTCTTCTGGAAAATGCGAAGATGAAAAAGCTCAAGATGGTACTGACCAGCCTTACTGCTGCTCTTCTGGGGAATGCGACGACAAAAAAGCCCAAGATAATTGCTGCTCTTCTGGGAATTTCGACGACGAAAAAGCCCAAGATGACTGCTGCTCTTCTGGAGAATGCGAAGATGACAAGGTTCAAGATGATACTGACCAGCCTGACTGCTGCCGTGGCAAAGTCAGCCCATGCTGCGATTCGTCTTGCCTCGATCGCTTGGCAATGCGAGAGTGCGAGATGAATGCTGCTATCCTCGGCTCCGGCGCTCAGACAAACGGTGAGTAGCTGCTGTTTGAGACGGTCAGTCACATTGCTAACTCATCCCAGCATGTAGTGAAGCGACTGACGGCCAGGCATGCAGCCAGCATAGTATCTCTGTTCTCGATCGCTATGGTGCCACTCTACGGACTTTGGGATGCATTTGCCGCGCTCTCATTGCTCTTGGCCAGGAAACCTGCTGTAAGGTCCCCGAGCGCCGCTCTCCAGACGCGGACAGATGCTCCAAAGATGCGTCGAGCCGCGAACATCGCGCTTCGCTGGATGACTGCCTTAGTAGTGCATCTGTCACCATGGACCAGGCTGCGAAGAACCGTCTTCGCCTACGAAAGAGTGCTGGTGAAAGGGCCATATTCATCAACCCCGCCAAAAAAGCTTTAACCGACGACTGTGCGAGCTCTTGTTGTTCAAAGAGCGAGTCCGCCAAGCGCTCAAAGGCATACTTCGCGGAAGGCAAACCTGTCGATAAACCTTTCCCTCAAAATGAGTGTGGCGATACTTGCTGCTCAAAGGTTCCCATTGTGGATGTCAAGGCCGAAACCAAGCACAGCATAGAAATGTCGACCAATGACTGTCACGACTCTTGCTGCTCTGACGATATCCCTAAAGCCTTACATGTCAGGGACAATTTTGCAGAAGACTGCTGCGGAGGAGCCATAGATGAAGCCGCCATAAAGTCACCCAAGGCCATTTGTTCCAGCTCTTGCTGCAAGCCACTGAAACAGAATACTTCAAAAGCCCCAAAGCCTGGGTGTGTGGACTCCTGCTGCTCAGAAGACCGGCCGACTAGCCCTCAAAACTCGTGCAACGATGTTTGCTGCTCCTCTACCATGCCTGATACTGTGCTTAACATCGAAAAAGCCCCGATTCCCGCCATTAGAGACATGGAAAATCAGGGCGCCGGAAAAGAGCATGTAGTTCTTAGCGTTTCTGGCATGACCTGTACTGGTTGCGAAACAAAGCTCAACAGAACCCTTGCTACTGTCGCCGCTGTCAAGGACTTGAAGACCAGTCTGATTCTCTCTCGAGCCGAGTTCAACATTGATCTTCGTTTGGGATCAGTAGAGGAAGTCATGAAACATCTAGAGCGAACGACCGAATTCAGATGCGAAAGAGTCCAGAACAAAGGATCTAATCTAGATCTTATTGTCCCCGATGAACCGGCCAAGTTCCTCAGCCAAGTATGGCCAGACGGCGTTATTGACATGGCACTCGTGAACGATCGGACCGTGCGAGTTACGTTTGATCCGAAGATAGTCGGAGCTAGAGACCTAACTGAGAAAATTTGGGGCCCACCAGTCATACTTGCTCTTCCGCGCGGTGATGTTTCGCTGGAGGCTAGCAGCAAGCATGTTCGCCATGTCGGGTATATGACGCTTCTCTCCGCAATTTTAACGATTCCGGTGCTGGTCATGGCATGGGCGCCACTTCCTGAGAACAAAGTGGCATATTCCTCTGCTTCATTTGCCTTGGCCACTATTGTTCAATTTGTCATAGCAGGTCCTTTCTACCCCAAGGCTCTCAAGGCTCTTGTTTTCTCTAGAGTGATCGAGATGGATCTCTTGATCGTCTTGAGCACAAGTGCTGCCTACATCTTCTCGGTGATCTCCTTTGCATACCTCATTATAGGGAAGCCCCTTTTGACTGGTCAGTTTTTCGAAACGAGCACCCTCTTGGTTACCTTGATTATGGTAGGTCGATGGGTTGCCGCTATCGCTCGCCAGAAAGCAGTTGAATCCATTTCTATCCGCTCACTTCAGGCATCGACAGCCATCCTTGTAGACCAAGAGAGCGGAACGGAACGCGAGATTGACGCACGGCTATTGCAATATGGTGACACATTCAAAGTCCTACCTGACACTAGAATTCCAACCGACGGCACTGTCATCAAGGGCTCATCTGAAGTTGACGAGTCTATGCTTACTGGCGAATCCCGGCCAGTGGAAAAATATCCCAAGTCTGTGGTGATTGCTGGGTCTATCAACGGATCTGGAGTTATAACTGCTAGACTGAACCGTTTACCCGGCGACAATACTATCTGCGCCATTGCTGCGATGGTTGACGAAGCTAAACTACTGAAGCCTAAGCTGCAGGATCTTGCGGACCGAGTAGCATCCTACTTCGTCCCGATTGTAGTGGCATTAGCGACAATCACGTTCGTCATCTGGATTGCAGTGGGCATGACTGTTCGTGGGTATGATGGATCTGAAGCTGCCACTCAGGCTATCACGTTCACCATTGCTGTCCTCATCGTCTCTTGCCCTTGCGCCATTGGATTGGCTGTTCCTATGGTTATTGTGATAGCAAGTGGAGTCGCGGCAGAAAAGGGCATCATCTTTAAGTCCGCGGAAGCTATTGAAGTTGCGCACAAGACATCACACGTCGTGTTTGACAAGACTGGTACCTTGACTCGCGGAAAGCTTTCTGTTGTCACGGAGAACTCCGTTGACAAGGGCAAAATCTCGCTTCTTTTAGGCCTCATCGAAAGCAGCCGACACCCAGTCTCCCTTGCTGTGGCTGCTCATCTCAAGCGAGCTGGAATCACAGCCTCGGCTGTTGCTGAGCCCAAGAGTATTACTGGTAAAGGTGTTGAAGCGACCGTGGGTGGCCAGAGTCTTCGAGCAGGCAACTCCCGTTGGCTCGAGTTGACAAACCATAAACTTGTTCAACCGATGCTTGCTCAAGGGTACACGGTCTTCTGCTTCACTATCGATAATACGTTAATGGCAGTCTACGGTCTCGAAGATGAGCTTCGACCTGACTCAATGGAGACGGTTAAATCATTGCAAAGGCGCGACGTTTCGGTGCATTTAGTTTCTGGAGACGACGACGGAGCTGTACAAACTTTGGCATCCAAGCTCAGCATTCCTAACGACCTAGTGCGTTCTCGGAGTTCACCCGCTGACAAGAAAGACTACATACAGAAGCTCCTTGGGACAACTATAGATCGTAAACAGCCGGTTGTCGTTTTCTGCGGCGACGGCACGAATGATGCTGTTGCTCTCGCGCAAGCAACAATCGGCGTCCATATGAACGAAGGCACGGATGTCGCGCAATCTGCAGCGGATGTAGTGCTCATGCGCCCTTCACTTGGTGGCATCCTTACTATGATGGACGTCAGTCAGAAATCCGTCAATCGCATCAAGTTCAATTTCATGTGGAGTTTCGTTTACAACGCCTTTGCAATCCTCCTCGCCGCAGGTGCTTTTGTCAATGCGAGAATTCCTCCGGAGTATGCGGGACTAGGAGAGTTGGTAAGCGTGTTGCCAGTCATTGCTGCTGCGGTACTACTGCGATGGGCGACGATCTAGGTCTACAATGATTGTAAATCTTAATAACTTTACTCGATATTCCCTGAGACTGTTGCTGTTACAGATGGCAGGCGACACCTCCTGCAATGATCAGTTTGCAAAACATGAGAGTTAAGAATAGTGACGAGGTGCTCAATCATTAATAACAAACTATACAAACTAAACTATCGCCAAACCAATCATAATATGCGTAAACATCATAGCTCATGCAGCCCACTTCCAGAGTCGATCAAGCATTCCCTTTGGCTTCTCTGCATACTCTGTAGATTCATCCAACTGGCGTCCGGTATGAAGATCAATCTCTTCAGCGGTGCGGATCTTGGTCTTCTTGAAAAACTTCCAGCCCAGGAATAGTGTAAAGAAAATACTAAAGCACATAGTCAGTATATAGTTCGAGCAAGGAGAAGAGGAAAATGGAAACGTACGGAATGCCAACATAAGACACAACAAACTTCTGTGTATCCCAGTGGCCATGAATGAAGACGCTAAAGCCATTGAAGATGATGACAATGATGAAGAATACGAGGCTGATATAAGAGATGTAAGGCTGTAAGAAACCTTTAAAAGCCAGCTCTTCATTCTGATTAATGCCTTGAGCCTTTAGAGCTCGGTCAAAGCCAATATACGCGATACAGATACTGCACCACGTGAATAGAGCGGCGGTCGTAACCAGGTTGGCGAACCAGGAGAACACTCGGGCACTATCAGAGCTGACAGCCATGTAGGTGAGCGGTGCAAGAGCACCAGTGCAGAGGACGCAGTAAATCGGAACTCCCCTCTTGGTGCACTTGAGGAGAAATTTTGGGGCCTGGCCACCTTCCGCAAGAGCAAGTAAATATCGGCTACCGCTGTAGAGCAGTGCATTGCCGGATGAAGCAGCTGAAAGAAGAACAACCGCGTTGATGATGGAGGGGAGCACCTTGATGCCGGCACGGGAGATCCCAATGACCCAAGGCGAGCTGGCAACGCCGGCACCGCCGTTCAAGAGTCGATCATCATTGTATGGAACGATGACGCCGATGGCCAAAGTACCGAGGACATAGAAGAAGATGATTCGCCAGAAGAGACGGTTGATGGCCTTTGGGATGTTGTATCGGGGGTTTTCTGTTTCTCCTGCTGCGACAGCAACCATCTCGATGCCGGCAAAGGCAAATCCTGCGTTGACAATAGCGTTGAACAGTCCAAGAAAACGTCCTGTATCGCCACTAGCAATGTACTCGAGCATAGCGCCAGGGTGGTGCCAGTATCTATTACCAAAAACCCAGGTCAGCCAACTTGAAGCTTATTTTTATAGTATTCAGCCATTGGCGTATGAAACTCACCGAAATCCAAGTCTATCATGGGTGGGCCCGCCTCCTAGGTCTATGACCAGAGAGAGGATGAGGAGGCCGACCAGGGCCACAATCTTGACGCAAGAGCAGACGAATTCAACTTCTCCAAAGATTCCAACGTCAATGAGGTTGAAGATGAAGATGAGAACGAGAATGATGGAGATCCAAACAGCAGGCTGTTGATAGTGTCTGTTAGAAAATGAATTTCCCGATACTTGTGACGAGAGTTGTAAGAGAATGTGGCGCCTTGGGACTTACCGAAATGGTATCGTTCCAAAACTGAATAACCGCAGCGGCAGCAGATATCTCTGCGCAGACTGTGATTGCACAATTATACCACTGATTCCACCCAACCGCGAATCCCAACGCTTCATCAACGAAACGTGAGCAGAATCTCGGTGTGGCTCCTGGAAGTGGTATCCATGTTGTCATCTCTCCAAGACATCGCATCTATACCATGTGTCAGTTGATGCTGACATAACTCATCAAACCCCCAGAATCTCGAATTGACGAATCACTAGTCAGATTTAAGGCGCAACTCACCATAGCAAAGATGAAGATACTAGTAATGCTATAGCCCAATAGGAGAGACAGTGGCCCCGCTTGAGCGAGGCCACCACCAATACCCACGAATAGACCCGTTCCTATTGTGCCTCCAATAGCATAAAACTGCATATGGCGTGACTTGAGCTTCCTCTTTACCGTCTCCCTCTCAACAGGGGTCCCTTCATAATGGGAAGCATTGTTGATCGAGATGGAGGCATCCTCGGACAGGTCTGAAGTTGGGTTTGCAATCTTCTTCTCGTCCATTGTCGGAGCTGTAGTTGTAACTGTTTTTGGCTTGTATGATTAAAAACTTTTTTTCCCTGAACGTCTCCATTCGTATTTGTAGTTATCCAAGACGACTTACAAGGTTCCTTTTGAGCACTCATGATCGTTATCATAGGAGTCGCTATCATGAGCTGAGCTGAGGTCTATTTCCCGATTTCTCCGACAGACGCCTCTCCAATATGCCGATGGCCGACCCACGCTGGAGCACGCTCTATGAAAGCTATTTACCGACAACCCAGGATGCCCAATCGCCGACACGACTGATTCCAGAGCATATACGAAAGGATAGAATTGAGAGAAAAGAAAAATAAGGGAAGCTCTTATATACAGATAAAGAGCGCCGCCATGGTGTCGCCCTAGTTTTGTGGCTTGAATCTCCTGATAGCTGTCTTGTCTTGGATCTAAGACCAGAAGCAATCATGACACCGGCACTAGTGGATGACGGCCAGCCTGTGAGTATCTGCTGCTTTTCTTCTGAATCCTTGTCGTCCATTTCTCTCTCCTTGACTTCTGACCATCTGGGCTAATTATTCGCATCCAGGCCTGGAATAGGTTGATTCGCTTCGAAGACATCAACGGCAAAGAGAGATATGGCGAGCCCGTAGACGATGACCTCGATGGTACGACACCACTCTGCCAATAATGATTCCAAACCACGGGATCAGACCGGCATCTTCCCGCAGCGCTGACAGGGAATTTTTCTTTTAGTTGGAATCGCTTTACACCGTGGCGAAGATGTATATGCCAGGATTGTTCGAACCGAGTCAGCCCTGGACCTATCAGCCGTCCTCTCGGCAGACATCGTTCAAGTCAAAAAGGTTAGCCGCAGTATATATATAAAAAAAAAACCTATGGTTTTTTCAGGGAGGGCGCATAGGACAGCCTTGTTAACGGAATAATAAGCTGTTGGCACCACTTAAACCACAGGAAGCGGGTACGATACGGTGCATCGGGCTCAACTACCGGGAACACGCTGTAAGTAATGCCGCAGGGGTCCGCAAAGCAGTTGCCGCAACGTTGCAAAAGCCCTATTTGCCACTTATATAGAACCAAGTTGCTGAACTCCTTTGTATAATAGGCGGAAATGAAGTTGTCAATCCCTGAAACCCCCACAATGTTCCTCAAGGCAACGGAAACCATCAACCACCCTTCAGGCCACATCATTGCTCCCCACTGCGCAGACCTGCACGACTGCCACCTGGACTACGAGGTGGAACTCGCCGTTGTCATCGGCAAGACGTGCAAAGATGTCTCCGAGCATCAGGCCATGGAGCATGTTCTGGGCTACATGACCGCCAACGATGTCACCGCACGGACACACCAGAACGAAGTCTCACAGTGGGATCGCGGCAAGGGCTTCGATGGGTTTGCTCCAATCGGACCGGCGCTAGTCTCGTCCAAGATTATTCCTGACCCGTCGGTTCTGAAGCTGCAGACTATCCTCAACGGCGAGGTCATGCAGCAGGGCGAGGCGAGCGACATGATCTTCACGGTACCAAAGATTGTCTCATTTCTTTCCCAGGTGAGTTACAGGCTGAGTCAGAGGGGGGCCAGTTCCCGCTGTTTAGTTGTCTTCTTGGCTAACACACGATGTTGAACAAAATTACAGGGCTGCACGTTGCAAAAGGGGACTATCATCTTGACGGGAACCCCTTGCGGCATTGGCGTCAGCCGGAACCCACCCGTTCGGCTTGTTGAAGGGGATGAGCTATTCGTGACTATCAGCCATGGCCTTGGCTCGCTGACCAATCCGATTGCGTTTAAACCGTCTACGCATTTGGAGTCTAAACACGCACAGCTTATTGATGCGAAGATGTAAGGAAATGGGTTAGGAACTGTGAGGATGGGATTTCACCTTGCGAAAAGCGCATCTCAGAGCACGAAATTTGAGGGCGAAGGCGTTTAGCGTATATATAGGTATATACATGTGCTTGTTTCAAGCTGTTTTTACAAATTTCATAGCTATTTACTTAGGAATCACTGTCCACCGTAATTGTCCTCCGCAATACCTGTAATCATCTGCTCCCATGAACTGAAATCTGCTGCACCCGGAAACGTAAACTGGCCATCTTCCCAAACAGTTGGCCAGTATATAGAGCTCATGTCGGAAGACATGGCTGGAGATTCCAAATCCGATGGACGCATTCGCCCCGTACCATCTACAGTCTGCATCCTGGGGCCAGGTGGCTCAGGTGGAGTGCCTGATGGGTAGGCAGTCATCGAAGTATATCTTGAGTCCTTGGCCTTTGCAATGCACAACTCGACTACTTTCAACTCAGCCATGCCAAATTCGTTTAGCCAGGGATCCTGGTGCAGATTCTCGCAATATGCTTCCAAGTCCTCCAAGATGGCACCAGCTTGCGCTGAATGAGGATTCTTTACTGCAATGATTCCTAGAATCATGGCACTGTTGAAGAGGTTGTGAGCTCCAAAAGCCCACCGCAGGCTGTCTGCGTTTGTGCTATTCATTGTACGAAGCCGTATCTTCAAGTCTGCCAACGCCGAAGACATGCATGCCTCGTGGCTAGTTCGAAATCGATCCGTGATTGATTCTCGAAGTAAGAAAGGTCGATGCAGGACGATTCTAGCAAAGTGAAATGACGTATGCAGGTATAATCGATGCCATGGGAGAAATGGGAGAGCGTCATCCGCTGCCGTGTCTGGGTTATCTAAGCGGAAGTACGGCGGAAGCTGTTCGCTCCATCTGACCAGGTTTGCATCGAGCTGAAGAACAGCCTCATAGCTTGCTCTTTCCATTCCGAAGCACTTCTCCTGTATCTTTCCAACGACTTGTGCAAGTCGATAAAGCAGAGATGATAGCACGCTTGGCGTTGGAATGCTAAGCGGCTGTGGCACAGCACGGCTGGCTTCTTCGTCCTCCATGTCATCCAGCCAGACATTTTCAGGCTCGTGCGTCAAGCAAAACTGATTGTTGATTGCATAAGGCCGGCCCAGTGCAAGCGATATCATACGGTCGATTGCATATATATGGCTCCAGAGTCGTCTCCGCTGCTCGGTGGCTTTGCGAGTCATCCGCCATCTCTCACCGTCGACCTGTCGGGTATAAGTTTCTTATATAAACCAAAACATCTAGCTGGTATAATTCTTACATGCATGCCTTGTGCTTGGGCCATCCTCGATGCGAAGCCGATGGTCAACCACGACTCTGAGATGCGTCGAGTGTAAAGTAGATAGCGAGTTACGAGCAGTCCGGCTCGTACAATATCTGTGCTTTCTCCGTAGAACGACGGAGCAATGACAATTGCTCTTCTTGCCGCCCACTATAGCATTACTTGTCAGCTTATTTCCATGTATGGGTTTCTTGTTACCCGAGAAAATCAACTTACATAAAATCGAAGAGAAGCTTCTTCTCGTTCTCGCTGCACATCCAGCGTCGGATGTGGCGGAGAATCAAGCAAAACTCCAAAGGCCAATATTATGAATAATAGCCCCAGCCATCGGAGGTCGACGTTGGCCAAATCATCAAAACCAAATCGTCTCCCCCAAAACTCATCATAGCTGCTTCTAAACGTTGCCTCATGAACCGCATCCAACGACCAGTTCACCTCCGCCAGGAAGATATTCACCAAGCGGTCAACTGTTGACTTTTGTCGAGGCAAGAGACCAAGTAGATCCCAGACCTGAGCGAAGGAGCTAGACTCATCCCTAAAAGACTGCAGAGTGTCTCGACCTCGCGATATGCCTGCCGGGAGATCTTGGCCCTCTTCACTGAGTATCCTGGAAGCCACCTGGTGACCAAAGTATGAAGAGCCGTAAAAGGCTCTGGCACCCCTGTTAGCGAACAACGACCCCAAACTAGGACTCATTGGCGGCTGCGTCACTCTCCTCGGTCTGGGAGAAGGGCTGGGCGGAGCGATTGAAACCACCTGGGGAGACTGTGAATGCTTGAAAACACCATTGCTGTTGGTGGAGTCGCCGCACAGATGGGCAACTCCCCGCTGTAGGCAGCGGTTACAAGGCTGGTTCCTATCACACTTCTGCTTCCTCAGATGGCATTGTGTACATGACGTGGGCTTCCGGCCTCGTCTGCTGCCTCTGCTGGCCGATTTTCGCGGCTGGGCCATCATTACAGAGTCCGACATCTCGGGATATCTCCACATTCACCCGCGGGGACCCGGCGCCGAGAGCAAATGATTATAAAATGCGTGTCGGTATCGGCAAATGATAGACTCGAGAAGGAATAAGACGGAGGACGAGAGTTGTCAATGGAAGGGGAATTTGCCGATATACATGTATTTAGTGGTTGGTTGTTGGTGGCAGCAGTATCTGGGTTCTGGGGAAGCCCCAGTTTCTGAGAAATAGCTTGGGAAGAGTCGCCAAATCACTGGGTGAAGATTCGACAAGTCTGTGCGTTGGGCTGGGGAATTTCACGCCATCGTCCGAGCTACGGCGAGCTTTGAGCATTTATGGGGAAGAAGCCGCAGGTGTGGAAACATCAAGGTTGGCTTCGTATATGCGAGCGCCCGCTGCCTCTTTTGACCTTTTACCTGATTCGGGTTGACAAGAGCGGTTTGTAATTAATTGTTGGTTGAGTTGCAGACGGCAACAAGATTATGGGCTTTGGTTAACACTACCGGCAGGATACAATGAAATGATAAAGCGTGCAAGATAGTTTCCAGTGGCTTTGCACCATGGCGTCAGGCTTGATCATACGTGGAATATTATTTTGCAATGTAATTGCCGCTAAAGGATCCCTGCCCGATTACCAAACTGTTACCAACCTGTAGGCTCTCGAGATTCCATCCATCCGCCAACCCTGAACCCTGGCCATAGATTATGCACAGTATATACGATCTGCCCGTCTATATCGCCTTGATCGCCTCCTATCGCTTACCACTATCCACCGGCGTGCAAGTGACAAACATAAGGCACCCGCGCTCCGAGGCCCAGGGCCCATGCTCCATGCCGGCGTTGCGGTATGCATACATGCCCTTGTAAAAGGTCTGGTCCAGCCTCTTATCCGTAAGATCGCCTTCGACGATGTAGACCTCCTCGATGTAGGTGTGCACCATGGGACTCGATGTTGGATTGGTTGCTCCCGGCTGCCATCGCTGCAGTATTGACTTGCGGCCATTCAACGTGTCTTCGTTTAGTGTCATTTCCTCGATGCCGGGAGAGCAGACTCGCCAGTTGGAGCGCGTGGATGGATCGTGGAATTCGAACTGCTCCATCTTGGGGGCTGTAGCTGCAGACATCTCGAATAGGGGAGCCGAGTGGTAACTTCAGTCTTCGTAGAGAATTGATATTTGGAGGCAGGTGATGATGTCTTGGAGAAGCAATTGAGCCGAGACGACTTGTTTTCGGAAAGTGAATGGCCAATTGAATGGTTGGCCCCTTACATAGCTTTTCAATCTATCGATTCTTAGGGAAGGCTTCAATTCTTAATACTGGCGATAAGAGGGGAAGTGGAGCGGAATGGCCATCGGCAAATGTTTGGCAGTGACACGCCACTGAAGCTTTATCAACAGGGAGCTGAGGAGCAAGCTTTCAGCACTAAAGCTCGCTATGCGGTCTGCTAGCTGGTATGTACATAACAGTTGAGGGGGGAGCATTAATAAAGGCGACCTGTGAAAAAGCCGAAAAAGCCGACAGGCTTCGAGGTCGCGTGCCTTGAGCGAGGCTCGACTTTGACTTGGCATACTGATTCACGAGTGTAAATGTTTTGACAAGATAAAGTCGGCATTTGCATTATCTGAAGGATCGGTAGATCGAGCAACTGATATCAGCTGGTCAGCCATCCAACAATCGGCGTTGTCAACCAGCATATTGATTAGTATCCCAATCTCGGTTCGCTATCGTCTAACCAGATCTCCCCCCTCGTTCAAGATGGCATCAGTCGCTCGCAGCATCCTGAAGAAGCCTGTCAAGATCTCTCTCATACAGCTCCTTTCTGGGACAGACAAGGCTGCGAACCTGAAGCATGCGGCCTCACAGGTAGCCAAGGCGGCCTCGGGAGGCTCAAAGATTGTCGTCCTTCCAGAATGCTTCAACTCGCCATATGGAACCGAGCATTTTCCCAAATATGCAGAGCCATTGCTGCCTTTACCACCAGTAAAGGAGCAGGCTCCGTCATATTATGCTTTGTCGGCAATGGCAGCAGAGAACAATGTGTATCTCATTGGAGGCTCGATTCCAGAGCTCAACTCCTCAACGAAAAAGCACTACAACACCTGTCTCATATTTGGGCCAGATGGAGCCTTATTATCGATCCACCGCAAGACGCATCTCTTTGATATTGATATCCCAGGCAAGGTCACATTTCGGGAGTCGGAAGTTCTCAGCCCAGGCAACAAGGTCACGCTGGTCGATTTCCCCGAATTCGGCAAGATTGCCATTGCCATTTGCTACGATATCCGCTTTCCAGAGCTTGCTACCATTGCCGCTCGAAAGGGAGCTTTTGCTCTAATCTACCCCGGTGCATTCAATCTGGTCACGGGTGCTCTGCATTGGAAACTGCTGGCCCAAGCACGCGCTGTCGACAATCAGATCTATGTGGGCATGTGCAGCCCTGCTCGCGTATTGGATTCCTCCTATCCTGCGTGGGGCCACAGCATGATTCTCGACCCAATGGCTGCTGTCTTGGCTGAGGCACAAGAGGACGAGGCTATCATTGAGAGTGAGTTGAATGAAGAAAAGATTCTAGAGACGCGAAGGAATATACCATTGGAGACACAGCGCAGGTTTGATGTCTACCCCGATGTGAGCGCAGGAAAAGTAGCATATGAGGAGCCGGATTTGGTTGGTCAGATTCGCAACTAGGGATTCAAAGAATATACAAATATGTATTACAACTATCTCATTTGTAATATCAACATCTCGTGCTATTGCTTATCATAGCAAATGAGTCTTTGTGAGATTATGAACTACATATATGAATCAAGTTATTATCAAGGTCAGAAAAAAGCAATGTTCATACACATATTCTAAACGTATCTGCCCTGGCAACAATCCTCCATCCCCTTGTTCCAGATTATCATCGGCACTCGTGGCGATATAGACGCAGCTAAGCTGCGTGTACCCAAAAAAAATATGAATGATATGAGCCTCCAGTAGTCTCAACGTTGTTACTATCCAGTTTCTAGTTCTCTGCGTTCATTATAGTACACAATTGGGGTCTCCTCACCAGCCGCTCTAATTCTCATTCTCAATCTTTCCGTTTGTCTGCGAATAGCGCTTCTCAACTTCCTCTTTATCCCCGTCACCTGGAAGTGTAACAAGTTGGCTTCGTGTAAATGCGCGATATTTTTCTTCTTCAATCTTGCCGAGTCTGCTGTTCGACAGCTTATTTCCGCTCAACCCATAGAATTCCTGAAAGGACGAGATGAGGGGCCTCCAGCGATCGGGATCAATGCGGTTTGGATAGCCAGCCATCCGGATTCCATCCACGACGTGAGTTCGAAGTACTTTAAGCTCAATAGCAGCAATGGCGCCTCTCAGGTCAGGATAGTCCTTCATAGTTTCATGATTCTCTGCTAATTCGCACTCCATCTGAACGGGGCACTCTAAGATACGACTGGGCCGGACAAGGTCGGATTTTTGAGGGGTGAGTTGCGCACGGGTCCATTTGTCTTTGACATAGCGGTATCCTCTGTCTATCTTTGATGCAGAAGGATGCTCAGTGCCAGTCGTACCGGCTAGCAGGTTGACATGATGAGTCATGGTATCGTCTGGGAGGTTGACAACACATTGCCCAGTTCGAATAATGTTTTGGGGTGTCTTGCTTTCGGCAGCAAGTCCGAGGACACATCGGTGGCCAAGCCACCATACTGATGATACCGCAGAGATGTTTTCTGTTCCATCCTCGTTTTCGGAGGTGACGAGCAAGACGGGCGTCCCCCAGAACAAGATTGCGGGTGACATTACGGAGTGCGACATGACCAGGTCTCGGAAGGGCTATAATACCAAGTAGTGGTTGATTCAAGAACAACTTATACGGTGATGCCAACTGTCGACTTTTTGTGAGCTGCTATGGCCTTATGTTGGCTGCTTGGGCTGAAAGACATGAGTGCGATTAAGAAGAGAGCCATTCGCATGTGACGAGCTTTATATCCCAATTCAATAGACCTATACACTGTCAATACATTGATATGAGACCATTTGTAACGAATGAGCTGACAGCTGGCCTAAAAACGCATTTTAGGCATGATTTCCAATGACTTGCCAAAGTAGATCTATGCTGGGTATTTTAGTTGCACCGTTTATTGCTTGTTAGGGAACAAATTCACAAGGAGTAGCATCATAATTCATGACTGAACGTATTAATATACGCCAATCTTTGTCATTCAGGATGTCTGTATTATCAAGACTGGTTTCAGAATTCGGCGATAAGATGGATCATGAAATCTAAACGCCAATGGAGCAGAATAATTGCTATAGATCAGATCTCAGTAGCTATCATAGTACAACTAACCATACACAGACATGTATTTATAATCACTCACCCGTGCCCGCTAGGTTGCATCACAGTATTTTGGCGTCTATCTGATGACATATTCGTTTAGCGCTGCCTATAAATTTCATGAAAGTTCTTTTACACACTCGGACATTTGCAAATTCTCATCCCAAAAAGTCATGGGAGAACACAGAATCTTTTACGCTGATAAAACCACACATCATACATTTCTCAATACCTCTTTTAAGAATATTCAGATATTATTGCATAGGCTTTAAGCTATATCTTATGTCTCTTTCCACTCACAAGGCTGTTCTGAAGTGGTTGCCATCGCCATTGGTGGAAAATAAATAGCTAGACACACCACTTCCTTCTGTCGTATACATCATTGGACTGATACGGGCAACCTCCATGTTTAAACTCAACGGCGATATGCGGGCGTCTGACTAAAGAGGTGGGTTGCCGTCTAATCCCGCCTCTTCGGAGCTTTCTTCTTGAGCTTATTTTGCAGAAAAGGTATAGTGGCCTGTTAATCTCCTTTCATAGAGCGGATATATAATCAGGATTTCCAAATTCAGCGTGGAAATGGCCTACACATTATACCAAGTATAGAGTATCACATAAGCATTCTAATTGCCAGAACTACAAGTAGTTGATATTTGTTCTCAAGGAATACCTGACCAGATACATACATGTATGCAGTCTCCATGAATACCTACTCATTTAATCTAACTGACTTAGTATCCTTGATAAAAACGACGCACATCCAGCTTGTAGTAGCAGATTGATTCCCAAACTGGTTCCACTTCAGTTGTCGACTCGCATTGATAAGCAATTGCTAACTCTATGGGGCGGAGCGCTGACAGGGAATCAGGTTCTGTGCTCACAGAAATGTCAGTTAAAACTGCTATTAGTAGAGATTAATGAAAGTTCATGTGAAAGATTATGGGATGGCAAATTTGGATATCAAAATGGCATTTAAACAGCGAACCTACCAGGTTTTCAACGAGGATTTTGGAACTAACATAGGGTAGGCTCTTTTTGATACGGCTCATGATGGTGTGCGAGGCTGAGAATTAAAAGTGGATATATGTGTGGCTGGTGAGTAACCGCCACAGGATGGGCACGAGGCTGCGCGTGCACACTGAACAAAGTTGCCGAGTGAGCTTCCGCCAGGCAAGCAGCCACCAACTTTTAAAAGTCTTGACCATCGTGTTCCAAGCAAGCTGAAAACATGGTAAGGAGCTGCAAAAATCGAGGCATATTTTCCCTTTCTTTCATAGACTTTGCTGACACTCGCATAGGCTCGAAATTCGGAAAAGGCCCAGTCTATGCTCTTCCGCTTCCGTGAAGCGCAAGCAGCAGACTTGGGCATCATTGACGCCGGACGAACACGCCGCCCCAAGGTCATCACCGAAGTCGATTCGATCCCAGCATGCGAGAAATGGCGCGGCCAAGTCCTCAAGGAGATCTCGCGCAAGGTTTCCCGGATTCAGGAGCCTGTGCTGAGCGACTACCAGATCCGCGACCTCAACGATGAAATCAACAAGTTGATGCGCGAGAAGCACATGTGGGAGGTGCAGATACGGAATCTAGGCGGGCCAAACTATATGAGAGGAGGAGGGAAGATTTACGACGAGCAGGGCAGAGAAATACCCGGTGGAGGGAAAGGCTACAAATACTTTGGGCGAGCGAAAGAGCTGCCGGGAGTTAAAGAGCTCTTCGAGGCCGCCCAATCCAAGAAGAAGGAGGACAAACCACTAGAGACGAGCAGAGACTTGAGGAAAAACGTGGATGCGGCGTATTACGGCTATGCTCCGAACGAAGAGGACGACGCGCTGCTACAGTACGAAGCCGAGAAAGAGAGAGAAGCATTGGCAAATCTCCTGGCGACGGGATCACAGGGAGCGCCAGACGGTTGGGAACCTTTACCTGGAGACAGCGGTGATGGCCATGGCTGGGCACTGCCTACGCTGGAGGAAGTTCAGATGGAGCTTCTTGAGAGGAGAAGACGGAAGCTACTTGATCAGTTATAAGCCGATGCTCACCTCTGCGATCCAACGACACTTTTTACGCATCAATCAGCCTCAAGAGGGCAAGATTGAACGCAGAGCTACCGGTCGATCTGGACTGCAGCCGTGGGTTGAAGATACCAACTGCTCTATACTGCCCTTTGGTGGACGACTCCTCTGGTGCTCTAGGCCTCAACAGAGTATGAAGATTTGGTCTGGATAATACGCCTGCATCAGCCCAGCTCGTGCAGCATGCAGCCGGGCACATGACGAGCAACTATTGTATCCCTTGGATACGCCCATGTCTTCGGATACCTCGTTGGCTGGCTGGCTGACTGGCTATTCTGGCAAGAATTTCAGAGGATGAAAAGGCTGTTGTAGGCTTAAATGCCGACACTAGCTGTTCTGCTGTGGCTAAGAAGAGAGGGAGAGCCAAAATTGTTCACATGCTTTCACTATAAAGCACAATTGCTATTTTACGTATGTGGACAGGATTTGGATATGATCTCGATGGCGTTCAGGAAAATGGATTTGATGGATTTTGTTTTAGGTGTTGATAAGAAATTGCCTCCTTCATACAGTATATTGATTAGCGCAAAACAGCAAAAATACCTTTGTTTTCATTGGCCCGGAAGAAAGCTACTTATGTGCTTACACCGCGAAATCGTCTTACTCTCTGCCAGGTAGCGAACACACGGCCAGGGCATCGCAGCGAATTGCCAGCACCATGTTCTATTAGGAATATCAGGATTAATAGGATTACGCGGACGGCTGTTTTTGCTGGGGCAAGTCTTGGCTACAATCATCTACCGCAGAGATGGAGAAATGAGCATGGAAGCGGTTTATTGGGATGATCTAATAGTGGAGGATCTTCTTATGCCATTATGCACCGATCGCTGTCGGGGTGAGCCGTGTGTTCAGTCGCAATAAAGCTCGAGTCCACTAATAATCCGGCTTGAGTCGTTTCTGCGGCTACGGGCTTTGTACCACTACCTGCAGCGAATCGAAATTTGCATTCAAAAGACAAACTGGGACAATAGCACGAGTTTCGTCCTCGCTAAACGGCCCTGTCTTGGAATTTCTAATAATATCTCGAGTTGTGCTTCACTCCCATTTCAGCCTTCATGTCACTATCCGATACCCGCAGGAGGCTAATCGAATCGCGGAACCTTCCCCTCACGCAACGTTCTCTCTCTTCTTTTGCTTTCCCTTTCTTGCTCTTAGTTCTGCCTCTTGAATTCCCCCTCATTTGTTCTCGGCCGCCCATGCAAGCAGCGAAGAAGAAAAAACATGTGCAAAAACGGCCGAACCGCCCAAAGACGTGCATTAGCTTCAGGGGCAAACTGGGCACTGGCCAGCCAACCGGGAGGGCGCCTGGGCCAGGGCGCCGCCAATTGAGGGCTGCTGCAAGGGGTGCCTGGCGCTAGAAGACAGCGGACAACGTTCTTTCAGTGGACGCTAGCGGTGAGAGTCGCTCGTTTTGGGCCGCTGTCATCGCCAGGTATCAGTACGGGATGACCGGTAAGCGCCAGTTTATGCGAGCAAATGGGACTGGAGCCGTTGGGCACGCAAGCTCTCAGACTCTACATGCAGCCTGTTGGTGAATATTGCCATCATTATGCGGGCAGGTGTTCCCTGATTGAGCGTACAGCATGTCTTGCATATACTGTAGGTGAGCGCTACTGCTACCTGGTAGCACCCGGCACACTTCAATTTCGATGCAACCTCTGCCTGTGCACCTCAATGGCAACCTGCGCTCCAAGGTCGTACTGGTACTTGACCAGCTCATCAATTCAAATCGCTCGCAGCAGATCCCTCTTTCCAGGGATGCCTGCCCTGCGCGTCGCCACTGTCTCAAGCGGCATAGCGCTGCACGTCTAGCGCGCGGAGGAGCCCCGGAGGCCCTGCCAGGCTTGCCAGGGGCCCTGCGCGAGAGGTCCCAGGCCTGCCAATAGCGCCGTTGCACGCCTTTTGCTGTGAACCGCCAGCAAATTGCGAGACGCGATGCCCTCGATCCACCCGGACGGGGACCAAGGCAGAGCTTTTGTGTAGCTCGAGCACAGGCCCAGGCACCGCGAATTAGATTGCTGCAAGGTACAGTACCTGGCCTGGGCTAGGACTTTGCTTGCCCTTGGCTGGCTGGGCGGCACCCGTCAGTCAATTCGTATCCTCGCTTCCCCGTGGCCGCCTCGTGGAGAAGGACAGCGGCCCTGGCCAGTCAGTCATTTCTTGGGAGTTGATGCGAGTTGAATCAACTGACTGGTGCTAGTGCCAGCAGCAGGTAGCGGTACAGGTAGCGGTACCTTGCATGTGCCCAGCCCGTCGAGCGTCTCAGGCGGCGGGTTTGCCTGCTGCCTCAGGTTTCTCCCACCTCTCTTATGTTTGACCTCAATCTCTCAATCGACTCGCTGAGACTTCTCTATTTTTGTTGATTCATTCTGCGGCTGGTCGCGCGGTAGCCTATCCCTCGTTTTTTTCCCATTGTTGCCGTCGCAATCCCCGCTGTGTCAGACTGGGCACGTCCGTTCCTTTTTTTGTTCTTTTTCCATCGAGCCTCCATTCGGGAGATACCTACTATAGACAGGCAAACGGGCAAACAGGCAGATAGCCTACGACGAAAACCATCAATACGAACAATCGCAACTAGCGCAGCAGATCACGCATACCAAACTACGGCGCAGGATATACGCTATACAGCCGTGTCATACTAGGCTGATAACACTGCATTATACATCATATCGAAACGGCAAATCGCAATCATATTGTGTCGTCGGAGAGGGGAGCCTTTCCTTCTGTTGATGGCACCTTTGGGTAGCCAAGGGCAGAGACGACGACTATTTGAGACTGCAGAATAAGCAGGCGAACTTTGGGTCGGGGAAGAGTTGGCGGTGTTGGTTTGGACCGCAGTCGCTTCAAGATGGTGTCTTTTTTCGGCCTCAGATTCGGTGGCGACAAGAAGAAGTCTCAGTAAGATGCCCTTCAACTTGTCTTTCCTTCCAAGTGTTACCGCATCTTCATCGCAACTAACCTCTTACTCTGCCACAGGAGCAAGCAATCCGACAAAAAGCAAGTCGCCCAGCAGTCGAACCAGCGATATGGCAAAAACAGCCCCAATGACAGCTTCAAATTCCCACCGCCCCAGCAGACCTCCTCCCGGTCGGGCTCCTCGACATCGACTGCTCGAAACTTGGGCTGGCGCGCCACCCTCAAAGGTGTGCCGGCAGCGTTGTCCATGGTCGATCTCACGTCGCCCCGGAAACCCAGCATGGGCAGCCTGCGGCATGGGCTCGACGGCGGGGGCTTCAAGCCCTGGATGAAGCCGAATGCGAGTATGACCAACCTTGCTGTACCGAATCCTTTTGGAGTAGACAAGGTGCCACCGCTGCCTGCGGGCTCGAGACAGTCTGCTTTGATAGACCCTCTCGATACTCGTTTTAATAAGAAATCTGGAAGCACTACAAACTCCACAAGTCATAGTGGAGGTGGTAGTTTACAGAGATCGGGAAGCAAGAGCCCACTGAGTCAGTCTGATCTGAAAGCTGAGCCGGAGCCGATGCCGGAGCCGGAGCCAGAGCCAGAAGCAACCAAGAAGGATTCTGAGAACCTGGCCGGATTGGAAGAGTTTGACGATTTTGGTGAACCCGGACCCGATGTTGGCATTCGTGGTTCAGGATACGCTGGATATCCATCGCCTCCTCAGTCGGTCGAAACCGAAGAACAATGGCCTCCCATGTCTCCAGTTGATGGAGAGGTAGGCGCAGAAGCAGATGCGGAACGAAATAGGGAGGCAGACAGGAAAGGAAGCACAAATCAGACACAGCAGCAATTCATCGTTCCAGGATTCGCCAATGGACCTGGCCCTGCTATGCTTCCCAGCCCATCCTCGTCAACATCGCGCAAAAGCGAAGACACGCGGGGATCACCAGTTGTGCAAAACGTCCACGCAAAACGGGATACGTTGACATTCAACTCCTCGCGGAGAAGAAGCTTCACAATGGTCGTCGAGGAAGAAGAGCTGGAAAAGCACCGGCAACAGCAGCAGCATCGTGTAGAGGGCCTTGCAGGCAATTTTTCTGATTTCGACTTTGGTGATGGAGTGGTGAACCAGCAGACTGTGGCAGTTGGAACGCTTGGAATAGAGCTGGTGCAGAGCCCAGTCGAAATGGAGCGGCCGCATCCGTTCAAGGAAGCTGAAAATGTCGAAGACGTTGCAAGCGCCATGAGCAAAGAGAATGGCGCGAGGACTGAAGATGAAGGTGCTGTTGGCGAGATATTGGGTGAACAGTATCAACAAAGCGAGCTGAGTGACACGGCATATTTGGCGTCACCTGTTGCATCGCCGATTGAATCACCAGTTGATACCTTTATGATGTCGCCCTTCGCATCGCCCATGGCACCACAGAAGCAATTTCGGGCTTTCAGCCCATTCAGCCCTCAGCGACTCCAAGTGGCAATACCCGATGATGCTTCGCCGTCCGCACCGGCACAGCAGCCATTGCCATCGCCTTCTGCTGTTTCCGCTGGCGTTGAAAGCCCTCGACCGAATCGAAGACCCTCTCAGATGACAATGGAAACTCCGAATACACTGGCATCGGTTCTGAATTCGTTCGGATCCGACCCGCCTCAGGGCTTCAATTCACGAATGACAACCGAATCTCGTGCCCGCGGCCCCCCACAGCCGCTACAGCAAGCCGCATTCCCAAGTCTTGCCGCCCGGATGGAAACCCCCTCGCAGAGTCCCCGATCGCCATATGGACCTGCTGCGGATGAAAGCAACTATATGCGGGCACAGGAGGCACCGCGACCACCCATGGACCGAGTGCCCATGAGCCCCTTTGCTGCCAGAACCCCTATGGAAGGCGAGTTTCCAGTCATGAAAGGGCTTCCTCGAGGGCGACAGCCTCCTCGGCCGCAAGTGCCTTTTGAAGATTCCCCAGACAGACGGACGGAAGAACGAAGCCCTCGCCCATTTTCCAAGTGGGGAGGCTTTGGATTTGACCGGCCAGACACGCGAAACTCTCCACTGCCAAAACCACCACGCACTCCAAAGGGTCAGCCCCCAGCCTCACCAAGCTGGTCTATCTCAACCCCTACATCCGACATTGCACCGCGACTTCCCAGCCCCACGTTCCCATCTCTTGAAAAAGCCATATCAGCCACGAGCGAAGATCTGGCCAAGTCTTTTGAGATGTCGTTTGATGCTCCTCAGCCGTCACCTCTTGCGAACGAATTCTCCATCCATGATGTAGCTATCCCTAGCGCAAAGTCAAGTCCTGTAATACGCGTTGAAGCCAAAAAGGCACCTCCACGACCTACACCATCGCCTATCAACTTGCCGCCGCTGATGAGAGAGAAGGGCCCATTAACGCCAAGTCCCCTGTATTCTCCTTCAGGATCGACCTTTATCTAAAGAATTTCCTTTTAACCCAGTCATATTTCCTTTCTTTTTTTTTTTGTCCCCTAGCTTTTTTCTTCTTGTACTTAACGACCGTGTTGACATGGGATGACGGAGCAGGGTTTCTTTTGATGCTTTTTGCAAGCGTTGGGTTTTCTTTTCTTTTTCCAAAAGGATTTTTTTCATTCACGTCATTCGTTATTATCTGTACTGAACGTACATTCCATAATTACCAGCTGGGCTAGTATTTGAGTCGATTATCGGAGGAATTGTTTAGCTACATGTACTTGAGAGAAAAGGGTGCTGTTTTCTATTTGCAAGAGGAGGACTGTATTAGTATAGTGAAGAAAATATTGGCACAGGATATATAAATATGTACATGCATAGGATGTTGCAAAAAGGATGATGTTCAATTGGATCCAACAACGCCAAGTGTGCTAAATCGCAGATTCCAGAATACACTGTACTTTTCTGAGAACGACGTGAAAAGACCGAAGAACATATAATCTATATACAACAATCCCTCGACCATTCCCCCTTTTCCCCCTCGTCTAGTTTAAAAACAATCTCAAATTCCCTCCTACATTTTTCAAGTCGAGCAAAAATGTGTCGTGGCCAAACAGACTCGTCTCCTCGCTCAGCTCCACGTGTGTGACGCTGCGGTTTCCGCCCAAGCGCAGAGACTCGGCAATCTCACGTTGCTGCCATGCCGGGAAGAGGATGTCGCTGGCAACGCCCATGACGAGCGTGGGGATGTCGCGGAGGGGAGACAAGCCGCGGATCAGGTCTTCGGGAGGGCGAGAGGATGCTGGGTTGGGTGGTGATGAGGGAGAGGCTGAGGTTCCATCAAGCTCGGCGCTGCTCTGAGAATCGGGCTGCTCTTGATAAGGCTCGCTGGGAAGGGTGAGGCTGCATTGAGGATCGGCGGACTCGGAGAATTCACCGGCGGCGAGGGCGTCCTTTCGAGCGGCGCGGCGGGCCTGAGTGTTGACCTGGTTTTCGTAGCCGAGGTCGAAGAGGTCCATGGCCTTGCTGACGTACAGCAGGCTGTTGGGATCATACGTGAGGCACCACTTCTCGCCGGCGTGGTCGAGATACGTCTCGATGAGGAAGTCTGGGCATAGTGCCGGGGGCTTGCTCGGATCGGCCCTCCGGCGGCCGAAGCGCTGCTCCCACTCGGGCCCGGAGCGGTACGTCACGGTGGCAATCTCGCGGGCCAGCTTCATGCCGGCGTGAGGCGGCACGCGGCCGTAGTAGAAGCCGCGGTTCCAGTTGGGATCCATCATCAGCACCTGGCGCTGCGTGTGGCGCATGGCGATGCTGTAGGGGTGGCTCCTCGCGCAGCCGCTGATGGTGGCCACGCGCGAGACTCGCTCCGGGAACAGCACCGCGGCGGCGAGCGATTGCATGCCGCCCATGCTGGAGCCGACGCTGGCGTAGAGGCGGTTGATGTTGAGATGATCCAGCAGGCGGAACTGCGCGCGCACCATGTCGTGCATCGTCAGGATGGGGAAGCGCGTGGCGTACATCTCGCCGTTGGCCGGGTCAACGCTGCTGGGGCCTGTCGAGCCATAACACCCGCCGATGACGTTTGTACAGATGATGTGGAAGCGGTCAGTATCGAGGGGTGCTCCGGGGCCAATGAACTTTTCCCACCAGCCGGGCGCTGGGTTGGCCTCTGTGGAATGGGCGTGGGATGAAGCAGAGAGACCGGTGTGGAGGAGGATGACGTTGGAGCGGTCGGCGTTGAGGGTGCCCCATGATTCATAGGCGATGTTGAAGGAGGGCAGGATGCCGCCCCAGTCGAGGAGGAGGGGGTCTTTGCAGTGGTAGTTGAGCGTAACGCCAGAGGTGTATGAGGGCTCTGGGCCGGCGGAAGATGATGATGAGGATGAGGTGCGAGAGTTTGGGTTGGCGCTGAGTTGGGCGGAGCGGGATTCGAGCTTGTCGAGGCAGGGGAAGTTGAGGGCGGGATTTGAGGGAGCGGGGGAGCCTGAGAAGAGGGGATGTGATGAGGAGAAGAGGCGAGAGTGTGGTGTTTTATGAGATGATGATGAGGTTAGTGGTGGTACTGGTGTATAAGACGGAAATGGCCTTTGCAGGCGTCGGCTGGCCAATCGGAGGGACTGGTGGGATCTCATTCTGAAAAGTAGCAGCAGCAGCAACCGCAATGCCAATTGAATACCAATAAGTAGTAATAGAGATGTAATTCGATGAGAGTATCAATCCATCTCTCACTTGAGATTTTGTTTAGATTTTGATGAGACGTTGAACTGACAAGCCGTCGCTTTGTAATTGCTATAGACCCGGGACGTCGGTGTGGGGCAACGGGTTCTCGCCTCGCACACCATTTCACGTGCACGCTATTTCTGTCAGTTTGTTCGTTGGGGAAGAGAAGGATTAGAATTTGGGGATTGGGGAAGTGGCCATTGTATCATATGCAGCTGGAAAGGCGTAATAATCGCCTTCTTTACTCTCTCTATTTATCAAGATTGATGCTGTTTATATGATGACAACTTGGCCCATTTCCCACTGTGGCCTATTTGTCGAGCGCTGTCCCTCTCTATATATCCCAATTCGTGTGTAAACATCGCCACTGCTAGTAGTATTTTGTGCTTTCTTCAAAAGCAGCGCATCTTGAGACATGACTAGTGCCAACAATACTTGCTCATCTTCCGCAACTTCACCATCAACAGCATCCTCGGCTACATCAAACCGGATGGATCCGTCCACTTCATCCTGCGTCTGCTCATCCCACAACGACCACCCATAAAAGCCTTTTCGGATCCTCGCTCGAAACAACAGCGTCTTAATCTCAAGTCTCGCAGCTGTTACCGCACTGAACTCGTCATTCGCCATTGTCGTAACAACCTCATAACTCACAAGCTCCAGCAAGTGCAAGCTTGCCCCAAACGTAAAGTCAATCTCACCATTGAACGAGCCCCATGACCAAGAAGGCGCAACATACGTAGCATGTCGACGCGGAGTCTCTTGCGCATCCGGGTCGTGGTTCGGATGCCATAGCAAAAGCTCACCGAGATGTTCTCTCCATAGCCCTGCGATGTAAGTCTTGTTGGCGCTGCGGCTCATTTTTCTAGCGATGGCCGAGATGGCGAGGAGCTTGTCCTGGTACCAGCCTAGACCGCGGCGCGTGTAATGCGATACGAGCGTTTGCCAGACTTGGACGAATTTGTAAGGGTCGTCGAGACTTGCCCAGTCAACGCTGGATGTAAGCGGATGAGACATGTTTAGCTGGGCGAATGTCTTGGAGTGTCCGATCCAGCCGTCGGATTGCAGCTGGGAATCATCCGCTCGGCTTCGAGCGCAGTGGTATCTGATATTATGCGTGCCATATTCAAGCATTCGCGGTGACAGGATGGATTCTTGAAGACACCAAGATCGCTTGTCTATGGGCTCCCACGCATCTGGCTCTCTGCCTTGCCAGAGTATCACTGCACTTGGTTGTCCATCTTCGCATGTGAATGGCATCCGAAAGCTTTGTTCCCCAGCGATATATCGGCTATGGAGAAAACCTTCAGGAACGGCGGTTGCTCTAGCAGCAGAGATGGTGACGTGCGCTTGCTCGTAAATATCTGCCATGCGCGAAATTTGCTCTGCTTTATCCTGATCTGAGTCTTGGATGATGCAAAGGGCGTCGATCCAGAGATGTTGTAGGCCTAGGTCCATTGTTACTTGGATAGCGTCTTTAATCGTCTGCGGCAACGGAGCATAAGGCATGTCTTTTACCCACAACTGCACGAGATTGTTTAAAAGCTTGAAGGGCTGATCTCCGCCCCAACAGTAGCTCAAAGCAATGTATTGGGGCGCTCTGCCGCGTGAATAATTTTCTTGAAGCCGTATTATGGGATGCGAAGCGTTTCCGGACAGATGTAGCAGACGACGAGGAGCCGAAGCCAACTTTCCGAGAGACTTGGTATTGTTTTGAAGCTGCTGGCACTCTGTGTGTGTTTCAGAGCATTCCTGAAGCCAGGATTTGATAGCTGTGGTTGTCTCTCTGGATGATGGAAATAGGCTAGGTGGTCTGTAGGTAACCTCCTTCGCGGCCAATTCACTATATATACACACAGTCATTATCTGCCTCCCGATAATATTTGCATAGCAAGAAGTTGCTCTTAAAGCGTGAAAGCACAAAAACTTACTCCTTTTCTGCACAAACAATTAGCTTCCTCTCCAAAGTCCCTCCATCAATGTGATCATCCAGCTCGCCCACCCAATCGAGGACCATCTGCTCTCTCGAGTTGTGCGCAAAGTAGGCGCGCAGGTAACTCTGCGAGTGAGTATCATCGCGACGAAGAGTCACAAGCCATTTGAATAGTTCGCAGCCTTGATCTGCCAACGATAATGCCTCGTCATATGCGATATTGAAGACGTAAGCTTCTCCTGTGGCGTAGTAATTTTCTTCTATGAGCTCAAACCAGCCCTGGTCAGAGTAATAGTTGCCAAATGTGAGAGTTAATCTTGTTTGGCAGAGGTCGCATGAATGGGGTTCTGCAGGAGTGCTCATGATGGTCGTAACATTACAAAAACAGTCGTTTCAAGTTGAGAATAGCTATATGGATAACTGGGCATAGAAAATGACCCCGCTGAGAGGTGATCAGGTGGTGAGATCTAAGACTGAAGTTGTAGCGTTTTTGCTGACCATTGATGCACCACTGTAATCCTTGTTTCTCCACTACTCTTCACTAAGAGTTACAATTTAATAAGCATATTGTCTATATATCTATGTCTATTATAACTAGATGTAATTCGCGATGCCAGAGCACAGAGCCATCCATAACTTCACTTGTGCTCCCAATTCGTAAAATATACTACAGTCTCCTGGTGGTTATTGTCGTCATGTGCCGTCTTGACGTTTCGTCTCATGTTGGCGAGATTCCTTAAAGCTCTCCCCGTGCATTTCCATCTCGATATCATCAGTTGTACATTCGCGTACACTGCGTACACTGCCAGCCTCGGTTCCAGAAAGCTGCTCAAACGTATGTATATCCATGGCGCCTGTCATTGAAGCAAACAAATATGCACTTGGAATGCTTGCATCACGCGGCCGTTGGTGATATCGCCGCTTGGCTGCCTCTGCTATCTCTTGAATCGTTTGTGCATCAGATACGTTGGATCTGTAATACGTCTTTGGATAAACGCTGCCGTAGAGGATGAGGTTTAATATCGGCTTCAAAGAAGGTAAGCAAGCTAGTCGAATCCTATTAGCAACATGTTTATAAGAGAGACAGGACAGACAGGAAGAATTTATGAGAGCGGCGGTACATACCACAGACAGTGCCTATATACGTTTCAACCCCAGTCCAAATCATTTCTGTGCACTCGTTCCACGTAACATCAGGTGAATTGAGATCTAGTTCAAGGACAAAAACAAGTCTGGTAATCGAAACGGCCGTGACACTAGGGCGTTATTAGAATTGGCCCGGTGCGCTTGCAGGAGGTTAGGAAGAAGCCTTACAAGATTCCAACGCCAAAGATGAACGATGTCGCAATCTTTTGCGGCAAGCGTAACTGAAGATTCCAAATGTAAGGAATTGGAAAGATCAAGATCAGTATGTCTGTCGCGATATGTGGAACAGCCTTTCCGATAAAGAAAGGATGGACCTTGACACTGCATTCGAACGTGGATGGGTCTGGCGGATTAAACGGATCAAACTGGTTCCAGAGAGCGGATATTGGTATGCATTGAAAGACTGATGTTATCATCTGCTTATAGTTAGCCTTTTATCTCTAGAAGTCAAAAATAGCTATGAGAAGAGCTCGGGAAGTCAGAGAGGGCATACAGAACCAACTCCCCAGCAGATAACCATGCCGGCCAAAATCCCAAGCAGTATCTTATCCAAAAGTCGAATAATGAAGATTCGCCAGTAGAAAGTAATAATTGACAGCTTGATTAAGCAGAGTGCGATTGTGTAAGTGAATTCGGTGGTGAATAGCCCCAGCGCCCAGTCTCTGGCAGCTTCTGGAGGGCCAGCCCATACATGCTTGCAGAAGCCATTGTCCACCACTAGGGGTTTGTTAGCCATAAGTCGCTATCATCGTCTGAGACGCGAAAGTATGGGGAACAACTTACTATAAATGCTGACAGTAAACATGAACCCGCCGGAGAATAGCTATGAGAATTTTGTTAATACAGCTTTCTTTGGCAAGCACAGGATATTTAGAGACAGAGATAGTTCATACTAGAGAGATGATAATAAGCCAATCATCCAGCCATAATCGTACTTTGACCAGTTTTCGACAAGTGATGCGCAGGATCACGGCTATCACTGCCATACCCCAAGTTGAACTCCATGCTCCAATAAGATTGGCCGACCTGTCCTGACTGAGATCAATTCCAGGTGGCGGAGGTCCCGGAAAATTCATGGTTTCAAAGGATCAATCAATCATCTCCTCAATCAATTGGAAGTAGACGCCTATTATTCTGAAGCTCATGGTCGCTATTGCATAGCGAATCGTCGGGATGAGGGCGGAGATCGTATCGCTAGTCTCATTGGTTTCGCAGACGACTGGAAGTAGACCTGGGCGGCTTTTCACAGGCACTTTGAGTTAGTTGAGCGAAGCTATATGTTTTACGAATTAAAGGCAAACGGACAAGAATAAGAACTTCGCAACGACTCGGAGCTTTCTTCTTCTTCTATTGCGTATTCGGCCCGTGCGGCTCTAACAGACCACGGACTTTGGTTCGTGTATGCCGACGACTGTGATAAGCTTTACGCCATCCCCCCATATTCTGCTTCAGCTCTTAGTCTCTTATAAATCTTTCTGATGGCGGACATCTGCAGCATCTAGACTTGGTTAGCAGCTTCGCTAGCATCGGAACACCGACACCATGTTTCCAGACCGATGGTGTTTGGAAGAGTTCGCCATTGGCTGCCATGTAAGCCACCTCAGCCTCAACGTCAGCTAGCTGTCGCTGGGCGAGAGGCTGCAAAATCCGATGCCGGTTACCCGCTGTCAAAGTTGGCGAGCACGCGATCGATCTGGCCCGGCTTTCTGGTACTTCCGGTTTTCTGGTACACTAAAATTCGCGCCGGGTGTGAGGTTATATCCGTACATGCGTGCGTGTATACTTGCAAGCTGGCTATTGCTGGCTGCTTTCCCTATTGGACGGTTCATGCCTCTTTCATGGCTACGAAGCTCAAATTGACCGATCTCTTGCAAAACTGCTGCTAAGCCATCGAAGATTTCGGCTCAATTGAAGATCTCATCCCTATACAGATATGCCGTACAGTAATAAATTAGTGCCTCTCTGACATGGTTTCCCTGAAGCGACTATCCCACCGGCCCGCGAACCCACAGATGACCAACGGCAGACGTCCCAAAGGAGGCTCCTGTATCCAACAGAATACGGTATTGCCGTTACTTGAGTCATCTCGGTAAGACCGACCGCTAAATGCGAGTAATAAAAGTTAGACCTAAGTAGTTACTTGTCTTTTCGGAAATAGTTGATGGATATCCATTCGTTATATTGATTTTCTTCAGCTTGGCATCACCAAGGCGATCACTGCTGCCGTCATCATCTAATCATGCTCTCTTTTTGCTGTAGTACCTCTCCAAAGGAATCTTGAGTGATTCGTTGCAATAGGCGCCGATGTCATTATTCTATTCTCATAGAACAAGTTCTAGTTAAAGTGCTCAAAGACGGAATTGTTCTATGCTATTTAACGTAGAGCGTGTGGTACGAGAGCTTAGAATATGAAGGCACTTCATCAGGTTACATGTGTTGGTATAGCTTTAGCTAGAGGTGATTACTGTATCATTCTCTCTCAAGCTTAAGTGCACTTGTGGGCCTAGAATTACACAAGTCCAGTTTCCAATCGCATTGCCTATTCACATTTGAACTCATGGACATTGCTTTTCTGGACATCGTTCTCCCATTTCTTCCCCTCCTGGACTCATCGGGATCCTTCACAAACATCTTATTTCCCTTTTAAACTTGGATCAATCCGTCTAGATATCTTAAACAAAGAGCGAGATTACCTAGCAGGCCTGGGCGTCCACTCTATTAACCCTTGTTTACTTTTCTTTCAGCTGTTAAATTAATCGTAAACTAAACTCTTTCACTGGGCAGTAAAAGAAAACAGCGCCGTACAGGTACAAGCTGCGAATTAACAACTTTTGTAGGTATTGCTTGCTACAATCACAAGGTGGCCCCAGCGCGCCATCGGCCTATATAAGGTCTCCATTCCCCCTGGTCTATTTTCCCTTTTCTCATCCTCTTTCATGATCTTTATTCAATTGTGAAACATACTCTCAAAATAATCACAACTCTTTACTGATCAAGATGTCGTAACCATGGTAAGTTATCTGATGGCCAAGGCTCCGCATAGCTCTTCGGTAACAGGATGATAACTTTGGTGAAATAGCTTTGTTGTTATAGATGAGCATCCATCGAACGATAAGAGTTCGGATTATAATGGGAAGAGTCAAGTTGAAACTTTTCTTTCTACGCAATTTCAGGACGCTATCACTAAATACTACAACATTCTTGAGTATGAACGGCACTGCCCTAGAGACCGGGATCTCGGGCAGCAAGCAGATGAGATCCTTCAAGACCTCGTCAAAGATGAAAACCTAGAGTTGGTACGCATTATCCGTCACCAAACGTTGTGGAAAATTTCTAAAACTGCCCTTTAGCGTAAAAACACTTCTCCTAGCTGTAGAGCTATCATTTCCATCAGCCACGGCTTAGGTGGCTGTCTTGTCAAACAGGCAAGTCCCAAATATGCGCCATACTCATCACTGAGACCCTCAACTGTTCTAACTGTGACATCTAGATACTGCTTTTGGCTGCGGCAAGCTCTCGATATCATATTGTTTCTTCATTAACAAAGTCCTTGGTATGATAGAATATCCGTGGAAGCCTGGGACCTTTTGCTAACATTGCCTGTGGATCTTCTTCGGAGCTCTTCATCGAGCTAAATCAGACTTGGACGCAAGCAATTATATATTTCGCCGCATATCTACATTAGCTTCTAGCGCACATGATTCTTTTGCCTTGGCTCAGGCTTATATATCTGCCTTTCCGGCAATTCAAAGAGATTTCATTGCAATTTCGAGCAACTATAGAGTTATCAATTTCGTTGAGTCTTAGTCTACAGAATTGGTAAGTACGAGCAACTATTGACATTACCCATAGAGTCGCTAATTCAGGGAGAAAGGCTGTGGATGAGTATTGTTCGAAAATGAATGTTCCATTGGAAGAAAACATCATGGCCTCTTGCAACCGCACAGAATTATGGGCATTCGTAAAAGAAAACCAAGCCATGAACTATCTAGTTGGAAAAATCACAGATATGATCATGACGGGGCCGAAAAGTAAGTCATTTTCAATCATTGGTAGAGTTAGGAATCTGGGTCTAATTGCCTATAGCTCTTTACGACCAATCCCAACTATTTCTAGGCAAATTTTCTACTCAATTGGGAGATACAGTTGCCCATTCCTGGACCGAGAACATGCTCCAAACAGAATCCGTGAGCTGGATTACGACCAACCAATCTTTCATCCAGTGGAGAAAGAGTACCGTGAATGCTGTTTTACATATCGATAGCAAGCTCGGATCTGGCATAACGTTGCTGAGCTCTTATATCCTAAACTTTCTCAAAACAGATCTACTTTTTAAAAAATTCTGTTTTGCTCATTTTTACCGCTACTTCTTTCGGATCCAGCTCTTTACAGCTCACAGCGATGGCTTTTATCACTGTCTCATCAGATTCTTGCACAACGATCCGCACTATTTTAACGAGTATCGTGGCTATACTCCTCGCTGTTAAATGACATTGGAGTTACCTTCACTAAACCCGTCGCATATTCATTGTTTTCAGCGCTCATCAACTTACTTGATGAACCCATATTCTGCGTCATCGAAAATATACATTTAGCAGCCAACCCTTCGGAATGCCAGCAGCTACTGATCGATGTGGCTAAAGCCAAAAACTCTACTAGTCCGCTTAGAATTCTAGCCACAACTGAGTCTTATGAGCATGCACATACGCAAGAAGCACCATACAACGACCAAGGCACGGCTACCCAATTTTCAATGCTAAACGAACAAGGTGTGGTGTATTTGCCTCTTCACCTTCAGAGAGAGCAAGCCATGGCTACCTTTATCGAAAACTCAGTGGAAGAGGGCATCTTGCGTCTTACTGAAGAAAAGCCATATTGGGCAGAGCTTAAAGAGGAAATACGAGAAAAGATTTGTATCAAAGGAACAACTCAGCTTTTGGCGATGCATCAAATCAATTTGCTGCGATATCCCTCATCTCCTACGACAAAGGTGTCACTAAAACAGATGCTGGAAGACCTTCCCTTAACTTTGGAGGATTTATGCACCCAAAATATTGTCATTGCCATCAACATCTGGTCAAATTCACAAAGAAAAAGGGGCTCTATCAGCACTATGCTGGATTGCGTTCGCATTTCGACCGTTAGAGGTTCGCGAGGCTGCTATTGTCCTAGCTTTCGACAACGAGAGTGTCAATTCGATGTACTTATTGAAAGAAAATATGTGGAATAATATTGTAGGAGACTTATCGGCCATTCTCGAGCCTTTACTAAGAATCGTCGGCGATCATCTTTATTCTATTCATCATACCATAAGAGCACTACCAGTTTTGGCCAGCGAAAACAGGGCCTTCCTCTTAAAAGCACTTGTTATATGTCTGAAATATCTTCGAATCATCTTCAAAGAGAACAACTCCGATAATATTGAGCAAGCTACTGTCGGCACAATGCATGTATCATTGGAGAAACCTGAGTGCGAGTTTCTCCGTTACAGCTCTATCTATTGGCCTGATCATTTCCGCATTGTCTTCTCTAACGAGCCATGCTGGGGCCAAGATGCTGATGCAACATAACGAGCTGCAGCTATTAATCTCACCCACGAGTTTATCAAGTGTAAGCCGCTGCTTGATGCTTGGTCTAGAGCCTACAATATGTTTACACCAGCTGGCTACGGGAGTGAAGCAGTCGACCTATTCGACATTACTGGTCTTATAGCTGCTTGCAAATTTGGGCTGCTACCCATTGCGCAAGAATATGCCTCCGATGATTCTATTTGCATATCAGCCAACGAATCTACAAATGCTCTGGACTTAGCAGCTCGTTTTGGACATGCTGATGTTGTCAAATGGCTGCTTTCTAGAAACACGCTATCGCCGCGAGCTATCCATCTAGCATCTATAGGAGGTCATGTGGATGTAATAAAAGAGCTGATTCAAAAGGATTCTCAAGTGGACCATGTTGATGATAAAGGCTATACACCACTTCTTCACGCAGCCAGATTGGGCCATTTAGAGGCGTTGCGCTTTCTTCTTCAAAACGGGGCTTCGGCCGCAAAAAAGTCCCAAGACAATTCAACAGCGCTGCATTTCTCTTCACGAATTGGGCACTTGAGTGCTGTAAAAGAGCTCGCGGACCGGTGTTATTGGGGATGTGTGGATAAAGAAGGGTACACTGCCTTACATAGGGCTGCTGCCGGCGGGTTTTTCGAGGTGGTAGCGTACCTTTACCCACGATACGAGGATATTCAGAAGATTTCGTGCATCACCAGCAATCGCGACACAATCCTCCATCTTGCTGTTGTCAGTGGCAGTTATACGACATGCCGTTTTCTATTGGGAAAAAATGACGCCGCAGCTTTGATCAATATGACAAATAAGCAGAGAAAGACTCCACTTCATCTTGCTGCGGAGTATGGCTACTTGGACATAATGAGATCTATTTTGGACAATGTCGATAATGGGCCTGATCTGAGAGACAGCGCTTTCGAGATATTGGGTCCATTAGGTAATTCAGCTGCATCTTCAGGAATAACCCTTGTGGAAGAGATCTCACCTTCTCGACTCGCTGCTTAGAACGGCCATCTTGCTGTCATGGCAGAGCTTCTCGATCATCAAGCTCGCTGCTTAAAGCAGACATCTACCACTACGGATAGTGTGTGGTCAGATATAGATGATGCTTACTTATGTCTAAGAGATGCTTCTAGTTCAGGTCATATCAACATTGTGAACAAGCTTTTGAACGCTTCGGTTGCTGTCTCAAAGCCAGATGACCAGGAACATACACCACTGCAGTTGGCAGCTATATTTGGCCGTTCGGATATTGTTGAGAGAATATCGGCATCAGCGTCTCAACAAGATCAACAATCAGCACTGCTGCTGGCATTACAAACTGGCGACTCTAGAGTCGTTCGAAGTTTAATTCGAACTGACACTCCTCTCACCAGAACCAAATCTGGCAAGTCACCTGTTCACTTGGCCGTTGAGTCCGGTAATATTCATGTTTTCCAGGAGCTACTCGAGGCTGAAGAAGCACGTCTTATATTCCAAGGAGAACAAGAAAACTTGATTAATATCGCAGCAGAAAGAGGCCAGGTTCCCTTTCTCAATCATAGCTTAAGCGGAACGTATATAAGCGTAATTGAGAAAGCCAGCAACCGGATCTTCCAACGAGTCATGAAAAGCACTACTATATGGAAAAATAGCAAAGTAGTAGAGGCTCTGCTCAACAACGGTCTTTCATGGGACATTGAGGATGCTGAAAAACATCAGCCCTTACAAATTGCTGCGAAATACGGAAGCAGAGAAACTTTTGGGCTTCTGATTCAAGCCGGAGCTGCAATTGACAGCATAGTGTCTTCTGGAGGTACACCGCTCTTGATCGCTATTCGGGCAGAGAACAGGTCGGCATGTGAATCGCTCCTGGAACTCAGCGCAAATCCAGATATCGCCGACGACGATGGCCTGACGCCACTTTTTCTCGCTTGCGAACTTGGTGGATACGAATTTGTGAAACTACTGCTTCAGTATAGTGCAGATATCGGCGTCGTCAATTCAAGTGGCCAGACAGCCCTTCACACGTCAGTGAGGAGCCCAGAAATGATGAGTATTCTATTGGGAAAAGATCAAGGAAAGCATTATAAAAATGCCGCAGATGCTCGACATCAAACGCCACTTCTATTAGCTGCTGTATCAGGAATTAATAGGACACTAGGCTATCTTCTAGACGCCAATGCTGATTTGCATCAAACCAATGAAGTTGGTCATACAGCATTACATCTTGCTGTTGTAGGGGGCCATCTAGAGACAATCAAGCTTCTCATTGAGAGGGACGCCGACTGTAACAGAAAGGCCAATGGTGGACTGCTTTGTTTACACTTGGCAGCCAATAGGTGTTACTATGATGCACTTGAATACCTACTGCCGCTCACGGAAAATATCAATGCCTTGGACAGCAGATTGGGCACCCCTTTAGCGGCAACTAGTGCAACACACGATCAAAGCATTCGATGTGCTAAGTTTTTATTACTCAAAGGCGCACATATAAATTGCTTTGGAGGTACACTACACTCGCCTCTACAGGCCGCCGTTTGGTACGAGAATCTTGAGCTGGTTCAACTACTACTGGAAAACGGTGCCGAAGTAAACGCAGTCGGGGGACGCTTCCAATCAGCTTTGAATGCAGCTATCGAATCTAGACACTTGGGTCTTGTTGAACTGTTGCTCAGTCACAATGCCGACCCAAATATTAAATACAACAACCGCTCTGCTCTTGAAAACGCTATTTACAGTGGAAATTTGCAAATTGTAGAGACTTTACTAAACGCAATTACGGACCTAGATAGTCAAATATCTGATAAAGGCCAGGCTGCGTTCCGACTGGCCGTCAGAATGGACAAACTCGAGCTTGTTAAGCTGATGATAAAGAAGGGCGTCAATGTCCAAGGCGATCAATCAGATGAATCTTCATTATTGTATATCATCAGCTCGTACAGCAATTGTGTTTTGGATTATTTCCTTCACGATGGCCGTGAGTATATTGACATCAATGAACAGGATATAGATGGACAGACTGCCCTTGACTATGCTATACTGGCAGGTATCGACGTCGTCAAAGAGCTATTAGATGCCGGTGCTGATCCAAATGTTCAAGATAAATACGGGAACACAGCGCTTATACATGCTCTCAAAGAAAGAATTCATGCTGTCGGCGAGTTACTTGCATATGAGGATCGGAAGGGTCGAATACCTTTACGATATGACTTGGTAGACAATATCGGCAGGGGGCCGCTGTATTGGGCATGCTACTACGGGCACAATCATTGCTTCGACCATGTAATGTTGAAACTTTCTACATTGCAACCTAACAATTGGGAAAACCAAGAATACTTTTTTGCCTCAGCAATCCACGTAGCAGCTGCAAGAAATAGGCAAATAATGCTACGAAAATTAATCGAATGTGAGATTGATGTCACTCGGCCCGACAGAAATAACTGGACTCCTATGCACACCGCCCAGGCCTATTGTTACGAAGAGATTTAGAGAATACTAGAGGCTGAGTTGCGGTATCAGGGGTTCAAGGCACTTGAGAAAAGCTTGAACCCCCCACCTTTGCAGCGTCCCATGCGGTGGAATAAGCTGGACATGCATAGAGCACTTAGGGTATCTGAAGATGGACTTGCGATATTCCTTGAAGGTATTCATTATCTTACCCGATTATTACGCTTTAATTCCGATGTAGCTAACGAAGTAACTCTTTAGATCCAGTTGTAGAAGATACACGAACAGCAATAGCTGACTTTTGCATACCTAACAACGAGAGAGTGTTTTACTTCGAGATTCAAATGACAAAGCTTGAGACATCAGACATCTCAAAAGGTGACCCGGAGATTGCCATTGGACTGAGCGAGGAGCACATACCCTTGGACCAAATGGTCGGCTTGCAATCTAGATCATGGGGGTTCCAAGGAGACAAAGGTCAGCTATATGAGCAAACAGGCGAGGGGAAGAAGCTCCATGAAGGTTACGGCAGCCAACACACAGTTGGATGCGGTATCGACTTCTCTAAGAATGTGGGATTTCTTACCAAAAATGGGCGGTATCTAGGTAAGACGACCCCAGTTTCTGCAATTTCGTTGGCCTTGAGATTTCAATCAGTCATATAGGAACTAACTCAATACTATCTTAGGTCATTTTTCGACTGCAATTACAGGAAAGCTCTATCCAACTGTGTCTTTTGGCCGAAACCTTGTGAATGGGTCTTGCATAACAGCAAACTTCGGTAATAATCAGGGTGTAAAGTTTATGTATGACCTCGAGAAGCATGATCAAGTTATGGAAAAGGTCAAAGGAATAAAAAGACGACCGACGATGAATTAGATTGACGAAATTCCGACAAATTTATAAATGTATTTTGCGGGTTGTTTTAGTATTTCTTAACAATTGAGCAAATCATGAAACTAACGATCCATGATGTTATTCTTTTTTTTATATGTAGAATGTAGACTAACTGCCGGTTGTATCACAGATGGGATGCTGACATGCTGTATACATTTTTCCTTAATTCCATTTATATTAAGATGCAATAACGCGTTCATGGATCAAACACAAAGCTTTCCCATAGGTTACCAGAATCCTGATCAGAAATGTATTGATCAATAGCACTCAACTGATCTAGCCAATACGTTGGACCAAAGTCGTTTGGAAAAGTACGTGGAAAATTGATTGAAGAGGCTTGTTCGGAAGTTAAGTCGGGCTGAAAGGATCCCAGTTGCGAAGTTTGAGATTGGCCAAGATCTTCTTGGTTGAGATCGACCATCAAAGTATTGAAGACATTTACCGGAGTCTCCGATGGAGCTGATCTTGCATCAGATACACTTATGGGCGGCTCTGTTATTGTCCTAATCTTTTGATTACAACGTCGGATTATATCTAAGCCCGAAGCAGCTATTGGGTTGAAAGGCTTCATATCGGAGAGACTCTCAATTGCTTGTTGAAGGCTATGGCTGACCTTTTGCTTAACCCCATGGTTTTGCGGTGGGAATAAAATCGTAATAATGGAGATAAGGACTGAAGCCTCAATAGTATAAAAGGCCAGACCAAATAGATGATACTGATGTTGTTTGGCTTGTGCAAAAGATATTAGCTGGCAATCAAGCGTCTCAAGCGATACCTGCAAAGCAGCTTTTCGGCTCTCCAAATTGGATATAATGTGTGGTCGATGCAATGTCATGAGGAACAAATTTGCCATGACTTGCAGTTCTTCGCGAAGCTGCGGCAGATATGGATGATCCTGGTCCCAGGTAGTGTCTGGGTTCTTCTGTCTCAAATACGTTGGCAACGTTTCCACTAGCGATAGTATGTCTTTATGGAGCGTTTGGACAACCGAATAGTCTTTTGGACGAGGGCGATCAGCCTTGAGAGCCCGCATCTCATGTACTTTGCAAGCAAGGGCATAGCGAAAAAGAGGCGCTGAAGCAGTTGAGATGTTAGGGCTGTCATCGAGGCGCACTGTCATTGGCACAGCCGAAGAGGGATCTTCGGGTATGCTGCAATCCATGGGAGGCTGTGCATCACAGTCGTCCATATGGATCATTCGAGGGCGGCCCAGAATCATAGCCATGTATCTATGACGATTAGGCCGTGAAATGCAGCTGAAGTGAGTAATATTTCGTCTTACCCATCCCATACAAAAAGATTGATCCACAAGCGCTTCTTGTTTTGCTCGTACCAAAACAAGTTCAGCGTGTCTTTTAGATCAGTTTTGCTTAACTGGTATATTTCTTTCTGTCTATGCAATCCCAGTTCTTGTGCAAGTCTACACAATAGTATTGAAAAATTAGAATTAATATCTGAATAGTGTTCTCGTAATACGAGCGCTATACGCACCTTATAGCATATCCAATGGTATGCCAAGCTTCAACAGCTCGCCCCCAGTTTTTTAACCACGATGATCTCAGAAAGTCTGCTTGGATTGCAGTTATGGCAAGCCCAGGTCTCTCCAAAACATATAGCAATCTGTCACCAAGATCGCTATACGTTCGTGAAGTAGACAGTTCATATGACGAACCGGATAAAATCTTCCAATCAGGTGGTAGAAATTGCAGCGATAGAGCAATGATTTGGAAAAGCAAAGCGGGAAAGTATCTTAGTTCTGCCGAGAGCTGTACGGAACTCAGGTATTTAACCGGTTCTATGCCTTCATTTCGTGGCCATCGTGAAAAAAGCTCATTAAAATAAAACTCCTCGAGAATAAAGTAATGAGAATTCACTTCATCGAAGAATATTTTGACCAAAGCTTCGATAACAGTTCTCGGAGGTAGCTTTGCAATAAGGCTCTCAGCATCTCCTTTTGACGAAGCAAACCGCGAGGCGTCATTGTAGGCAGTCGAAACTTCTTGAAATTCTTCATTTCCGAGGACCTTGAATAAGTCAGTCAACGGTTATTGGTCTTATTATAGCTTACCTGAGTCTACCTCTTGCAAGTCCACAAAGGCATTGCTACCAGAAACAAGAGAGTATCCAAGATCTACATTTTCCCTTTCGCTTTTTCGGGTTGTGCTTGAGCTAGGCTGAACTGTTGGAGTTGGTAGTTGTTGTTCAGTTCCTGGTGGGGGCCTAAACATCGACGTCAGGATCGTAGAAACAGAGGTTGGGAAGAGAATGAAGAACAGCCGGCTAAAGTGATTTACGGTAGCGAAGTATTGAATATGCACTTATTTGGTATTCTGCGCGCCAAGCAGTTATTGCATGGATTTCTACGATCACACTTGAAGATTGTTAGATAGGACGTCTCTGAAGTTTGCTGAAAGGCGCGCGTAACTCTTTGCTTCCGGCGATAGCATTCTGAACAAGAGGTTACCAATCGCTTCCGTGTCGACGCATGCTGCCTTCCACTGCCAGGAGTTCTCATTATCCTGAAATCGAAAAGTAAACCAGAGATAGCTTCAGATGGGTATAAAGCTGCTGAAATTGTTTTAAGGTTCAGAATTCTATAGCTGGAGATCGCGCTAGGAAGAATATCTTGGGAAGGGTAATCTGCGGGTAACGCAGCCCGGAACCATCAGAAGACCTAACTTAGTCTACGGTTTTACTTTCATGATTCGTAATGGCTTTCATATTATCTGTTCGTTGTAGCCAAATTCTAGTAACACAATCTCATATTCATAGTCAATCATACGTACGACTCTCTCGCTGGGGCCCCCTTGTCCCAACAGACCGCTTTCGTGCGTTACTGATTCAATATGCTCCTCATATCTCAGAACTATACCAGTTGACAGATAATAGCAACAAAACACATGGATATGCACATATTTCCAAGATTCAAAGAGATTGCAATTGTACATTCATAATGAAGTTTTACAGTATTATAGTGTCACTTCTGGAGATAGAAATACGGAACTCACGTTTTTTTTTTTTTGCTGCAACCGATGCGATGGATACAAGCGCTGTATTAAAACCTCCCCAAGCTCTATCAAAAGATTAAATCCAGCTATTTGGCATCGCCCAGGTGCTTCTTCAAGAAAGGCAGCACTTGTTCGAGCGCCGGCTCTACTGCCTCGGGCTTGTCGTAAAGCATGTAGTGCGAAACTCCGGGGAGAACTACAACGTGCTTCTCCTTAGAGGCTGCCCGACCATGAATCTCATGAGCGTCCCGATAAGCGCCAAATCCTCCTGGCCTTTCACCAACTACGACCATCAGAGGCCGAGTCATGAGCGTCTCTGCGTGGTTAAATGCATCCCATGAGAGTGCAGCGCTGTTGAATGAGAATAGCCCGCTAGTACATCCATTGGTTGCCTGGCCTCGGTTGGTCTTGTAGTAATCGGTGGCCTCGATAATGTCAATATCGCTAGTTGCTTTATTGGCATCTTCAACTGTTGACGGGAGGTAGTTGATAACCAGCCGCTCTCCGCCTTGAGCTTCGGCAGTACGCTGAGCAGCCATCTTTTCAAGAGCGCCAGCCGGATCGAAACTGGCGAAGCCTTCGCGAGAGAGACGGCCAAAGTTGACAGGTGTAATACCAAACACAGCACTTGAAACGGTAATCCGTCATGGCAGCATTGATAGCATAGCCTCCTCCGCCACAGAGGCCAAGCACGCCAATGCGATCGGCGTCCACATAAGGCAAAGTTTGAATATAGTCGACGACGATGCGGAAGTCAGAGACGCGGAACTCTGGGTTTTCGATAAAGCGAGGCTTGCCACCAGAGGAGCCCTGGAAAGATGCGTCAAAGGCGATAACAACGAAGCCTTCTTCTGCCATTGCTTTTCCATAAACGTTGCCTGAAGTTTGTTCTTTGCATGATCCAATCGGATGAGCGCTTACGACCGCGGGGTACCTATTTTTCTTGTCGAAATCGGGTGGGAAGTGAATGTCAGCGGCTGTCTCCCAGGCAATGTTGGGGATGCTGACGGTCTTGATTGTCTCAGACATTGTGACAAGTATTGATGTTATTAATTGTGCGTTGATGTTAGTATTGTTACATCGAAAAGAAACAAGTATAACAAAGCTCAATATATATCATCAGATGGAAAACTACGATATATCCTCCTAAGGAAAATTCCATTTGGATTGGCTGCATCTCATGACGTAGCTAACTCCGAAAGCTATCGGGGGAACTCTACGAAGTTGTGATTCGTAGCCAATCACTTGAAACCCAGTAATAGAAGGTTTGTAGCTTCGGCCGAAACTTAGAGATGTGGGTAGTAGCTCTCCCACTAATTTCGGCCGAACACAATGGATCTAGGCTCAGTTGTTTTCAGAGCCGACAAAGGTAGAAATTTTCGGAGTCAATCAATTTTATGGCGGACATATAAAAAATAATAAACGGTCTTAAGTAGAGCCGATGTCTGAGATAAAGAAAAGAACAGACGGATTTATGTAAACTCCAGAGGTTGACCAGCTGTCGCGGAGTTGGAAGAATACATCTATCGGCGAACAATAACGACGCTGTAACACCAAATTACGGCTAATATTTTCGATTTACTAAATATTGCAGTGAAACTTAATGTAGTAATTTGTTATACTCCACCGTTGTATGATGCACCTCCTGCTGCCTTGTCAAGGCTAAGACATTCGTGTAATCCCACCACTTCAAATAACGCCTTGGGAGAACCACTACTATTGAACTCAGATTTTGGAGGTGCACCAGACTCTTTCAGCGTTTCCAAGGTCTTTGTCACCGCTTCGAAAACAGGCTGAAGGCATAACCCGGGATATATAATCAACTTAAAGCCAAGCTCTTTGGCCTCTTGGACAGACAAGTCGGGAGACACCCCTCCAGGCACATTGTTATATAGGACAGGAGTGGGCGCCACATCCAAACAGATCTGCTTTGCCTGCTCTTTCGATGTTATGCCCTCTAGAAAAGCGATATCCGCCCCTGCAGCAACGGCTGCCTTGAGCCGGTCTCTTGCAACTTCATACCCCTCGGACTGTAGAGCATCGGTGCGAGCTATTATGAGAATGTCGCCCACGCGTTGTTTTCTCACTAGCACTGCAGCTCTGATTCGAGACAAGAATTCGTCTTCTGGGACAATCTGCTTGTTCAAGAGATGGCCGCAGCGCTTGGACTGGACTTGGTCTTCCAGATGCAGCGCGGCCACTCCGGCTTGCATGTATTGGGCAATAGTGCGTCCAACCATCACGGGTCCTTATCATAAAAGTAAATGTCAGGCGTCAGTAAGATAAATGCATATATAATGTTAAATAAAGATGTAGTTATGGAGAGTTATGGGGAGTTATGGAAGGTGATGGAGGGTTATGCTGCTCTTGCACGCTCTAGTTCATAAACAGTGCGTGTACTTACCACCATAACCGGTGTCTGCGTCAGCGATGAGAGGGACTCTCTGATTCAAGGAAGCAATCATAGAAGCTGTTTCTCTCATATCGTTGAGAGTTGCAATGCCAAGATCTGGCATTCCCAGTCTTGACATAGTTGTGCCGGCCCCGGTCTATAAGCGTGCGTCAATGGTTGGCACTAGAATAATGTAAAGTGTAGCATGTCAACATGGGATGGATGACAACTCACCATGTATAAACAGTCAAAGCCAGCTTTTAGGGCCATACGGGCGGTAAATCCATCATATACACCTGGACACACAACGATCTTGTCAGGATCAGCCAACTGGGCGCGTAGAGCAGCCACGGCCGTTTGTTGTTCAGCTTGATTCGCCATGGTGATTTTGCAAAATCTGATACTCTAACACTTTCAGAATGATACTTCTGCTTAGATTTATTTCTTACTGATGTCTTATACTTCCTGGAGCTTTCCTTCTTCAACCGCTCGTCGGTGCCGTGTCGGCGGCATACGAGAAACAACCCTTCGCTCTGCTGACGTCGATCATTGCATTGCCGACTTTGGCCGTTGGTGGCGCTTTGAGACGCTTGAAATGGCTGAGACGGTGGAGCTGGGACGAAAATGGCCGTGTGGCGCTTGTGTCCTGCATGTAAGCCGAATGGTGCTCGCTAGGTAAACATCGTGATGAAGGAGCATAAAGAACTAACGCTCTACCATAATTCAACTAGAAATCCATGCTATATTGACAATGCTATCACTCTAATTTGAACAACTTGCTTCTTCTCTTGGAACACAGTCATGTCTCATTCCACAGCAACATCATCAGACATTCCCTCTGATCCATCAAGTCCGACAGGCCAACTCTGCACTTGGATCTCCTCACTTACATACGACGACATCAATGAGGACCTCCGTACCCGCGCCAAATACTTCATCTTAGATGGCATTGCCTGTGGTTTAGTGGGCGCTCACTTGCCATGGTCCGAAAAAGCCGCAAAAGCTCTGCTAGACTTGGAGCTCACAGAAGGGTCCGCTGGAGTCATTGGCTATGAGCGCCGAATCAATGCTCTCAATGCGGCCATGTTGAACAGTTCATTCATTCAAGGGTTTGAACTGGATGACTGGCATACCGGAGCTCCATTGCATTCCAACAGCATTATCTTGCCTGCTCTGTTCGCCGCATCTGATCATCTATCGCTGAAGTCGGCCTCATCGTCTGTCAATTCTGGTCGAGATCTTATCACTGCATATATTGCTGGACTGGAAGTTGGTCCACGCGTTGGCCTCGCTCTTCACGGGCCTCACATGTTATCCATGGGATGGCATTCCGGCGCCGTCTTTGGTCCTCCTGCGTCCGCAGCTGCTGTAAGCAAGTTCCTAGGACTATCTGCTGGTGCTATTGAAGATGCCTTTGGCATTGCATGCACGCAAGCTGGTGGTTTGATGTCTGCACAGTTTGAATCAGAAGTCAAGCGCATGCAGCACGGCTTCGCAGCAAGGAGCGGCCTTTTGGGTGCCATTCTCGCTGAGACGGGATATGTGGGCATCAAACGTGTGTTTGAGCGGCGAATATGGTGGTTTTCTTAAGCAATTCAGCAGCGGAAACGGAATGGAGCCGCAATACAAGACTGAAGAAATTGCCAAAGACCTTGGCCAAAAGTGGTTAATGGAAGGCGTTGCGATAAAGCCATACGCGAGCATGGCTGGGACACACAACACAGTGGACTGCCTAGCAGATCTTCGCAGTCTCTATCCCGAAGTAATCGGCGACGCAGAAAATATTGAGCGCGTCTTAATTGAGCTAAGCAAACCTGCTTTTGAGCATGGGGGCTGGGAAGCAAAACGGCCACTAACAGCAACTGGAGCTCAAATGAGCAATGCCTACGTCGCGGCCACATACATCGTTGATAGTGCTGTCCTCCCGGCACAATTCTCCTCTCATATGATTGAGAGGGATTTGATATGGAATTTGGTTAGCAAAACAACGTGCGAGTTGAACGAAGAGTTCAGCAGACTGCGTACTCGAGTGACTATCTGGCTGAAGGGCAGGTCGGATCCGATTGTTGCAGATAGGGAGATCACTAAGAGCCTTATGCCACCACTAAGCAATCATGAGATACTTGAAAAGTGGAGGAATATTACGGCTAATGTGATTGACGATGAAAGGAGACAGAAGATTGAAGATGTTATTTTGAACCTTGAAGATTGCAGCGATCTCGGTGTTTTGAGCGAGCTGTTGATGGGCGTAACGAAGAACCCAATTAGATGAGAGAGTGTACATGCTACTCATTTATAATAGAAGAAATAGACTAGAATACAGTAATGATTGTTTAACGGGGAGTGTTAGATATGTCACTGTTCGATGTAGCTATGCGCCGTGGCCTACCTGATGTAGCCTTATGCGGGCTACGGGGAATGGTTAGAGGTGGTAAAAATCGTTGATTGGGTAACGTAATGCTGGATAACAAAATAGTGCATTATCATCCACGGCGTTGCTTAGTGTAATGTTGACACTTTATAGATACGTTTCAAGTCTAAGCATTAGAATGTATTAACCTTTGTTCTTTCTAGTAGCGCTTAGGCTTTGCTTTGCAGCTCAAACTGCTTCACATATGCTGTCGCTAAACTCCCCATCATAAAGGCCATTCATTGAGGTTCAGACTTATATCCCAGTCAAAGTCAACAAATGGCTCATCAGTTAGCGGAGCTGTCTGCTGGGCATCTAGAGCGTCAGTGTTGCCACTACTAGTCGCATCAGCTGCTCGCTGTTCAAGAGAGATGTCGTTGGTATTCGCCATCGAAGATGTAACTTGGGCTGTGATAAAGAAATTGTTGTTAGTGAAATATCTCGCATTAGAAGATCAAATCAATGAGAAAAAAAATGCAATCGTACCTTGTCGCCTATTCTCATAGGGATTCCCTGATCCACCAAACTCCTGTCTCCACCACCAAAGGCAGTCGAAGACAACACTCGTAGATAGCCTACTCGATATACGGCTGCTCAAGCTATCCAATTTGCCATCTTTACCTCTGAAGATCTTCTGACTGTTCCATAGCTGGCTGAATATGGTGGCACCCCTGGCACATAGATCGTTGTTTTGTATAGATCCCTCGCGTGAAAAGACTATAGAAGCAAAATAGGCCTGCTCCCCTGCCTCGAGATCTAAGTGGGGCGCGAGTTCACTGCGATGAATCTTCAAGATTGTGCAAGATGCTAATACAATGGTCTTCTGGATGAAAGCAGGCGCAATTTTCGCTACGCTTTCTTCTGCTTCTGACCGCTGACAGACGGTATTGACGAGATTGCAGGCAACAACATAGAGAGAAAGGAAGCCTTCGGGTTTTCGAGAGGCTGCATCGACAAGAAAGTGATATGCGAGCAGATATAAGCGATAGCACTGGTAATAAATGGAATCTAGTTTTCCGGAAGTCAGATTACAAATTTCATGGTCAACGAGAAACGGTGAGTCTCACCAACAGTTGTCTGCACTTGCAATGCGGCTTTTGTTAATTGTGTATCAAAAAGACTAATGCAAGAGAGCAGTGACGAAGAACTTTTGGAGTCGCTTCCGCTGTGCGCCTTTTTCAAGGCCTCAGTTGCACAAATCATGATTTCGCACAATTTGAGATGGACTTTTGTTTCTTGAGGAGAGTCAAGCTCGCAGCCGCTCCCACCGTCATCTCCTTCCGATTGAACCGGTAAATCGAGTGCATCATTTAGGCCCGATGGCATGATCCCTTCAGCAAGCCCAATTCTATAGATGATAAAGAGTCAGTCAATGTTATGCGTGTGCGTAAGCCGTGGGAGAATCACATATAGCAAGTTATACAACACTGTCTCCATAACATGCGTCGATTATCTCTGTCGAATTTATTGCGATTGAGTATTGTTCTGGCGAAATCTTGTCCGACGCCTGTGACATGTAACCCAACTACCATGGCGAGATGGAGGGCTGCGCCTGCTAGGACAAGGCTGATGCCTCTGTGCATGGTATCGACCGGGGTTGGCCACTGGCATAACAGCAATATGCCTTGTATTGTCTGCATAGGGTTGTTGCGTTTCTCTAGCGCTGCAAATGCCATTGAGTTAATCTTTGCGGCAAGTCGCTCCAACAAGGTTGGATCGCCAGCATAATGCCTGCTGCCTATATAGACAATAACCCACGACAAGAAAGGTGACTGTGCAAAGGACTGGTTTGGACTGATCACAGCGTTGTTAAATATTGGAAGGAATGGAGCATATAAACTGAAGAATCTGCTGATAATTAGTATGGCAGCCCCAGTGATAGATGAGCTGCTCTTGAATCAGAGCTGATGAGTCGTACAGGTTGAAGCAGTCTTGAATTTTACGGCCGGCGACGTCTTGTCCATCAAATAGCTGAGAAATAGTCAGAGGTTCGATAGCCTGATTTTGCGATGTAGAAGATTGGAGATTGTTGCTTCTTGTAGATATTGAGGGAGATGCTTGGGCCTGTAAACCGGCACCTATACCCTCTGAAGCTGGAGTCAAAACTGGAACAAATAAGGGAGCCGAAACCGCGTCTGCAACCATAAAAGGGACAAAAGCCGAAGCCGAAGCTCCATCAACATCGACCCCGGATTGCCCTGTGGGGCTATTCGATCTGCTGCCACTGCCCTCATCCCGATCCTGCCGCTCGGCGCGGCTTCTGAAGGCTTCGAGCTCTCTCTGCAGCTGGGACTTGGTCCGCCGAGATGCCGGAGTGGGCGTAATGACGCACTCCAGCTGCATTCGGCGACATCGTGTACAGGAGCTGGGGGGTGCGGCGTTGCATTTGACCTGCTCGTTGCTGTTAATCTCGGCCAATGCAGCGTGTTAGGAGGATGATCATGGCCGCGGTGATTAGACTGTGCTTACTTTTTGCAGCCTACATTCTCGGCATGCTGGACGACGACGTACTCTCTCTGGAGGCATCTCTGTTATCTCTATTACACAGCTCACTTTAAAGCTATGGGCTATTCCATGATGAGAGCGACGATGCTGGACTGACCTTGTGATGTGCCTGAAATCGGCGAGGTCACGTGGCTGGCTTACACTGACGAGGCAACCATTCTCTACAAGTTCCAATCTGAGGGAAGAATACAAGCACTGTATCAATTAATTGTACACGAATGGAATAATAACAGTAGTTAAATATTGATTGATGCTCAATAACTCCAGTTCCTAAAACAAGAGAGTTGAGGAGTTATCCAGCACTTCAGCTATATATATGGTGGGCTACTACTACTGATGCTACTGATGATATTGTTCTTTGACGCATTTAGACGTTGTATCAGTTTCTTCATATAGATTGGCAGCGACGATGAGCTACGGTTGTGGCGTACACATGCACTTATTCAGGTTTCTAGTAGTTTTTAATTTCTACTAAAAAATTCCAACTTGCCCTTGTATTATTAATTCATTTAGACAATTCACCATTGCATCCCAACCGCTTGACCACTGACCTCTACTACTCTCCTGGCATCTTTGGTGTTGCCGCAGATCATGTCAAAGAGCTCTTTGCCAAACTTCTTGAACGCTGGCGTGATGCCCCCTGCTTCCACCAGTTCCCTCTCCATTGCAGATAAACTAAAAGAAAATTCTCCATCTCCGACAGTGAGGCTGTTAGTCTCCAAGTTTATGCTTATCTCTTCGCCATCCAGAGCAGCTTGGTAAAAAGCCGGATCGTCCATGGTGAAGCCCAGAAGACCAAGGCTGGGCTGGTTGCGACCGTAAATAAAAGCAAATGACTCTGCTATAACACATTTGATGCCGCATCCTATTGGAATAGAAAGATATCAGCGCCTAGATTACTGAAAGAAAAGGTGGGACTAATAGTTGATATAACATACCAAGTAGTGCAGATACGGCCTGTTCTCTCGAAGAGCCGCAGCCAAATGCTTTGCCCGCTACTACCACGTTGAAGCCTTCTTTGGCTCGTGAGCGGAAGGTAGGATTCGTAAATTCAAGACAATGAGCTCCCATTTCTTCGTTCGTTCGAGATGAGATGAGAAATTGGGCGGGTGCCAGCTATTGCTACTCGTTAGACTTATTGCCCGCATGGTTATTGAAGGAGGCGAACATACAGCATCTGTGTCGACAAATTCCCCAAGTCTCTGGATTTTCCCGTGGATTATCTTGTTCTCATTTTCATCTCTTTGTTCTCTCTCATCTTTGACCTTCTCGCTGGTGTTAATTGCTTCGTTACCTTGTGATGTGGATATAGCCCATTGGTTGACACCCAATTCACTCTCGCCCGTGGTTGCTTCTCCTGGACTTGCTGGTTCGACCCAATTTGGTTCTTGTCCTGACGATACTCCTTTCAATGATCCACGGCCAGTCATAAGTTCCCATTTTTTTGCTGGGATTTGATCAATGAAATGCTGCGGATTTGTCACTGCCATTGAAAACGAGGATGCCGCTACCGTAGCAGCAGAAGCGAGGTTTCCAATTGAGCCTGACGTCGACTGTTGTTAACATCTACTTTTCTCTTCTTTATGGTAATGTCTCACTCACCTTGACCCATACGGTTCTCAAAATTCCTATTTTGAGACGATAGCCACACCTCGCCCTCTAAAGCCCGGTCCGCCGATATACCCACGCAGTAGCTGCATCCGGGAACGCCAATTTCGAAGCCAGCGTCTTCGTATATCTGCGCAAGTCCCAGTTTTTGCAACCTGTCGAGAATAGGAAGGGACCCGGGAACCACTTTTCGCTTTTTGCCATCTTTTCGCGGTGAGAGGCCCATCTGCAGCCCTTGTTCCAAGACCAATGCGCCAAGAATAATGTCTTCTTCCGCCGTGGTGCAAGCTCCAATAAAACATCCATCAAGATCCATGCCCAGAACATTAGTAACTGGAACGACGTCGTCAGGGTTTGGATACTTGGCCACGAATGGCTCAACCTTGGATAGATCGATGATATGTGATTCAGCATATACCGCGCCCTCATCTGGGCGAAAGTAGTGCGATGCATTCTTATGTCGCGCCAGTTTTCTACCATCGATGAATCCTTTGGTGACATGATCAGGAGTGAAAATTCCTGTAATACCTCCGAGTTCCTACACATAGAGAATCTTTTGTTAGACGTACTTCTTAAACTTGATTCACAGGCTCGATCAACGTACAGTTGTCATGTTAGCAATGGCAAATCGCGCATCTGGAGATAAATAATTGAGGCCGGCTCCCGTATACTCGACGATACGATCCGATGCAACTGTGTTTCTCTTGAGTTGCTGTAGCACATAAAGGATGACATCTTTGCCGCCAATGCCACGACCCGGCTCGCCAATGAACTCAATCTTTACCACTTCAGGTACCTTGAACCATGTTTCTCCGGTAATGAGGCCCATTGTAACATCTGCCGCTCCAAGACCAATGGCAAGGCAACCAACCGCACCAGAGGAGCACGTATGGGAATCTGAGCCAATTATGAGCATACCAGGCTGCGCGCGCTCTCTATAAAATTCGGTATGCATGATGGTATACTAATTTCATTATTAGCATCAGAGAGGTCGTAATAGCGAATTAGGTTTGGCCTACATTCATTCCTTGATACTCTGTCATTTTAAAGACCTTGCGAGCCTTTTCAGACGACTCAATGAGCCTTTGAACCGCTGGAACACCTTTAACCCTGGGCTCCACGACGTGGTCTCCGGCAAGCCAGAAACGATCATTGCGAAATATTCCTGGATTTCCTAGGCTGTCATATGTGCGTTCCATGCCCTTGATGGAGCTTTAGCCGATGTTTGTTCTGTGCTAATGAGATGCCAGAGTGAGGGTGTGTCTTACCGCCCAAGATGCTTCTGAAGCCATAATCCAGTCCAAAGATACGCGGATCGTCTCACCAGTCCGGACGTAGCCTTTGGAATCAATGGCATGCATGGCAAAGATCTTCTCTGTAACGGTCATCGGTGGCCTGTCTTTTGGAGCCACCTGTTGAATACTCTGTCCTATGCATTTCTTTCGGTCATCCGAGTTGAGTGCCTCCAGCCCTATCATAAGTAGACAGCGGTGTTAGTAGAAAGCATGAAGAGCACGTAAAATGAACCCAGAAATTACATACATGCTGATATAAGAAAGCTGATTTCGTGTATATCATCTTTCGTCGCTTCCTCATCTAGTTTCAGACCCAAACCTCCATGATTAGGCGATGTCGAGCAAATTTCAGATATTTGCGAGAATATCTGGCTTTCTCTGAGAGCGCGTTGTTCTGCGAGGACGAGGCTTATGTTACCAAGCAACGTAATGGGATGCGCAACATCTTTGTTTATGTTGGCCTCGTTAAGCTTAACATTTCGAGATTTGAGAAGCAGGCTTGACCATTGGGATAATAGTTCGCTACCAACAAGCTGAATAACTGCCATTTTGATCGGAATAAATGTACGCAATGACTATACGATAGTTTTAGCACGAGATGCCAATCGTGATTGGTATTATTTATCATCTCTTATATAACATAGCTTAATGGGCTTAACTCCGTACTATGTCCTGGGTTTCATTAACGCCATTTTCTGCAGCGTGGATAACCATGATGCTGAAAAGAAACGGGCGGGCATACTTTGGCCGACATTTGCCTGACTGGATCCACACTTTTCCCATGTTGCCGACATTCGGCTGATTGCTTGCAGCAACCAGTATCGAGAGATTGCGCGTAACCTTTTCCATATCATGTGTTCTCATAGAAACCCTTCACCCTTTGCCAAAAGATATAAAAGGGAAAATCGAAACCCAAGAAAAAAAAGCCCACCGCCTCTCTTCCCGCTTAAGAAATCGCCATCTAGAATGGTGACAGTTGGTAGAATGTAGCGTCCACATGCTCAAGCATGAATTGATCAATCTACTATCAGGCACCAAACTAGGGGCAGCCGGCTCGACGACGACATAGTACGGGGTAGATATATAATACATTATCGCAGAGGTAAGATACTAATACCCATACTCGACGAGGTAGTTCTCAAGCTTACAGCTCGTTAGCGGGATATGATGGATAAACGGTTTTACAGGATCGACCCACGAAGGGCTGCTCTACAACAAATAATCAATTGAAGCTCTTCCCGAGATCGTTTCTACGCTAAAGAGCAATGCGGAGAAGTGCATCACGAGATGGACTTGGCAATGATGAACAAAAATGATTGAAATGGATCCAAGTATTGATCATGAGGATTTAAGATCTAGTTCCGTATATAGGCCTACTAGGTGTTACAACCCATCTCTTATAGTCGCACCAATAGGCCTACCAGGTAGGCAAAACCGGATTAACGTAGGACTAACCTACCAATCACGGAAGGATCATTGAACTATTGAAATAATTCATTGACCTATAATCCAAGATAATAATGCTTGTAGGAATCCTGTAAGAAAGGATTTTATTGGATGCCTTACGGCTTTAGGCAGCTTGAATAGGTGCGGGCTTATTAGTGTCTGAAGGAAGCCGACTACGCCTTGGCATTGCATCTGCTTAATTGCACTATAAGCGTTTCGGTTTAATTGGTTTAACTATATACGACCGACATAACGACCGATAAAGCGCCGACTCAACCAATGCCGGGTTACTGCCGATGATCCCATTGTGGTAAGGCAAAGCCGTCTAAACCACCTGTATTTGAGTGAGTTTTCATGAGTGCTAGGGTCAGATTTCTTGAATGAGAGAATATAAGAGACGGAAATCCCTTTGTCAACCCATCGTTGGATAGATAGTGACCATTTACCATCGCAGGCTGAGAGGCTAAGAAACAAAGACCATGCTGGGCATCTCTTTCGCTGCGGTCGTGAGCTTAGGCCTCATCCAGCTTCCAACCCAAGTTTGCGCGAAAGCCGTGTTTGCGCATTACATGCTCGGCTATATCACCGAAGATCATGCACACAAAGACATTGACGATGCCATGGCCATGGGGTGAGGAATGGACTTGGTGCAAGCCAAGACTCATGTTGCTAACGACCTCGACAGATTAGACGGGTTCGCTATTAACATTGGCGACCCTACCGGCAGCTACGTCAACGAGTCGCTTGGCTACTTGTTTGGATACGGCAACTACGTCGGATTCAAGCTGTTCGTCTCTATGGACCTGGCAGCGTCTAGCGGAGATGTAGGTTTAGCGTCGCACCTCGAGAGGAGCTGAGTACTGACATCTAAGAAAGCCAAACATTTATAACTCTCTCTTCAAGGGCTTACTGGGCTGGAACAACTACTATAGGGCGGGTGTAAACAACTATCCAGTCGTGAGCAGTGAGTTTCGACCCTCATCTGGTAAGGGGCTACATATGCTAATGCAGTGCAGCCTTCGATAGCGGTGGAAGAACGAACACGGATTTCACGTCTTGGCTATCTGTTTGGGGAAACCAGATCTTCTTTATCCCGGATTTCGACGACACCCAAGGTTATTACGATGCTGCAACTGGCTGGTGGGACTACTGGGGCGACGTCGTCGACGGCCTCTTCAGCTGGGAATCGACTTGGCCGTTGCCTGGAGCCACGAATGACGGCGATATCAGCAGGGACCAAATTGTTATTAACGGCGCCAAGGCTCACAATAAGTCCTATATGATGGGTGAGTTTGATCGCTGAACCCCTCCCTTGAAGACAAGTCTAGAGTCATCTCGGCTAATGAGTGCTACCGTGAAGGTCTCAGCTTGCAGCAGTACAAGGATTCCTACGGCGGCAATTGGTACCGCAAGGGTGAACTGAACTTGCCTAGGCGCATGGCCAATATCCTGACCATGAACCCCCAGCCCGACTTCGTTGAAATTATCACGTGGAATGATGGCCCTGAATCTCACTATATTGGCAACATCTGGCCCGAGGCCAATGGAGACCAGCAGGCTGCTATCTATGCCTCTACGGCTGGTGCCGACCACACCGCTATACAACCTCTGCTCAAGTCGTGGATCACTGCTTACAAGAACGGCGGTACCTCGTCATCATTGCGCCCACCTGGATCCGCACCAGTCGGTGCGCTCTGGCACAAGACCATCTTCCAAGACGTCACCTGCCCAGGTGCTGGCAACGGCGTGCAGTACTTCGAGAAGCCGGGTGCTTTCGAGACCGGCACCGATTCGCTAAACTGGGCTGTCGTAGTTCCATCAGGAGCATCCGGATGGGAGGCTGTGCTCGTCAGTGCCGGAAACACCATCCAGACGATTGCCTTATCTACGGGGTTTAACTACGGATCAACGTCGAGTGGCGTCGCGGAGGGCACGCAGCGCCTGCTTGTCCGAGACGGGTCTGGTACGACTGTTGCCGGAACGGATCGTGGCCGCTGCATGTCACATACATGTCACGATGACATCTACAATATGAACATTCAGATCTTACAACTGAAGCCTACAGGCCAGTATAATGGTGGCGATTGCTGGCAGGTTTCCGGCACGCCAGTGATCGACTGGTCAACAGACACAGTCACCGGAATTAGCCAAGGCCCATAATATAGATCTCGCTATAGATGGACCACTAAGCCCAGACCCAGACCACCAAAGAAGCGGGAAAGCGAGCGACCCGTAGGTTCGTGTTCTGTTTTATTTTGTTACTCTCCGTTCCGCCTCCCTGCTTGCCATGTACAGTGACATGTCATCTGTCACCCTTTATATCTTGTGCGAACGAAATTCCGACCTTACGGTCGAGGTACAGCGTAGTTTGCAAAAAGTCGTTCCGGGGCACTTGGTTTCCGTGTTTCGACAGGAGTAAACAGATTTCCAGGTGTTTTGGTACTTCCGAACAAGCTTTAAGAGGGTATTGGCATCCTAAACAAACTTCAAGAGCTAAGTGGCACAGCACTTATGCTTATTACAGGGGACTCCATAAATCTCACTTACTTTCTAGCAGGAAGTTGCAAAGGGCTTCTAGAGGGGATCAGAGGCTGGCTAGGGCTATTGGCTGTAGCGGCAGCTAATAAAGAGGCTTTGTCTTCCGCAGCCTCTTGAGATCTTTTACTTGTTGCTACAGGCGTCTTGGTCGCAGTAGTTGTGCAGGCTGATGTTAGCAGTTCGTGCGACTCTCTGGGATATAGTTGAAAGTATTCATCAGAAAAGTTTTCCATAGTTCTTATACCAAATTTGCCCGTAACAGCTTCGGCTTATCCAGCTAGCTTAGCAGTAAAATCTTCCATAGTTCTTGTACTAAACTTGCTCTTGACGGCTTCGGCATAGCCAGCTAGGAGCTTTGAACAGTATAGAGATTTGAGCGTGATGTAATACTAGGCCCTGCTGCTATATTCAGTGGCAAAATTCTTCTTCTGTGCTTTTTGATATAGACTATGCGACGGTGCTGATCTGACAGCGCTGACTGTACGAACGGATTTTCCGTATTGAATTATCTCAACCATATCCGACCTATCTTTGGCTAATCTCGTCAGTAGTGAAAATTTAGAACTACAATCGTATCTTGATAATCTGGTGTGCCAAAAGTGGTTATAATTGAGGTTGTTGGCTTCTTCACAACGCCGATAATGTTGAAAATTTGATATAATGAAGTCTTTCCATCCTCTTGTATAATATCTGTCTTATCCGTGCCTGATTCACCTGGCTTTTACGCCCTGAGAGCCGTTATCTAAGTCCATTTAGATAATTTTCCGCTTGACGCAGTGTCTACTTTCTTCATGCTCTTTGTGTAACTAGGTAATAGTTTGCCCAGATGCCGGGTGGGTGCGTTGAAGCACCCGAGATCCATACATAGGCGCCGCGTGCATGAATAACAGACTCGGCGTTACATTTAACCTGATTATACACAATCTAGTGACGGCAGTGGAAATAGGACTTGCCTTTCACAACTTGCACTCTTGACAGACCGGACGGCTTCTTTCCCTGTCTGCAGCCCTCGAGTTCGTTGTTCTAGGAATGAGAGGATTCGTTGGTGCCGAGGTTGGCGATGTAAACCTGGCATTGGAAGAGCCTTTGCATGGACTCTTTTTACTGCTGCTAATAGCTTTTCTCTATTTTTTTACTATTCTCCGGTCGTTTATTAACGGTTTGTATTTATTGAAGGGGTCTTAACATGCGCATTTGGCATGCTTGAGAAATACACGGTACTAAGAATTGGCACTGCTGCCATTGCTGCCACCACATTCCAGGTCATATCTGCATGCAGCAATTCATAAGGCTGTACTTTGCCGTACAGAGATCTGCTTCCATGGATTGTGTATAAGATAATATGCTTCACGACCGTGGCATTCTTATCGTACACAATGTAGAATGATGGAGGCGAACTGAAATTTTCCAATTACAGTGTAAGGTAAGTTTTCTGACTTGAACTAACTCATCTTACTGTATACGTTCTAAAAGCTCTTTGCAATAGTGTGTGCCAATTAAAGTATGATGGGCGAAGAATTTATAATTGGATAATTAGCTTAATGCTTTCGTGATGCACTTGTGGCCATAAAGGTCCAAAATCCTTGTCCCACTAGGAATTTTGAGCCTTGTTATAAAGTAGAATCATCTGGATGTTAAGACTTTCAATGGACATCCGATCTTACTAACTTATTTTCTACAGTAGATATAGTAGATATAGTAGATATAGTAGGTATAGTAGATATAGTAGATATAGTAGATACAGTAGATATAATAATAGGCGGTAGGAGGTAGTAGAGATATTAAGTGTAGTGCTATAGAACAAGCGACGGGACAACAAAGAGCCTACATCCTCGGAGAGATTTCTATGGTGCGGAATGTAAAATCTTAAATGAAGAATAGATAAAGCTTGATTTTCTCTAATAAAACAATGGAAGATAGCTAACTACATGCATTTACCCCTATAGGTACCTGTTTACTCTGGGAATGTTATACAGCGTCTCCCAACAGGTGATGGGAGCTAGAAAGAAAAACATTTGTACGGATATATAATACCAAAAGTAGCTTCTATTAATTCCAGGTGTTAGAAGTACTTTTGGATCATAATTTTCATAAAGATGACTTTGTTTGTATTCACAGCAATCTGCATAAGTTCCATCCCTACTCCTTCTCGTGCCCACCACCAGCCTCAACCACATCCTCCACTTGGTTAATCTTATCCTTTGAAATAATACCATCTTCATCAAATACAGTAAGCGCCTCGCCGTGCTCAAGATCTCTATTGAACAGCGCCCCAATCTTAGTAGCCTCGCGATCGAGAAACGTCCATGGAGAACGCCCCTTTGTGAACAAAAAGTCCATTTCTTCAAGCATTTTCCCAGCAGACTCAGGGTAGAAGAGGAATACAACGATGCTCATGAGGTAGCATAGGGCCATGAATATGATGTATAGCTTCCAGCTTTGTTGAGCAAACATATGTCAGTATATGGTATATTCTCCACGAGTAAGAAAGTGGGCATACTAACCTGATCTTTGCCATCGCGGTAGGGATATACAAAGCAAACCAGAAATTCTACCTTCTATCAGCTTACAAGTCCCCAATGATAGGCTATTTGCATATAACTTACGACAAACCAGTTCGTAGCAGTCGTCATGGACGTGGCGCGCCCACGCATACTCATGCTAAATATCTCGGGAGGATACACCCAAGCGACGCAAGCCCACGTGATTGCAAACACTGCAACATAAACATATACAAAAGCAATAATCGTGCGCGATGCAGCGGCATTTGTGAAGTCGAAATTCGTCTTTTGAGTGAGCGTGTCGAAGACGGGATTACCTAATAGAGAAATCAGTTAGCAAGTAAGGTTGACGAGAAAGGATCAAGACAACGTACCCTCTGTTTTCATGAGGATGCCAATAATCATCATCGAGATGCCCATCCCAACTCCGCCGATGATCATGGGCCATCTTCGACCCCATTTGTCAATATAGTACATGTTTGGATAAGTAAAGACGTTGAGAACAACGCCCTGAAGTCCGTTTGCCAAGAGAGATGAAGAAGTCGCGCCAAGGCCAGCTTGCTGGAAGAGGAATACCGCGTAATACATGATACTATCCAAGGTGAGTACAGAATAAACAACAGAGGTGTAAATTATGGAAACTTACACATTAATGCCCGTCATCGATTGCCAGAATTGCTGTTTCTCAATTAGTATTTGAGTTATGATAGCAGACCTGGGGAACATACAACACCAATACCGATCCACATACGGCGCCTATGCGTTCCAATAAGCATATCAAAGTAGCTTGGCGGCGGATGATTCTTCTCAAAGGAAATCTTGGCCACAATCTCTGCCAGCTCAGCTTGTACATAAGCATCATTGATATCCCCTCCGGCGTGAACCTGTGCAAGCACCTGCAGCGCCTCTTCCTGTCTGTCCTTTTGGACAAGCCATCTCGGCGATTCGGGCATGAACCACATAGTGATGTGCAGAGTTATTGTAGCCTAAGTCTTGTTAGTTTCTCTCTTTAATGTGGCGGATCGGCGTTGGCAATGACTCACAATCATCTGTAGCCCCATTGGAAGTCTCCAAGATGCGCTACCGTTAATATGGCTTGTTCCGAATTGAATCCAAAACGCGATGAGAATGCCAAAGTTGACAAAACACTGGAAAACACTGATGATACGACCGCGAATTCTGCATCTTTGTTAACAAGGGCTTTGAAAGTGCAATAAAACTGCAAACGTACTCTCTCGGCGCAATCTCGCTTTGGTACATGGTAACCTATCTCTATTAGCTTCATCAACACCGCAAGGCAATCCTCCTTACCATCATCGTCAAGCATCCATTTCCAAGTCCATTAATGACTCTCCCCGCAACAAGAGCCTCGACATTATTCGCCGCCGCAGAAATTGCACAGCCAATCGTGAAAATCGCAGAGCCCAGCAAGATCGTCTTCCTTCGGCCCAGCCTGTCTGCAAGAAAAGCGCCCGTCAAGAGGGAGCCCGCAAAGGCTCCCGCCAAGATGGACGCCGTGATTCCTCCTTGACGAAAGTTGCTTGGATGTTTAAAGTAGTTTAAGAACTGTGGCATTGCCAAGATGCCGCCTTTCATGTTGTTAGTCGATATAGCGCTATGGGGCTAGTTTGTCGGTTTGCGATCCAACTCACTCATTGAGCCCGTGTCCTAAAAAGGTAAATGTTAATTTGGCAATTTTCGCAATTGCGAAACTAATGACTTACATATCCAAAGGCTAAGCCTCCGGTACATGGCGCAATGCCATAAAAGTAAACAGCCTATAACAGAAATCAGCATCTCCTCTCATCTAATCTCAAAGCCATTAAAGTTCAAAACACACTCACTTTTCTCACCATATTGTCGTTTACCTTTACTCAATTGATTCAACAACTCCGTATCTTCTCGTGCATATCTATACCTCATCCTAATCATCACCAGACTCAAATATATACCAAAACGAGCCAGGACAGAAATAACCGAAAAGCCGATGTACGCGCCACGATTGGACAGCTTCGCTAGATTTCTACCCCAGACTCCACAACTTGCCCGCACCCCCAAAATCTGGGGAAACCAGTCAAACCCGTCGGTTGGACTAGCCGAGACCAAAAGAGGAGATCGACAACATAACAATCTAAGAGCTATTTCTCCGAGTACCAAAATGCAGTTCCAACCGGCGGGTCTTTTGAGGAGCCGAACTACCGGCGAACACTCCATGATTGGATGCTTCAGTGTAATGGAAGCGATAGCTCAACTGTATATCATAGCGTAGCTCGTCCTACGATAAGTAAAACGTTGGAGATATAAGTCTTCCAAAGACCCAGCTAGTATATTTATTTCCTTCATCGTTTGACAACTATAGCTCACGATACCATCAACAAACCTTCACAATGGCGCCCTCACGGACAAACACCACCGCCAGCAGAGAGTTCATCGGCTCCAGCTCACCAGCCTCAGAAGTCAAAATCACAGGATTCCAAGCCCACGGTAAGCACATGGTCTATCACCACAGCTTTGCCCTTCCAAGCTCATCACAAAGCCAGACCTGAGATTTCCCACGAGTTTGGATCTCTCCGGCTCAGATGCCATGAACCCAGGCCCCAACTACAGCGCCGCATACATCGTCCTCCAAACAAACACAGATCTTCAAGGCCACGGCTTCGCATTCACCATCGGCCGCGGCAACAACCTCTGCACAGCCGCAGCCGAGATGATTGCCGAGCGTCTCGTCGGCAAGACACTCGCCGAACTAACACAGAACATGGGCCAAACTTGGCGACATCTCGTGTCAGATTCACAGCTCCGTTGGGTCGGTCCAGAGAAGGGCGTCATTCATCTCGGCCTCAGCACGTGCGTCAATGCCGTCTGGGATCTCTGGGGCCGGTACCTGAACAAGCCGGTGTGGAGGATTGTCGCGGACATGACGCCGGAGGAATTTGTCAACTGCATTGATTTCCGGTACATTGTCGATGCCATCACTCCAGACGAAGCCATTGCGCTGCTGCGTGAGCAAGAAAGGACAAAAGCCGCTCGGTTAGAAGAAGCACGCATCAGCAGAGCCGTGCCAGCGTACACAACGCAAGCGGGATGGCTGGGCTTTTCCGATGAGAAGATGGTGCAGCTCATCAAGTCAAATCTTGCTCTCGGCATGGACAAGTTCAAGTTCAAAGTCGGTGGCAATCTTGAGGACGACAAACGCCGGCTGCAGATTGCTCGCGATACCATTGGATACGACCGCATGCTCATGGTTGATGCCAATCAGGTATGGAGCGTACCAGATGCGATTGAGTACATGCTGCAGCTTGTCAAGTATAAGCCACTGTAAGTTTCTTCTTTTAATTGTCTGGCTTAACCACATAATCAGCAAATGTACTAATAGCAACTGTCTTCTCCAGCTTCATCGAAGAGCCAACTTCGCCTGATGACATTCTTGGCCACGCCGAGATCAGAAAAGCCCTAAAACCACACGGAGTGGGCGTAGCTACCGGCGAGCACTGCCAAAACCGCGTCATGTTCAAACAGCTGCTTCAGGCGGGATCAATCGACTATTGCCAAGTCGATGCCTGCAGATTGGGTGGTGTTAACGAAGTCATGGCCGTTTTACTAATGGCAAAGAAGTAAGTCATGAGAAAGCAGCCACGCACAAACCAAGTCCCTCGTTCATACATCTAATCAATGTTGCAGATTCAATGTGCCAATCGTACCCCACAGCGGCGGCATTGGCCTCAACGAATACACACAGCATCTTGCCCTAATCAACTATTTATGCGTAGCGGGAGAAAAGAGTCTGCTAGAGCACATCAACTCGTTCCGTGACGTCTTGACAAACCCCTGTCAGACCAAAGACGGCCATTTCGTCACACCGAACGAGCCAGGATACAGCGTAGAGTATACGTCGGAGGCGATTGAGAAGTACACATATCCGTCAGGTAGTTTCTGGAAGGGTGAGCAGGGACAGGCAATCATGAATGAGCCAAAGATATAAAATTACACGTTTTGTATAGATGTGAGATAAACAACATGCGGGGTATTTGAATAGAAAGATGCTGCTCAAGCGGACTGAAAGATGTTTTGAAAATAGCCAAACTCGTCCAGCCAATCTTCAAACAGTTGCAGATTAGCGGCATCAGAAACTGCGACATCTCCAAGCTCCAGGTCGCCAGGGTCAGTCTCATATACTGTAGAAGTAGTGTGTAGTGTCGGTGCCGTTGCCAAAATTCCAGCTTGGATATCAGCAGTAGTGACGAGCATTGATGAATGATCAGCGGTGTCATCATCTTGACCTTGTGCCGCAGTGAGTTTGATGGGGTTGTTTTCAGCATTATTCGCTGTGGGTGGACGCCTCCAATTTGGCGCTTGGATAGAGATCTCTACCCCCTTGCCTGCAGGTTGTTTTGCAGGCATATGGTCATTGAAGAATGCGACGAGAGGATCTTGCTCGGTTGCGCTGGCATGCGCCGTAGGTTCTTGAGATTGCGAAGCTGCAAGCTTGAAAAAGTCGTGATAGAAGCTCGCGTGCCAATAAATGTCGCCAAGCTGTTCTAACAGCACCATGCATTTGCTGAATCGGTCGATGTGAGGTTGTCTGCTGGATGAATCTGGAGAGGACCGCATCATGAGAAGATGGACAATGAGCGGCGGCAGAATAGCCGTCACGCTGTGATGGCATTAGTAGAGAATTCGTTCAGGCTTAGGAGAAAGACAGTAGTTACCATATCGTAGGGCAATATTTGATTAGATCCAGTCTGACGAGCTCGACAGCAAGCCTCGTAGAGTCCTCGGCGGCCGCCTGAACTCTTGGCAGAGGTAACTGTGCGCCACTAGGGCGACTTTCGTCCAGAACCTGGTGTGATTTGTGGAGAGCGATGATAACAATGCTTTAGAGTACGTTAATTATAGAGTGGCATGATGGTACCAAGAGTCGCGGCAGCCTTACTTGTAAATCAGATGTAAAAGAGCCCTGTATAGAGTGCAAATACCTCGCTTGTCGAAATCTCTGCTATTCTCTTCATGCAACTTGGCACTTGGCACCAAGTTGAGACGCCAATGTTGGAGAGTTTCTTCACACAGGCTTATTTGTTCGGGTAGTGATCCAGCCGCTGTCGCTATGTTATGCGGGAGCGACAGCACTCCCTCCATGTACTGGCACAGTTTCACAAATTCGATAAAGAACTCCTTTACCGTTCGGTCATCTTCGCTATCCCCATCTTCTTTTAGATCATCTAGCGTAAGCATAGGAACTGTGCAGTCCAGGCTGTTGATGTGCATTGGACGTCCCGTGCCCAGCGTAGTGAGCCGATCTCGAACCAGGCATGCCCACCATATTCTAGCCCAGAGCTTGTGCTGCGGCTCTTGACCGGCGTTTCGATGTAATCCCAAGCCTTGCGAGAGGCTGATGGCTTGGTGTACCCAGAACCAAGTGTGCTTCTGTTCAACCATAGACGGGTAGTAGTGGCTCATCAAGAGAAGCGCCTGGATGTTGGTAATGTCATCTGATTCAAAATCAAAGTCATATAAATACTTATAGAAAAAAAAGTGAGTATAATCGTCCGTTAGGGTACTGGAAGTATCAGAAACGTACTCGTGCTCTTTTGTGCAATTGGTTTCTCGCCTCTTTACGCGACGTGAACCCGGCGGCTCTCAATGTGCTTGCAGGCACCGTCTAATAACGACGTCAAAATGAGAGAAGTATTTAACAATAAAGATGGGATCAACATACCGCACTAGCCGTAAATATTATGGCTTGGAGGAGCAACAGGCTGGTACCGTAAGGTTGAAGTGCGGCGTTACGATCATTTTTATAGTACCCTTCCAGAAAGCTGGACTTGTCGATGATGGGGAAGAACGGGTGAAAGAGTTGGAAATAATTCGACACAAACTCGTCCATGACTCTCTTCGGAGGCAAGCTGAGGGCACCTTTTCGTCTCAGATACTGTATGTCATCTTCATCCAGCCTAGAATGCTTAATGGCCCCCGAGTCATCCTCATCGTCCTGAGAAACGGCAAGCAGCGAGGACTGGCCGTCAGGGGCAAAGCTGCGAAAGAAGGGATAATGCGGAACCTGGTGCAGCATGGCATGCTGTGGAATCGATCGAGGCATCGCCGGTGGCCTGGCCGCATCGCCAATCCTGAGGTCGTCGTTGGATGATGGCTGCTCCTTCGCGGGCTCATTCTTGCCACGCCTCTTCTTGCGAGCCTGGACAAGACAGTCGAAGCCATCGAGCTGGCATTTGGTGCATGGAACGCCGGTTTTGAGCACGTCGCAGCGAATCTTGCGAGCGCGGCAGCATGAACAGGCTTTGGAGGCGCGTTTCTTCTTTCTGGTGGATGAAGCAGCCGTGGATGGAGGAGTCTGCTCGTCTGAGTGGGCCATGGATGCTTTGTGGGCTGAAAGCGCTGAGGCTGGTATGATAGGGGAACAGAAGCTTCGACAAGGATTCACGACCAGATGGAGCCAAGGCTTTCCAACTATTTCAAGCAGAGTCAGACAAGTGATGAAGATTCAGGAGTTAGAATTACAAGTTACAAGACAATTGTCAAGTATTCCAGCCCAGCAGTGAATGTCGCTGTTCAAGAAAGCAGACGGCGCTGATGGCTACAAGAAGGCGCTGCTACTGCTGACTAACCGGCATTCAGGCTCTTCGTCCCAAATAAGAGCCATCTTTCGATGATGCTGCAAGAATATCAGTAACTTCTCTACAAACCGTCAATTGCTCGTCAATGCAAAAACTGACTTGTATGTCAAGCACATCCCAATCTCGCCGCATCTAGGAGCAATCGATATCAACACGTTCCATCGTTTCTATGCAGCGGCAGTAGTCCACCAGACCCCTGCAGCCAAGCTCACAGGCCTGCAGCCTCCCCTCCACCAGCGCTAAAAGGCCCCATAAACCGCCCGGCGCGTCTAACCTCCAAGCGCGCCCGGCTCCAACCTCAACCTTGAATTTCTTTCACCTTCACGTCCTGGCAGCTGGCAAAACCGGTCTCAACAACGCCTCACTTTGATGTCAGTTCAAAACCCTGAACAGCTGCGCCAGCTGGCACACAAAACTGCAAACGAAAGGGCGTTTTGCATTTGAACAGCTGCCGGAACAATGAGCTGCGCCGCAATCCGAAATTCCTTCTTCTTGGCAGGTATAAAGTTCTTGGTTTTTCTCCTCGAGCTTCTTCTTTTCTTCTCTCTTTTCTTCTTTTCTTCTCTCTTTCCTTGTCACCCAAACTCGCATCGCGAGATCTCCTCCTCTTTCCCTTTCTTTTCTTCTTCTTCTGCGTCATCTTCTTCTTCTTTCTTTCTTCCTCTTCCACACTCTTTTCCCTTTGCTAAGCAGTTTCTACTCTGTAGTCTGCGATCCTCTCCGACGACTAACCTTCCCTCCTCCCTCCAGCAAAGCACCAGCCCATCTCCTCTCCTCTTCTCTCACTCGCATCACCAAACCAGCCCGTGCTATCTTTCCTCTCCCTCTATCTCACAGCACCTCGTCCGCCCAGAAAAGCCCAGCAGCATTCTTCCACCATGCTCTTTCACCATGCTCTTCCATCATGCTCTTCCATTGTGTTCTTCCACCATGTTCTTCAAACACGCTTCATATACGCTTCAAATACGCTTCAAACACGCTTCAATTCAGCTTCAATTCCGTTTCAATTCCGTTTCAATCTACTTCAATCTGCTCCTCATCGTAAATCCATCTCCGCCTCCCCCCTGCTCGCCTTTGCCCCTCAGCGCTTCCCCCTTTCGCGAATTTGGACTCCGCAAGTGCTCGCGGTGATGACATCTTTTCACAATTTCATTGCAGGAAACAGCCTTTGAGAAAGAGCAATCTTTTCTTCATTGGCAAATGTCCGCACCACAAGAACAGAGATCTGAGCGAGCACCGAGTCTTCTCCCCTTTCCCCCTTTTTTTGCACACTTCTTTTTTTGTCCTTTTCTTTGTAAGAATGTCCTCCCCTTCTTTGTTGGTTGTTCCTCGCAGTAGCCGCAATGACTGACAAATTTGCACCTCGAGAAGTCTCACTTTTGTCCCCTCGTCGAGGGTTCAAAACAAGGACTCCGTGATTTTTCTTCTCCCTAGTGGGATATAGTTTTCAATCGGAGCAGGCTGAGCCACAACCAACACAAGATGTAATTCTTACCCAGGTCGGTCGGAATAGCTAGTTGGTGATTTGAGAGGGTAAAGGGGGAGGGAGTCGGTTTCTTTTTTTTGTTTTTCGCATGAACAAAGTGAAAACCACCTGGTGATGATCAAGGTCCAAAAAGCCAAATTTGCAGACAACAGCAGTAGGTGAGATATCCTTGGCTGCGGGTTGTCGGTGAGAACATTAAGAGAGCTAATCTGAGGGTGGCCCACTGATTCACTTTGTTTCCTCTTCTTTTTTTTTTTTTCTTTTCCTATTCTTCCTTTGTGAATATTGGGGGTGCAAAGGGAGAGGATGTGGCAAGTAGTCACTAGGGTTCAGCAAGCGCAGACAGATAAATGAACGACTGAAACAGTATACACTAAAAGATCATATATATACACACAATACTACTGCACGGTGCCATTCAAGCAAAGTCTCTTCAAAGCGAGAAAAATTCTATTCAGCTCGTCTTCTTTTTGCTTTAGTAGTTTCTACTCATCGTAAAGATCTTCCCATCCCGGTTGATATCATGTGCCATCCATGGTAGGGTATTACTTGGCCCGCCAGATGCAAATCGTACATAGTCAAAAAAATCTACAACACCCTTGCTTGCTTCAAGTCTTTGTGCTCCTTAAAAAAGTTTGCTTCATTTCTTTCATCATCTGCGTTCAGTTCTTCTTGCCAACAGGCTTGCTGTACATCCATATCGCGCAGAATCCAACAAAGCCCGACACCGTTGCGCCAATGCCTGAGATCCAAGGCCAAGCGCCCGAGATGACAAAGCTGCGAGGCCACTCATCGTGCGCAAAGTGGCGGACGCTGACCGTGTTCTTCTCCTCGATGTTGGTGAGGAAAGGGCGCTTGTAGTTGACCTTGAAGTTGAAGATGCCATGCTGGTCGGGGAGGGTGAAGGAGATGCCATACACGGCAGCATCGCCAGTGGTGCGCCTGCGAGCCAAGTTGAGGCGGTGGAAGGGCGACAGCATGGAAAACTCGAGCTGGAGAACGTCGTCCTGAGGAAGGGTGAAGGGAACCCATTTGTCCCAGCTCCACTCAGAAAGGGAGATGTTGTAAGACTAAGAAAAGAAGAAGAAAGAAATGTCAGTGCTGTCAATATGCAAATTTGTACTCTCATGCATAGCTTACCACATCGTTCTTGATACGGTAGATGCCGGGGTTCAGCTCATCAGACTCCTGCAGCTTGTGCTCAATGCTGTTCACTCGCAGCACGCCAATCTCCTGGAACGCCCAGCCCGATACTCTTTTAGCAAACTCCTGGTTATCGGTCCTGAAGCTATTTCCACCGGGCTTGCCAACCACGGCCTCAAACCACTTGTTCTGCAGCAACTCGGCAGATCCCAGAACCGTCACGCGAGCAGAGTTGCGCGCCTGGAAGACCGATAGAAGCGAAAGTTGCTGGCCGGCAGCGAACAGGTCATCGGCATCAAGAACCTCGGCCTGCTCCTTGGGGTTGTAGCTGTATGCAGTGGCGGAAGCGCGAACAACGGGCGAAAGCAGAGGTCCAGAGCCAAGGACATGGCCAACAGCGTGGGGGAACGCCACAACGCCGCCTTCAATCTCAAAGTATGGCTTCAAGCCGGGGCGAATGTTGATGGGCCCTTCGACAACGAGGACATCGTGGGATTCGGCAGCGGAGCGAACGTCGTAGTTGAAGTGGTCGACGACGGTGCCTGTGCGCTCAACAGGGAGGGAAATGTCGAGCTCGGAGAGGAAGCCGACGATGGAGGTGGATGAGGGCACGGTGGACGTCTGCGCAACGAGGATGTTTCCGTCGGCGTTGACGAAGTTGACGAGATGGCTGGGCGTCAGGTTTGGCCCCAGGCCTGTGTAAAGAGTCAGCGAGCCATTGGGATATCTGCGCAGAAGCACCAGACGCAATTCTGCAGGTAGATGCTACACTATATCAAACAAAACATACCCTTGACCTTGGAAGGCAGAAACAACAGGTGGTCGTATTTCCTTTCGCCCAGATGGAACAGCGCCAGTCCTTCACTCCGCGGCGTCTCGTACGAAACATCATAGCCTCGAGCTGTAAAAGATGCAACAAATTCCAAAAGTCAGCTTATTCTGGTCTTCCAATTGCTTCTTCAAAGAAAGAAGAGTATATAAAATATGTGGTGCAGCATCTCGCAGCATCTCGCATCAACGCACCTGTAAGATCGCCAAGAAACTGGCTATACAAGTCCTTCTCAGCAACATCGTCCAGCACCACCAGCAAGCGATTGCCTGCCGTGCTGACTGCCGAAACAGCCGCCGCGTAGACGAGCGCAGCAGCCACGCTCAGAATCGACCACATCGCGAAGAATCAGACGAATTTGCGTGGGTGTGGTTGAGAAGTTGCAGGTTTGCAGTGGGAGGACACCTGTAAAGTAAACTGAAGCTCCCGCTATAGCTGTGCCTTTGGGGATACGTAGCCTCGCCGGCAACTTGAACCCGCTGTGGAGACGCTGCCGTTCGTCACTTGCAGATAAGATACATGCCACATGTACCTGGAGCTCCATTGCAAGCTAAAAAGCCCGCCGTGCCGAGATTCTGCCGAGGCGCCGCAAGAGTATCACGACGAAGCCTCAAGATCGTCACCCGAACAGCTTTGCTCCAATTCCGCAATCCCCTCAAGATCCCGCAGACTCCCGTCTGAGCCACAGTACGATACACATCTCTCTCCTACTTCGTCCAATTCCAGATCCTCCAGCTAACCAATTGCGCTCATTCTCTCCTCCAGCTTCACAATGTCCGCTCCCCTCTTTTGGTCAACGCCCCTCAAGTACTGCGGCTGGGCAGCCCGCGAGCGTCCCGCCTTCTTCTGGTCCGTCGTCGTTGGAGCCACCGGTCCGATCCTGATGCCCATCGTTCCTCCCATCCGCCACATGCTCGGCGACGTCGATCCTGCGCCGATTCCCGTCACCTATCCCGGTACGTTTTTTTCTCACCACTTGGAGATCTCATAGCCATTGAGCGGGACACTCTCATTTGTAGGGTGATTGGGGTAGATTGTAGAAAAAGAATGAGGAAAAGCTATAGAGAAAGGCAAAGTCATGAGAGAGAGAAAAGCTAACCAGAGACTACGAATCCAGTCCCCGCCGGCCCTCGCAAACAAGTAACAGGCTACGACGACTAAACATGCTACCAAACAAAATGACACAAAAAATATCAAATTCTCAAGTTCAGTAAGAAGAAGAAAAGAGCTAGGAATCGCAAATAAGGAGAGATTTGAGAGATTGATTCCTGTACATACACCAAACCACGGCGTTAATTCACATAAATATAAAGAAACAAGACATGAGAGGATGCCCCGAAATCAGTGGCAGAGAGCAGAAGAAAAACTTTAAATTCAACGAAATTACAAACGCTCTCTTTTCTGTTTTGCTTATTTCTAAACCTGGAACCCCATCCAAAGCTTCCTATTTTTCTCCTTCTCCTCCTCTCCACAAAGTATAATTGTCCAACTTTTAAAAACACATGCCCCTTTTTTTTTTTTTGTAGAAATCTATGGTTTACGCTGGCTTCCCGCTTGCTACGCTCCCAAAACTCACTCTCACACACACATAAAAGAAAACACACCATCAAATCCTCTCTCCTTCTTTTCCCTTCTAAAAGAACATTCGCTGCTCCAGACAAATCAATCATTGATCCATCCCTATCGCGAGATGGTGCGATACGTATTCCTCACAGATGTTCGGCTGGGCAAACTCAGGCTCTACCTGTCTCTGCTACCCGCGAAATTCCACTCATACTAATAGCATATCCTGTCAGTAAAAGTAAATCGTGAAAAATGTCCCGGATATTTGACTCACCACTCGCCCATCATCATCCCCGGTGTAGAGACACGTCGGCATCGGGCTAATACAAGTAATCCCCGCCATCGTATTCTCCCCCTTTTCGCTATTATAATCGATATGATCCAGACGCCGCAACAACTCCAGAGTCCACTTCCCCCTTGCCGCGCTCTTGCGCCACACATTGACGATGCCCCCGCGATGTCCCGTAAAGACGAGGTAATTCTCAAGCCACTCGTTTCCTGCGCCTTCGTAAAAAGCGCAAGAGTGGACGTAATCTTCAGAGTCGGAGCATACATTCTGTTCCAAAATGAGAGCGCCGTTTAGAGAGTATAGGATCACGTTGGGCCCCGAGCACAACATGATGTCGCCAGATACATTATGAATCTGCGCACATTCCACGTGGCGCACAAGAGGCAGCTTCCGGATGAAAGAGAGCTGGTTGAGATCCCACAAGAAAGCCTGGCCATCCGATGAAGCCGTGACAAAAGTGCTAAAGGCCTTGCCCACTGCAATGGCAGTCACCGGAGTCTTGTGGCCGAACAAGCTCGATTTCAGATACAACTCCACAGGCTTTCCCGACACCGTATGCAGAGCGTGTACCGAAATCACACAATCCTCTCCTGCGGTGATCAGCGTCTTGGAGTCAGCAAAGGAAGCGCAAGAAATCTGGCCAATGTGGAGGTTTTCAAACAGACCCGCCGGCCGGCGATTGTCAGCAAAGAAGAAACGAATACTGTTATCTGCATATCCCCATTCCAGATATTTGTCATATGGTGGGAGATTAAGACGGAATGGCGACGCACACAGCAGGCGGTCCAGTTTTGGCGCATATATCAGCGACGAGACCCTCTCGTGGCTTTCCAACAGCGGATTCGGTAGGCATGACAGAGAGAAGATGGCTGTATCCAGACGCTTGACGGATGATTTGAATTGCTCTCGCGGCGGATGCGGCTTTTGGAACACTTGATGCGGCGTTTGACCGAAATTGTGAATGACACCGGCAGATATAGCCCTCTCGTTGGTATCTTTAATCTGGTCCAGATCAACCGAGCCCGCATATGAAAGGTTATGGAAAACGTTGAGATTTTCCACAGCTGCTTCGCCTCGCTGCTTAAACCCAAATACCAAGTCAATCCATTGATGCAGGTTCTCGCTCACATAGGGGCTCTCAAGCGCTTCGCGATGCTTAGCAATAAAGATTTTAGGATCGCCCTTGGCCCAGGGCGGAAGCTCGACATTATTGACCTGGGCACCATTGCTCTGGCGACGTCCAAAATCGTAGCCATTGATGTTTGTCAAGAATTCGGGTAGACAAAAGAACTCGGGAATCAGCTCTCTGACGTCTGTCTTGTTGTTACACGATGATGAAGTCCACGCATCGCCAATCGACTGGAACAAACGGTCTGCGTGATCAAAGCTATCTCCCTGGACAAGTAGGTAAGATTGCACAAAGGGCGGCAGTCTGATGAGGTAAGACGATACAATCATGGCAGACGAATAATGGGTGCCGTAGTGGAACGGCGGCTGTTCAATCTCTTCGAGGGCACTAAACGTGTCAATAAAGCCCTGAATGCGGTTGGGAGTCTGTGCACCCATGGGCTTCGACAAGTCGCGGAATGTTCTCGGGTCTTCCAGGTCAAGATCCTCGCTGGTGTAATCGGCGAGAATCCACGGGAACACGGGATATTGGGTCAAATCGTTAAAGGTCCGTCCAGCCATAGTATTTACCACCATGAGATAGTGGAAGTTGGAGATTTCGCCTCTCTGCCAACGTTTCATGATGGAAGTCCATGGCGATGCATTGAACAGAGTTCCCAGCCTAGATCCCAAGCCTTGTGGAGAATCCTCGAACCCCTTGAGCATGTCGAACCTCCACGCATCTTCCGGGTTAGGAAGCGCATGCGCCGCACTGGTATGCGGTGCTTTATTTAGCATCTTGGAAAACAAGTTATCTCTGACCGCGGTAGAGATGTTGGTAAATAGATAGCTCCGACCATCAGTGAAGAAGATTTCAATGGCAACGTCTCGAAACAGGAACCGACGTTTGGAGATGCTGATAACATCTTGCCATCTCCAATGCCTCGACTCTTGTTCCCGGCCACCGGCATTTTGTCTTTTTTCGAGCGTCTTCGCGCCTGTTACGACTTGGGTGAATGGATCGCGTTCTTCTTGCGGTGCTTGCCATACATTCACAATATCGCCATTGGCGCACTGGAACACGTTATCCATGATGTAGAGCGCGTCCTTTCCTACTATCAAAAGGCCTTCACATGCCTCGAGACCTGTGACTCGGGATATGTTGTAAGCGGCCTGTATCTGGTCGCCATGCTCCAGCCGCCGCCTGACCTTGCGATTTTTATCTTCAAAGTTCTCGTCGCCTTCGTTTCGCTCATTGGGATCATCAATGAGCTCAAAATCGTCCTCTGCTGTGAGGATAGGCTCAGGGTTCTCTGAGGTTACTTCAGGCTCCATGGATAAAGATGTCAAATCGCTGTCGTTGGCACCATCTAACAAGGTACTAGACCGCGTTGGCGGCCGGCTTGCTGAGGCTGCTCGATCCCGTGAAACTGGCGTCGTGCTCAAAGCAGATCCAGTCGTAGGAGTCGCTGACTGGCTTCCTTTCGCTTTCGGCTGATACTTGTCTTCGCCCACAGGATAGTCAGGGAGGAGGCGCAGGCGCATACGGTTTCGTCCCTCCGTGCGATCCAACTTCCATTTCGGTGCTGTTGACACGCTAAACACCGCTCCAGGCCGTTGTAGATCCCGTTCCATTTTCCTGTAGCCTGCTGCGAGGAAGGCCAAGTCATCCTGCTGATCTTGCATCAGGCGTTGGTATTTGAAATACTCTGTAGTGTAGATACTCTTCATCCAAGCGCTGTTGCCAATTTCATGGTTGAGAAGAGTCTGCTCCGCCGCGGCTGCCTCCATATTCCAGATTTTAAGCTTGTCTTTGCGTTTGTTGAGACGAGATTTCGCAGACTCAAACGTGCGATGGTTCTCTGCGCTGACAAAATCTTCCCAAGTCTTTGCCATGCCGCCGAAAAAGAGCATATCCAACGCCGGCCTGTGCTTATCCACCCAAACAACGAATGCGTCGTCGTCTATTTCTGTCAGCTTCTGAAATTCGCGAACGATCTGTCGCTGCTCCGGTGCAGAAGACCAGCGCATCAAAGCGACTGATTCTTCGGGCTTTTGTACCAAAACGATGCGAAGGAAATTGGCAGCAGCGATACGAATCGATGGCTTATCGTCAATGAGTTTCGTGTAAAGTTGATACCAAACCAATTTTAGGTATTCATCGTCGGCCCCCAAACATTCCAGGATAGACATTTGCCAGTAAGCCATCTTGTCCATGAATTCTTTGGCCTCCGACTCCGACGTTTGTCGATTGTCCAAATCTGAGAGCTTGAGCAGAATCGTCCGCAACAAGCAGCTGCGAATCGTTGATATGGCTTGGCTGCACAAACGAACGCTTTTCAAGGCCGCAATCTCGGGCCGTTGCAGAAATTCCAGCAGCATTCCGTTGAAGTCAATCATAGCTTCTGCACCATTCAGAAACCAGCCTTCGAAGATTGCTTCACAGAGGTGAGAGCAGAGTCGGCCAAGATTTGTCAGAATTCTAGGCTCGCATATCCCCTGACGCTTCGTCTGGACCATGTTTGTCACCTCAGAAATTGCCTTTTTCAAGATATATGACTCAAAATACGCCTGATGCTCTTGGAAACCAGGGGGCATCTTGGTGAAGAGACCAAAGCCCGAAAACTCTTTGCGGACGAAAATTTGGTCCGAGAAAACCCGCATAACCAAGTCGGTTATCCCATCTAAGATAGCATTGCCGAGGCCGCCACTAACAATCTTTTGCTGTTGAGGCAGAGGCTTTGCCAAAAGAGAAGAGAATTTTGGTTCTTGAACGGTTTTCTGAGCAGTCAAAAGGACAAAGGACGATGCTCGTCTTAGAGGTGTCCCTTTTGGCGGCGTTGACTGCGGTGACGGCACAAGGTCAATGTTGGTCGTTCTAACGATGGGCGCTGGCATAGAACTACCACCCATGGGCCTAATAATAACGTCGTTGCCTTCAAACGTCAGAGCAGAGTCTCGAGAGTTCAGTTCCACGTCCGGCGTAACTGCATCGGCGCTAACAATGACCGGATAGAGAGCTGCTAAAAGCAAACGAATCCACTCAGATGATAAAGCAAAATCTCTAAACTCGGAAGACCGCTCGTAGAGATTTTGCAAGACCTGGATGGCATTTTGAAGGAATACGGCGTGTGCACCCACTTTCTCTCGGGACATTGGGACTATAAATATAGGTCAGAAAAAAACGTCGTCTCCAGGACAAAAGGGAGAAACATACATCTAGGTTCTGCACCTCTGACAAGATCTGAGCTCGCTCTAGGTCTTGTCTCATAAGCGGAAGACGGTCTAGGTAATCCATGAGATGGTGTAAGACTGGTAGCTGGAGAATCTGGGTCGTCCTGGTACTTCATTACGTCTTTGAGGCCATGCTGAAGCATTGATGTGATGATAACCAGGGACTCGGGATAGACAACTTTGCGCTTGTCAAACTTTTCAGCCAGAGTATGGAAATCAGCCCTGCTATCAAGGTTGACATCAGCCACATCCTGCCCAAACAATATGCAAAAGCATATGGTCCATAGAGGAGGAAGGTCCCAAAATCTTTTTAATCGATTGGCCATAATCGTAAATCCGCCAGATTTGCCGGCAAACTTTGATGTATAAGCAGATCCATGAACAACAAGAAGGCGAGCGAGGATTTTGCATCCATGAATGACAGTCTCAGAGTCATCATCGGCAAGCAGATACAGCAACCACTGTTAAAAAGAGATGTTGTCAGCGTGTGTTCCGCATACTGCTCTCGAATAGCAACAGTTGCCTCACCTTATTGGTTACTGTCTTGGCAAACTTTTTGATATTATTGAAGCTGCCTCTTTCGCATAGAATCCTGGAGTAAAGACTCAGGACGTTGGTTCCAAGTTGCTTTTTCGAAACAGTTCTAGTAACGCTGCCCAGACCACCGCTATCACTTCTATCCCGGGCCCCGCTCTTGAAGGGGCCGGGTGTGCTGGATCTTGAAGTTGCCAAGGACAGTCGCGGTGTTCGTGAGCCTATGGAGGTAGGCAAATGAAAAGCATAAGTGATGAAGAGTGACAAGGATCTCATAACTTCTTGGCTCAAATTGGACCTGACGAGGGCTTCGAAAGCCCCCATGAATTGCGGAACGACCTCTTCAGAAATAGCCTCCCCTTTCATGGCGTCCAATAGTCGTTTCACAATTCCTAAGACCACAATAGTTAGGGGCACATTGCCAATACTAGAAAGTAAAGAGGCGATCAATCACTTACTCATGCGAATCAACCTCCTACTGTTGAAATCATGATGTTTACTGTTAACGGCAAAAGTCACGAATTGCTTATAATAGAGCTCTTGTACGCGCGGCCCTGCTCTGCGCCAGATATCCAGGTCGATGAGTAGGATGCGGTATGCTAAGGGGTTAATGATGAAAGAGTCAATGGGATCGGAGTGGTTATATCCGACAAATCCCAAGACCAGGCTTAGGATGCGGAACGCCAGGCTTTCACGTTCTTCGTGAGACACCGAAAGACGAAACGTTGGCGCTTCGCCGGCAGTTCCAGAGCCACCATATCCAATCTTGAAGCGTAAAAGCATCCCCAGGATGCTATATCCATTATCTCTCTCCATGGCTTCACTGTTTCTCCAATTTTTCCGGATGCAATGGAACATGATCTCGATGGCGTGGACAGTTTCCTCAACCGTTGTCGCTTTTTCTAACAGCTTCAGGGCTAATGGTGTGAAGCCGGCGAGACGCCAGAGGTTCTCATCCATGTATGACGGGACGGCCACAATTGGAGAACCTCTAAAAGAAGCAATCCCCTGGCTTCTGAATAATGCATCCGTGAGGCTTGGCACCGCACAGTTGATGGCGAGTGGAGATGCTTCCTTGCTTGACATGCGGAAAAGATCACGGGTGGATGATCGAGGAAGTGCTCGGAGCACTCCTGTGTCGATATACTGCACGTTTTCCGGAAAGGTGGCAGATGGGAGGATACCGAGCAATATCTTTGACTCTGGCAAAAGCGAGCTTGCTTTATCACGCACTGCCCTAAGAATATCAGAATTCTCGTCCTGACCGGAATGAACAATCTCATTGCGCAAGCCCAGTTGAGCTGATGCCTCATAGGTCTGGAAGCCGCCTAGAGCGTCTTGGAAGTTGCCTTGGTAGCGCGGTCTGAGCGCATGGTGAACCGCTATGTAATCATCGCTAAGAACATCTTCAAATAGATGGGCAGATGCCAATGACCATCTCGAAAAGACAAGGCCAGGGCCGCTCTGGTTGGACAAATCGCGAGGGGTGCCGAGGAACGCTTGGACGGGATTGTGCTTGTTGTGATTCGAGTTGAACGAAGCAAATGTTTCTGTGCTTCCATTTGCCAATGGAGGCATATGCGGGTAATTGCAACGAATCTGCTCTGTAAACTCTCCATTAACATAGAGAGATGCTTTACTGGCTGACATTGTTTTTGGTCGACGATGAACAACTGCAATGTGGTACCATTCTTTCTCATGAAACGTCACAGACTTGAATCTCACGCTGGGCTTGTTGGAAAAGACTGAGGTCTGAAGAATAAAGTTGTGGGTATCTCGTTCCAAGTACATGAGTACGAAACAAGTTTGCGAAGAGTCAAAAACTCCAAAGATGGTGGTATGCGCGGTTGGGTCGAAAGAGTCGACACGTATCCAAGCTGTAAAGGTATATCCAGCCGAGGATTGAGGAGGGAATGAACGGCCCAAGGTAGGGAGCTCCAGGGAAGAATGGCCATGGAGTGATAAGTCAAACTGGAAAAAAGGAGGGCCGGTGTATTTGGAGGTCATTTCTAGAAAAAAGTTGGCCGCCTCCTGGCCTGGTGCTGACAACAGAAACTGAACATCTGCAGGCTGGTTCACCCCGAGATACATGAGCGATCGACATAGGGCCAACACGATATCACGTTCTGCCGGCGCCAGGTTGGATTGGGGCGAGAAGGCAGACTCGAGGAACTGCGAAAGAACGCCAGTGGAATGGATCGCGGCACGGTTGTATATCGAGACCGATGCTGCACTGAGGATTGTCTCTAGCACAATGAGGGACGTTGGGCTCGGGGTCGAATTCTCGGGCCTGGGGATAGCTCGCCAGAAGCTCACGACAGCTCTGAGCAGCTCTGGGTGACGTATTATCGTCTTGGCAGTGACAACCTCGCGCACGCTTGGTCCGATATTCCCAACTGAGCGCGCAAGCACAAGATCCCATTGTTCGTCGGCTCCATCTTCAACTTCGTTGTCAGGGGCATCAGTCTGGTTCTTATTGGGGTCGGTTTCGTTTTCGGTGTCGGATTCCGATCGTAAGGCCTTTGCAGTAGATTGGCATAGTAGATCCAAGGCTTCATCGTCCAGCGAGAAAGCTAGAAGCTTGCCAAATACATGGCAGCTAACCCAGACGTCGGGCTCTGCGCCTCCCAAGCCAATGCTCGCAATGGTCTGCTCCAGAGCTTCCCATCCACCTCCCGCAACTCTATAGCGGAAGAACCGTTTATTGCCGGAGTGATCTCGAAATGCAGCTGACAAGACGCTCAGGAAAGCTCCAATCAGCTTGAACAATGACATCATCTCAGCCTGGCTCCGCTTCCGCGGATCGTGGTAGCCCGCAAAGCCACGCAGCACGTCGAGCACGCACTCGAACCCCCCCGCGAGTCGAAAGGCATCTTGGTTCATGGACGCCGGAGGGGCAGCTATCAGCTGGGCAAGGTTTCGCAAACCCTTGACGAGCTTGGGGATATCGGGGTAGCCATCGCCGGTTCGAGATGTCTGTTCGTGGATAAGATCATCGAGCAATGTCTGCAGGACTTGGACGTATTTCGGGTTGGTGTTGGCCGAGGTCGACGCCGAGGTCGACGACCGGTATCGCGTGGGAAGAGTCGCCATGATGCCGTCGTGGCCGAATTCGCATTCCAGTAGGTTTGCCCTCCAGGGCCCGTCAAGGGTCCAGGCTGTCAGCTATCCGCAACGGCATTGAAGACAAGATGGGCAAGCTGCTTGGAGCTCTGGCGCGGGGCGCATGAAGCTCTTGGACGGCGGTCAGCTGGCCCAAGGGAATGCCAGGGCGTCGCGGAAGAAACGCAGCAAGGAGCCTAAAGAAGGAATGATGATCACGGCGCGGATATGCCAGAACTCGCTCAGCTCGCAGGGCAGTTTCGGGCGTTAGGGGAATCTCGCGATCTCTCAAGGTTGAGGTTGGAGCCTGCCAGCCAATCCGCCGTCAGCCTCGACCGTGGCTGAGGCTCGGGCGCTGCGATTAGTGAAAGGATGTGGCAACAGCGGCGGCAGCCCCGCTAAGTGGTCCTCTACGGAGTAAGTCTGCAGGCGAGCTTCAGTGCAAGCTCCAGTGCTTCAGTGCTTATCGCTACTCAGACCAGGGCTGTGTGGCCGATAAGGAGATAAGGGGCAGAGTGATGCCATTGATGACATTGGGCTTTGAAGTCCTACTTGTATCTACATGCAGGTGCTGATACAGCTGTCAGGCAGACATCTCCAAAGCAGATAGGCAGGCAGGCAGCTACATAGCTGATGCTTAGTATGTACATGAAAGCAGTGTTTAGCGATGAGAACAGATGACATTAGTATTTGATATTGAAATGGTATAGCGGCAGAGTACGTAGATGGCCGTTGTATCAGGCAGAAGCTGTATCGTAAAAAAGACAGACAGAAAGACAGGCTCCATCCGACACAGTTGCGAACCGTCAGGCGAGAGAAAAGGAGTCGGTGTTTTATGAAGCGCTCGCTCGAAGCATGCACTTCGTATTTGCATTTGATAGGATGATGCACGAATAATGCGTTGGGATTAGAGCTCAGCGAACATTAAATCCTCGGCCGATCGCGGCGCTGGCCGTAACTGACCGTGGACTAAGATTAGAATTTGGAAGAGGCGGAAAGGGGCTGCTTTAAGTTATGGATTAGGAGGAACCTTTATGCTGGCGATGCGGGCTTGTACAAACAAGTGTAAATCAGGCGAGTACGACGTACCTCATGTAAGGAGTCAGAGTACAGGGAACGACCACTACCAGGTTTGTATGGAGCGGTACTCGCAGTCGTGTTAGCATCTCCTTGTATGAGTGCTGAAACGGCCAAGGGCTGGTTCTCAACGCTCACTGTGTCATGTATTCCTCACGTTCGTACTCGTACTGAGCTGCGCTGGCCTACCCGGGCACGAATTGAGTCTCAAAGTGGTGTTGTACAAGTATCAGTACTTGGTACCTGAATAGAGCGCCAGTGTCATCTTTTTGAGGTCATCTTGGCGAATAAGCACGCAAGCGACGCTCCCTTTCCGCTGCTAAATGTTTACCTTTTCCTATGTTCTTTTGCCAACACCATCATCAGCCCTCGGCATTTATAAGTACTACATGTAGTCCTGATAGAGGTGTCTAACAGCTGCACCCTCTATCAATAGCACCAGATTTGATGCACTTACCAAGCACTACCGTGCAAATACTACCTACCTGCTGTCTGATATTGAGTGCAGGTATGCCAATCATTACGGCCATGATCACACGTGATGTTGAAGCAGGTAGTATTGGTGATAATACCGAGTAACTCCGTAATAAAAGGGAGGCGAATCCTCAAGGTGCTTGCATGCCAGCTACATTCACTCGCTGTACAGTAATGCTCAGGTACAGGCAGTACTTGTTCCAAATCTCCGTCTTATACAGTGCATCTGGCGCCTCTAGCCAGATGCAGCCACGCCAGCCCAGCCGCCTGTAAATAACGTTGATCAGCACGGCATCACTGGACCAGCTTCTCGCAAATGGCACCTCCCTGGCCGCCGTCACGAGTCGTCCTCAAATGGGCATGGAGAGGGCCTTGGAGCAGCGACCGAGAGACTCGTGACAAGACGCACGAGCCAGGATTGTTTGACGCAGCGCATCAGAAGGCTGGGTGGCGGCCAATCGGAGCCACTTGTATCCCCGCATTATGGGACGGGGGAAATGGGACTAGATGCACCGCTGTGGCCTGGATGCAGGGCTTATCGCCTGTGAGCTGGCTCTGGTCCGGGGGAGCAAGGAGGGCGAGCTGGGCTAGCAGCGCGATGGGGCAGCGCAGCGATAGCGCTGGATTGATGGATGATGGATGTGAGGCCGGCTGGCCGGCTGATTCGTATAACGCATCCATGGACACATCAATAGGCAAGTATCGTAGCAATAGCACTGGCTGTAGGGAGCAGCGGTGCATGGGTGGCCGCAAAGGTGAGTGATGGGCATCGGCTGCTGCTCAGGGTCGCCCCCTAAATGCCATCCGCCTCCAATCCCTACGCCTTTGGGCCGTCGTCTGGTTTCGTTTGCGTCGTGAAAAGGGCTACCGCAGGTACACGGCGCCAGCACACGACACACGCGCATACAGTGCCAGCTCCCCGGCCAGGCCGCTCAGGAGGCTAACGGCAGTGGTCAGCACGGGTTCAGAGTACAAAGACGCCAGCCGTCGTTCCTTTCGGCGCAACGACGCCAAAGATGGCGAGACAGGCGGTGATGCGCTGGTCCAAACTGCCTGCAGCGCTCATCCCTTTGTATCGCCGCTGTCTTGTCTCACGCCGTCATTGCGGCCAGAAAGACAGCATTGAAGCACATGAAAGACATCGCCGGGGCTCATTTCGGAAGAGTCATTGTTCCGTCATGGCTCGACTTGGCCCTGGCAACGCGTCAACGGAGCCTGTACCTGTACCTGTAGGCCGTACCTGTTCCAAGCTGATACAGGCCGATAGCCAGTGGGGCGGTACGGCATGGGTGAGTCGAGCTCGCACTCTTGGCACTGTAGCAACGAGTACCGGATGTGCTCTGGCGCAAGTACTGCAAGTACCCGCTGGTATCCCGCTCAGCCAAATGGCAGCGGCTGCCGTGCGGCCAGGTACAAGGCTGAGTGACCTGGCGCCAGGCTTATCGCATCGCCCCGGGAAGTGGACTGGACGCGGACGACGCCGCTAAACTCTGTTGGGGCCGCCGTCACGCCCTGAGCACCCCCGGCTCCAGTGATGCGTCACCGCGGGCGTGAGCGCTGAGGCAGCACTGGAGCCTCGTCCCAGCCGCCCTTATCTACTGCGCCGTCGCTCGTCTCAACCTTCTTTCTTTCTCTTCTTCTTCCATCATCCTTTTCCCATCCATCCATCGCCGTCTCTTCTCCCATCTATCTGCCATCTCGCAGGAGGAAGTTGGAGTTTCCTTGATTTCAGTCACCTTTGTTTTCGTCTCTTCTGGCCGTGTGTCGCAGGTTGACCAACTCCCATATTCCCTCATTCATCACATCATCAGGACTATCATTATGCGGTCCGTCATCGCTCTCTCTGTGGCGGCCGTCGCCCAGGCCAGCTCGTTCCAGGTTGGCACCATCCACGAGAGCTCTGCTCCCGTCCTCAGCAATATTGAGGCCAACGCTATTCCGGACAACTACATCATCAAATTCAAGGACCACGTTGATGAGGCTGGTGTCGACAAGCACCAGAACTGGATCCAGAGCATCCACGATGAAGGCGAGCAGCAGCGCCTTGAGCTCCGCAAGCGAAGCAGCATCTTCGGCGCGGACGAGGCCTTTGACGGCCTGAAGCACACCTTCAAGATTGGTGACTTCAAGGGCTACGCTGGCCACTTTGCCGAGGACATCATCGAGCAGGTCCGGAACCACCCGGATGTAAGTTGACGCTACCATTTCTATCGCCACTAGCAGGTCAATTGAGGCTAATCCATCGTTTCCAGGTCGAGTATATTGAGCGCGACACCATTGTCCACACTCTGCTTCCTCTCGACTCACAAGACAACGTCATTGTCGAGGACTCGTGCAAACCTGAGACCGAGAAGCAGGCTCCCTGGGGCTTGGCCCGTATCTCTCACCGAGACACTCTGGGCTTCGGCACCTTCAACAAGTACCTGTACACTGCTGAGGGTGGCGAGGGTGTTGATGCCTATGTTATTGACACTGGTACCAACACTGAGCACGTCGACTTCGAGGGCCGTGCCAAGTGGGGCAAGACCATCCCTGCTGGCGATGAGGATGAGGATGGCAACGGCCACGGCACTCACTGCTCTGGTACCGTTGCTGGTAAGAAGTACGGTGTTGCCAAGAAGGCCCACGTCTACGCCGTCAAGGTTCTCCGCTCCAACGGCTCTGGCACCATGAGTGATGTCGTCAAGGGCGTCGAGTACGCCGCTCTCTCCCACAAGGAGCAGGTTAAGCTGGCCAAGGACGGCAAGCGAAAGGGCTTCAAGGGCTCAGTCGCCAACATGTCTCTTGGTGGTGGCAAGACCTCTGCTCTCGACGCCGCCGTCAACGCTGCCGTCAAGGCCGGTGTTCACTTCGCCGTCGCTGCTGGCAACGACAACGCTGATGCCTGCAACTACTCTCCCGCTGCCGCCACCGAGCCCGTCACCGTCGGTGCCTCTGCTCTGGACGACAGCCGTGCTTACTTCTCCAACTACGGCAAGTGCACTGACATCTTCGCTCCTGGCTTGAGCATCCAGTCCACCTGGATTGGCTCCAAGTACGCCGTCAACACCATCTCGGGTACCTCCATGGCCTCTCCCCACATTGCCGGTCTCCTGGCCTACTACCTGTCTCTCCAGCCCGCTGGTGACTCTGAGTTCGCTGTTGCCCCCATCACCCCCAACAAGCTCAAGAAGGACCTCATCTCCATTGCTACCCAGGGTACTCTGTCTGATATCCCCTCCGACACCCCCAACCTGCTTGCCTGGAACGGTGCTGGCTGCAGCAACTACTCTCAGATCGTCGAGGCTGGTGGCTACAAGGCCAAGGCCAAGGCCCACAAGCAGACCAAGCTCCCCGCTACCATTGAGGAGCTCGAGGACGCCATCGAGGGTGACTTTGAGGTTGTCTCTGGCAAGATTGTCAAGGGTGCCAAGTCCTTTGGCTCCAAGGCTGAGAAGTTTGCCAAGAAGATCCACGACCTCGTCGAGGAGGAGATTGACGAGTTCATCTCCGAGCTCTCTGAGTAAGAATCTTTATTAAGCATATATTTCCTTTTTATTTGTAATGGCCATAATGCGCCGATGAGTACGTCGAGTACGATGGGTTACGGAACGGGACCAGGAGAGACTATTGTTTTGGGTAATTGGCATGCACTTTGGGCGCGAAGCCACTGAATTTAGTATCGGCTTTGCACTTTTACTTCGTATCACTGTTTTGTTACACCTACGTTCCTCAGACAGAATGCTTATACAGGAGTATCATATAATCAATACATTGCATTTGTATGCAACCAATCTTAAGATGCACTCGTGACATGTGGCAAATGCGAAGCATTCCTCGTTCAGGCTGTCAAGGACCACGCTTCTAAGTTAGAAAACCACCCATAGTCTACCGCCAATCACATCCCTTGGCTTTATCGACAAGTGCCTATTATGACGATGTTTTTTTGCTAGCTCTGGCTTAGACGGAGGCAACGACACAGCACTTCATACGATGTTGTTGAGTGCCGCACGCAAATGGAAAGACAACACAAACAGAACGCAGCGATTCACAACAGCCTAGTGAATCATATAATTTCAATGACACAAATGACTCATTAAATCTGTTCTAAGCCCTGCTTTGAAGCTGGATGTCTAGGCAGTTTTTGTTCGCCTCTGCTCTCTCTTGCTCGATGGTTGAATGCATCCTCTGCTCAAGCAATTTTTGCCAGCTGCCAAATTAGACTCGCATCAGGATGCTCCTGCCACGCCCATCCAGCTGCGATATTCGCTGCCGATGCCTGAGGCGAGACTGCCTCGCTGCCTCCTTCCTCATGGCCATTGATATCAATGGAAATGTCAAAGATTCCGCCAACTATTGATTCAATTTCAATCGTGTTTTCCCCATATGCCTCTGAAACAGCCAGTTCTATCTCGTTATCACAGCACTCATCATCAGTTGCCAGCCACGATTCGTTTGTTATATCATCTCCTTGTTACGGAAAGAAATCATCTCCTTCCACGCAAATCTTTGTAGCGCTTCGAACACGCAATGCTTCGCAGAAACAGCACCAAAAGTCAAGATCGCCGCCCCCTAAGCAGAAGCAAGTCATCTGTCATCATTGGCCGAAATGCAGCCCGTGATCTCACCGGCAGCGAGCCGTTGACGGTTGAAAAGGATGCGTACATTGCTGCAACTCTCTCATTCAGCCGAGCTCAACCGCAGAACAACAACGAGCGAAAGTCGCCGCGCCTAGTTCGACAACAAAGTGTGAGATTTGCCGGTCCAAATGCTCAGCCTCGGAGAATATTAGCCGCTCGCGCAAGTGTGCCTGCGGCAAGCAACTTGCCACGACGTCTTATGGGCTCTCAGCAGTATTCTTTACAGTCAGGGGATGAAGCTGCGTCACTCTCATCGTATGGGAAGCTACGCAAATCGAAGTCGATGTACGCTCCATCGATGACAAAAACACCCACATATTCTTTAGACAATAGTGACCATTCCGACGTGTTCAATGGATGGCAAACATCGTCTCGATATTCATCATTTGCGAAGAAAGAGAACGAACCCATCTGGAGTTCAGGCGGACCATCACTTAGGGCTCCAAAATCCATGGCTTTCCTCTCATATGACCGTGACAGTTCAATATCACGAATAAATACCAGAGACAGCTGTGAAATGTCTGATGAGCTGACACGAAATGGATTCTATGAGCCTCAAGGGAGCTTGAGCCGCCTCAAATCTCGGCCTTCAAGTTTCTTTCGATCAAACTACAAACAAAGTCCCAACTTGACGGCTTTCCCCAAGTCTCTTCGCAGTAGCAGCAACAATACCACAGTGCTTTCTCCAGCATCTCTTCATGGCTATAACTCTTCTAGCATTTCTTCAAAGCAGCCGACTTTGCGAACCACGGCTCGCAAAATCTCCAAATCGCTCAAGAGCAGAATCAAGGGGTTGTTTGGCCGCCCCAAGAGTACAGATGAAGCTACAGACCAGGCTGAATATCATACCCAAGAACGGGATTCAAATGATGGTAGCTGCTATGGAACTTTGTCAGCGGTGCCAACGCGATCGTCCCAGGAAGCATCCATGTATCAAGGACCATCCCGGATGCCTTCTTTCCATGCAGTGCCGACGAGTCAACAGCTCAAATCGCGACAAGGCAGCTTCGCAAACGTGGAAATAGAAGACTGCCCGCCAAGTGACGACAAATCAAGAGTTACTAGCTGGACAGACTCTACAGTGGCGACAATTACCCATCAGGCAAGGTCGGCTAACTGGAGCCGCCAATATGCATTCTCTTCTGAAGCAGCTGAGATGGGAACTTTGCCTTCATCTCACAACCAAGCTTCTATGCCTCTCGATAACAATTCGCACAAAGGTCCTACCGTCAACAGCCAGCGTGTGTACACAGCTCTCATTGAAAGACTGCAAGAAACAAAACAGCGTCAAAGCCAGTCATTGGGAGAGAACCATGCGACTTTGGATGCTAGTGAAGCAGCTTCACCGCAAAGCAACTCGACCATAAGACGCCAACCTCGTTGGATCAGGTATGAAGGATCCGCTAACACTATTCGACATGTTCAGGAAGAAGATGATGTCTTCCAGGACCGCGCTGCACAGACTGCTATTTCACGTTGTTCGTCCTCCAATAGTGTTATTAGAGGCCATGAACCCACAGATTCACCACAGAAAAGCCTGAGCAGCGATGGGTACTCCAACGCAGCTATCGATGGAGACTGTATGGCTCCTCCCGGTCAGAATGCTACAGAACTTCAGGTGGCTCCTGAAACTCAAAAATCGATCATCTCCAGTCGCAGCTCGGCTTTTTTTGCCAGCCCAACATGCCATCTTTTCCGTACGACAAGCCCGTATCGCCGCGCACTGCAGGCCACGATGAAGGCCACCGAAGTCAACGAGCAGCCTCAAACGCCCGGTACCAAATATCTGAGCTCTTTGTCCGCACTTAGTCTCCCTACAAGGCGCTCGAGTACAGACGGATCCGATGACGACGAACGAATGGCATACGCAGAGAGTGTATACTCCAATTCTAGTGAGAAGAACATTTCATCTCCGTCAAAGTCGACGAAGCAAACGCCGGTGAAGAAAGATCATGGGGACGTCACCATCTACCTTCCGGCTGAGACACAAAGACCATCTCTCTCGCTCTCAGGCCGTCATGCACGAGAGGTGTCTTCTTCTAGCTCTATTGAATGGAAGACATGGCTCAGTGCCAACGTGTCTAAACTGGAGACTTCATCTACCACCCTGAGAACAGATTTTCCCGAAGAACCTTCGTCTGCTCCTCGCCATTCTAAACACATTAGAGAGAAGACTGAGATTGAGCCTAAGGGGGACGATTTACTTCCCGATGTCTTGGGTAGCGGCCTGCCACTGAGGGTTGCAGCGGACAAAGATAATCGTCCGCCTGCTTTGACGACCGTATCGCAGCCACCAAAATTCCAACTTGCGAATCCCTGGTATCCTCAATCTCCGGCTGCTAATGAAAATTCACCGTCGGTAATAGGCGCACGAAGCAGAGCTGTTTGCAGCAAAGACACATCTCCGGTTGGCTCAAAGGGTAATTTGCGCACCATACCGTCAGTACCCAACGTCAACACCTGTGTTGCGACCAATAATCAATCGCCGCTGGAGATTCCACGAATGCGCTCTCTCAATACACTTGCTAAGCCGTGCTCTCCTATGAGCGACGAAATGCGACTCAGACGTCAGTCGCGAACACGTCTCCGAGCCAATGATGCCTCAGCCAAGTCCAGTCCCGGGTTGACAACGGCCTTTGAGAGACAGTTTGGAGTCAGCAAGACGGGCTCACCCGGAATATGGAAAGCAAAAGTGCCGTCGGGTACTGGGGATAGCACACCCAGATACGAGGCTGATGCCGGTATTGACGATATGGGGCGGCGGGAGCTCGATGCGCAGGTGATGGGAAGCAAGAGAATGGTTGATTTATTCTTGAGCAGCCGACGCAAGAGAACGGCGAGTAGCCAGATGGGACGAAGCAGCGACAGTCTATCGGCTGCATTTATCTAAACATCAGAAGCAAGCAGGAATGAGCGAGTCAAGGTCCAAGGAGATGAGGTTGATGATACGGAGTTGGTGTATAGTATAAGTTATTTCTGGCTTGTGTCGTATGATTTAGCATGTTGTGAGAGTAACGGAGCTAATATTGACGAATCCCTTAGTTACATATTATACATTGTCCTGTTGGGCAGGCTCGAGGACATTACCATAACTAGAAGACTAGATAGAATCTCAGAAGTTTGCTTTACAAGTCTGTGTGCCCTATCACTTCATTTGATCTCGTGCTTAGGAACATTTAACTTCCGTGTATCATTTATTTCAATCATTATATATTATCTAGGCGGGTAGTAGGTATATTCTAGGTATATACCAGGCTGAAACCCCATCCATGTCTTTCGTACTTCGTAACTCGCTATTGTACAAGAGTGCTCTTAGGTTTATCTCTAGGCAACTCGGACAAAAAAAGAAATAGGGGAAGAGGCGACTCCAAGTGATCCAAGTGAAGGCTACATGCCCCGTTCCAGAACGCTTCCAAGCCGTTCATCTACTTTCGTTTAATTTTACTCGTCTTTATCGGACACTGGACTGACGTGAACCTGCCATAGCCTGGATAGGGATTTTGGAAACTCCGCTTTGCGCTCTTTGCTCACCCAATCATCGTACTCTTCGTGGGTGACTTTTTCAGCCAGAATGCCCTTCATCTCGCCTCTGTGCACTACGCCGTCTGTGAGAGATGAGTTGGCGCTACGGGTGGTTCGCAGAAAGTGCCAAAAGTCATCCGTCACGCGGACGTACTCGCCCAAAGCCTCTTTCACGTTGAGACTCGCCCCCGTGGTCCAGCTCAGCAGAAGGGGTTCAATCAGGGGAGCGTCCGAGACGCTGGGGTGCGAAGTGCCGATGCTGGTGAGGAACCAGGACGAGTGGCTGGGAATGCGCTTGAGCACGCTGAGGGCGAGGTCCTTGACGGTGTCAAAGTGCGGGCGGTTGTAGAAGACGCTGCGCTGCTTGGACCAGGAGTTGGAGTGGACGATGAGGAGGGGCACGTCGATGAGGGCGTTGAGGGGCCCGCTCTGCTTGCCTGGGTCGAGGATGATGCCGCCAATGGCAGGATTGACGTCTGAGGGAGCGTGCTTGAGGGCCTGGAGAGCGCCGGTGGCGCCAAAGGAGTGGCCGCCGATGGTGAGGTTGCCAAAGTCGAGGCGGTTGGCCCAGCTGTGGAGGTGGGAGCCCTCGGAGCGGGAGTTGCGAGTGAAGATGTCGTCGCCGTGGCCGTTGTTGATGGCGCGGAGGATGTTGATGGTTTCGAGGATCTCGGCGTCCCGGAAGGCGAGCTGTTCGCGCTTGTACTTTTCGGTGTCCATGGGAGGGTCTGAGAGGAGCTCGGCTTCTTTGAAGTGGAGGAGCTGTTTGTCCTGTTCGCCCTTGATTCTCATGAGGGTGCCGGGACAGCTTCCGTCGCGATGCTCGATTGCTGCGACGACGTAGCCGCGGCTGGCGAGCTCGCCGATGTAGTGGGTGTAGTCCCTCCTCGAGCTGGCATCGCCGTGGGAGAAGACCATGACGGGGAGTTGTTCAACTTCCTCTTCGTCTCTCTTTCTTAACTCTAGTTTTGGCAACTCTCCGTCTGACCACTCTACTTCTGCTTCTGCAGCGGTCGTTCCTAGCAATGGCGCATCGACCTTGGCAGGAATTGTGATGCCGCCCGCCACAAGCCACAGCCCAAATGTGAATATCGGCCGCATCAAGAAGTTGTTGACGTGCGCGTACTTTGCATATCCAGCCGCCGTCAGGCCAATCGGCCGCGCAAACCAGTCGTGCCTCATCCTGCGCTCTTTCACGCTCTTGTCGACGGGATAGTAGACGGTGAAGAGCGTCGTGCGGTGCTCAAACGCCGGCTCGCCGGTGCTCTTGAAGACGGTCTCGGACACGCGCCGCGGCTTGTCCAGCGCAACCTCGACATCCACGGCGCCGACACCGTACGGGCCCGAGTACGGCGGCAGCGGCGAGGCCAGCAGCGGGACGCCGCGCACGAAGCACAGCAGCGCATAGGCGGCGACGACGACGAGCGCGGCGACCGGCCAGGATGGACAGGATGGACATGAACGCCGGGGCCGTAGGAAGGCGGCCAGCGAGGCGAGGATGCGGCGCCACCAGCGAGTGAACCGGCCGTTCCGGTGTGCGCGGAGCCATTTCGGGTGCTGCAGCTGCAGCCATCGGGGCTGCGTGACGGTGGGGGCAAGCAGAGGCGAGTCGGGCGAAACAGCATCTGATTGTTCTTGGACGGGGTCGAGCTCGAGCTCGAGCTCCGAGTCGGACGAGTCGTCGGGCGAGGGCAGCGCCCGGGCGGAGATGCGCGCCGTGGGTTTGGATTTTGAGGAAGACATGGCTGTGGAACGAGTGAGGCTATCGAGGGGTGGAATCGAGAGGGACGAGACGAAAGTGCCTGTTGTTGTGCTACGACTACAGGGGATGCAGCGCTGCGGGAGTGGTCGATGACGTAGGCAGAGGCGGGAGGATGCTAGCAATCGGTACATGATCGTTCTAGAAGGATGGTGGTCGATTGTGGGTATTTTTGGGTACTGACGGAAGTACTTTTTACTAGGTATGGAGCTTAAAAAAAAAAGAACAGGGGGAGAAAAAAGATGCTGCACGATAAGGAAGTTTGGGTTAAGGAGAAGCTGACGATGGCTTTATCGGCAAAGATTCTTAATTTACGCCGGATTTTATACACGTATAGAATCAAATGATAGCAGGATGATAGAGGTGAGATTCTGATTTTCAAGCCTAATTGCACTACAACTTTATCTTGAAATACCACCATTTATAGAGCTGCTGCACACAAGCTTCGGCCGCCTATAGGGTATGGCAGCTTTGGGAGCTTTCGTTGACGCCAACGACGTAGCGGTGGCAAATGAATGATGCCCTGATATCTTGGGTACTAAGCAGCTGTTTCCTTTGGAACAATTACTGTTGTATGAAATAGAGCGTTCTTGGTTATTAAAAAGAAAAAAAAAAGAAAAAGAATGTTAGTATGTTAGATTAGACGGTCCCTTCTACAGGCTCGCTACGCTGTTCCTGTACTAATGAACAGATGAAAAGAACTCAGTAGGTACCCAAGTACTTCTATATTTGGCCGTAGAGGTTTCGCCGGAGCTTGAATTGTATTGCACATATCATTCGTTTGTAAATTCAATTCTACCTCCTATCTCCCTTATCTTATTGCATGTAAAAGCATTATGACAAGCCAATCTTGCGTAGTTTCCTTGCATCCTTCGTAATACCTAGTGTATGGCTTACTACATGCTCCCGTCACTAACACGATATCACGAGAGCCAACATACGATAAATGCCTACATGCCGTTCACACAGCTAGAGAGGTCCAATAAAACCTACGCAGATCTAGGCCCTATTCATGGCAGGAAAAGCCACACCACAAGGTCGTTGCTACATTCGATACAACGTGCCATGGCCATGCATCGCCTGCCTTAGCCTCGCAGCTTACAGAAGTGCCTCCATTAGATACATCAGCGATGTGCTCGTGCATATGTACCGTGCAGTAGCAGTTGTTGACAGCTCTGATTCTGTAATGGCGCGTTGATGTTGGTGAAATGGACAAGATGGCTTTCCATATGATCAGCTGCTTCTCGAAACAATGACGGAGAGTTTCTCCATCTGATGCCTAATAAAGAGCTAGCTGTTGGCGCAAGCGATCTACCTAGGTATATGATGTAAAAATACGGTGGACTCCATCTATAGTCCTTTCGGCAAAAGATACCAGCATTCATAAACGGAATATGATGAGACAAGGGATCGAGAATGGCGGGGAACTCCGGACGCCCCGTGTGTTGCTGTCTACAAGTAATACTGGCAATCCCTCTTATGGCGAACGGCATCGCCTTGCAGCGTGCACAGTGTACGGTACATGTGATTGGCAGTAATCTTGCTGGCAGTTGACCGGAAAGCAAGTTTTGAGACATTATTGGTAGTAATACTGCGCAAGTTGCCGTCCAAGTGCCAGAAACGTGCTGCTCCTCGGGCCATTTCGATGGTGAGGAGTGTGGACGAACCGGGGATCCCCGCACTTGGCAGATTGGTACTCTAGTAGTACTGCTGCTTGTTACATCAGACGACAGCTTCCAAATTGGCCCGAAGTGGTACTGCTGCCCAAGCACTTGGTGCGGAGAAAGAGAGGTGGATGTAGGTATCCTATTTGGTTCTGGGTGCCGGGCAGCTCCGTTATGATTTGGTTACTTTTGCTGATAGAGACCTGCAATGTCGCTGTAACATCTTCATGCACTCGATCTTGTAGGCCGACGAAGTAAAATAGGTATAGTAAGATGAGACAGAGCATTCAGTAAACACGCGCATGCTTTGTCTCGGAGCCTTTGCGTCATCACAGTGTCTGGTTCCAAACTCGATAATCCCCTCCTCTCGTCCCAACTGCTGGCTCACTGATCGGTACGAAGCAATGCTAGTCTAGTGCTCTGTAAGAATGAAGCAGATTCCGTGCAAAAAGTCCGGGCTGAAGGTGATTCATGCAAGCCAGATGCATAAAGCGGGCGAGTGGAGAGGACTGGCGGCTTGGACCGAAGCACCAACTGCAGATGCAGACTTGAAGCGCCAATCACGCTGCCTCGCTGGCTGCCGCGTGAGCTAGAAGAGATTGCATGCTTGGACGATTCAGGATAGACGGCAGAGAGGGAAATGTTACAGTGTTGGTTGGAGGCGTTGATGCCGGATGTGCTCGTCTTCAAGAGGTTGTGAGCCATGCTTTTAATGTTGTTGGTACAAGCACGGACAGGTACCTGCTACAAGTTGCTGCCCGCATTTGGCAGTTGACATTGTCATGGCCCAAACGGTCGGTAACTGGGCAGAGTCTCCCTTTTGACATCAATGCTGCTAGCATCGGGTCCAAAGCACAGAGTGCCTATCATGCTACGTCTCTTACTTATTTGGCGGTTTACGGCAAACAGGTATCTACGCGTGGATTGCGGCGTGGCGTGACGGAAGAGGCAACATGGCCAAACCCAAATGACACGCGCCTCGGACGGGCCGCAGCGGGAACTCGGTGGCTAAAGTTACCTTTGCCAACATGGAAGACTTTGTAGGTATTCAAGAGTGCTCTTTCGAATTTGAATCCAACTCAAGTTCGAAGTAGCAAAAGAGCCGGCTAGTGTTCGGTGGATAGGCCTCCCACTTACAGATAGCATCACCTGCGTCCAGTTACGCCGCGCGGGTATTACATCCACCCAGTCTATGTGTAATAGGGTATCCAGTATTGCCCTATTTTGGAATCAAAAGAATCAGGCTTATTTCGAGACGAACCGTAATCCGGGTATAGCCCGGGGCCGAGTGGCGCGCAAATCTCGACGAATGGAGTCAAATATCCGTTTTGATAGCCAGGCCAAGCAAGTTGTTGGTAGATTTCCATCCCAGCGGGCCCCCCTCCATGGATGGTACCCCACAAACAGCTCCGAAAAAGGGCTGTTGGAGATGGTGCTCGAGTCGTTCGATTGCCCGTGTCAATCTGTCTGTCTGTGGCAGTGCTACAGTAGCACTGCTCGTAGCAGGAGTCAAAGTTGTCTTGTAGAATTTGACGTGGGCTTATCCAGGTAGTGATATCAGGTCGAGCTGAAGCTCAGATGCTCCATAATTGACACCCGTATGGACAATAGCTGAGCAATGGACCAGGCGATACGAGCTTGTGAAATTAATGGCTTGGGAGGGGTCCTGAAAGGGGAGAGGTGAAAGACAGAAAGACAAGAGGTGGCTCCGTAGAAGCCCCAAGCGGGTAGGCGGCGGGCCAGGGGTGGAAAGCAGCGGGTTTGGGTGTCATTTGTAGGTATTTGTGTGACTGCCTGTAGTTGATGCGTTCAATGGCACAAGTAGCTGAACCAGGCTTGTAGAAGCACAAGCAGATGTCACAACTGCCGGTGTCTTATGGGAGCAATTGACGATATTACACGCGGTAGTAACATTGAACAGTCTGTATAGGACGGGACGCACTGGCCCTAGGGCAGTGTCAAAGCGCGCGCTGTGAAGCCTTGCGCCTTGTAAGGCTGAGCCCAGCCCAGCTGTGATTGCATCAACACGCTGTGCCGCTGTGCTGTGCTGTGCTGTGCTGTGCTCGGTAGTAATATTTGCATCAAATCTCAAATCATGGACACAAGTAACTCATACCTCGCTTCTCACCTCTCACCTCTCACCTCTCACTTTCTGTGCCAGCAGCTAATGCCGCTCGCCTGCATGGGCAGACGCGCAGACGCTCTGGAAGCACCGCTGGAACAACTGCCAAAACCCCCATGTCCAGCCCCGTCCAGCCCCGTCCTGCCCCGTCCTGGCTCCAGCGTCCCGCCGTAGCATTGCACAGTGCACGGGCTTACTGTCTCTCTCTTCCAATCTCATATCTTCATGTCCCAAGTTCTCCGTCGTCTCCCGGCGCATGACACCACCCTGATGGCCTCTCCAATGAAGGAAAAGAGGCCCCCAACAAAGGGCCCCAAAAAAGACCCCAAGAGCTGCATCGGCAAGCCCAGCTGTAAAGTCCGCCATCGAATCAGAAAATGGCGCCCCGAGCCTACGGGAGGCTAAGGCAAGCTTGCGGGTGGGATGGGCGCGGATGGCTTGGGATGCGATGGCCATTTTCTTGGTCAGCGAGCAGCAGCGCCGTTGACCTCTTTTGCTCTCGCCAAGATCGAGCCATTGGTAGTGGAGATGCGGAGCAGAGACAAATGGTGAGTGGCACAAGGGCCGATACAGGTACTCGGAAACTGAGCGAGCAATGGATGTCTATCGTCTGGTGTCTGTGCTTCTGGCAGTAGCTGAATGGTGGTTGTATATAGATGATCGCGATTCATATGCCGGATATTCTGAGCTGAGGACATGACAGGTGCAGGTTAATAATAGAGACTTGTATCTTTCAGAGAGAGCAGCCTTTCGAAGAAATACTATAACAATGGCGAATGCATGTACTCTTTTCTCTGCTACATCTTACTCTTATACACCACTACATGTACTGATATGACTCCAACAGATAGTAAGCCATGTGCCTGCCATGTGAACTTAAAGTGTGGCGTACAGCAGAATTCAATTAACTAGACAGTCGTCTGGCAGTCAGTGAAGCATAATTCCACGACAAACCATCAGATCACCTCAAGTTCACCTCAGCGTTGTCTCCCTCTTGACGCTCAAGTACAAGTAGAGATATTGAGCCCATACTGATAGCGCCGGGCCCCTCCGTAGGCCTGTCAGCGCTTCTCCAGCGGTGTTGCACTGTGCCGTACAGTGCCCGCCGCGCTGACCCGTTGCACCTGCCTGTGCTGCGCTGCTCTTGCATCCTCTGGCCACTTCCAGGTTTTACTACCGCCAAGGTACCTCTAATTTTTTCTTCCTCCTCCCTACTCTGTTTTCTCTCTCTCCTCCATCACGAATTTTTCTCTGTCTTTTTTTTATTTCCCTACCACTCGTGCTCTTCTTCGACTTCAACGCCGTACTCGCTCAGCTCTCCAGCAACCACCTGTGCGCTAAGCCGGTTCCCGCTGTGGTTTGGCTCGGCCCCGCTTCGTCTTCATTTCTCCCGAGACCCCTTTACTTGAGCGATTCGACGCCTCTTTTTTTCTCGTCTCGTCGCGCCGCGGCTTTTTCCTTTGCTTGCACCATCTCACGTTTGCGCCTTGCTGCCGCTCCGACGAATTCCCTGCCGCCTCTCCAACGCACGGCGCTGCTTGTTTCCCCGGGGGTGAGTCGAGTCCCCCGTTTGCCCTGCTGCTGGCCAGCCGAGTTTGCGCTGCCACATCGCCGGATCGCTTGATCCAGGCCCTCGCTTCTTAATCCCGCCCCCTCCACCGGCTCTGCCCAGGCCTGCAACAACTCGGCCACATGCCACTACTCCCCTTTGGCGATGTCGCATCTTCAGCGGCACCCCAGCCGACGGGCTGTTCCAATCTCTGGGCCGTGGGGATCCTGATATGACGACGTTTTTCTACTATCCATCGCCCCACAAATTGCATTTGACCGCAACTTTTGGATTTTATCTCGCATCTTGGCCACTAACACTTCCTCCGAGTCTTGCAGTCCTTTCGATAGCCATCCCATCGCCAGCTGCCTCCTCGTCTGTCCTCGCCCGGTCGATCGATTCTTTGTCCCCCGACGGAAACAATGTCCTACTACGATAACCCCCAGTGGTCGGCCCCGAGCCAGACCCCCAACAACTGGGAGCACCACGGCGCGACCACTCCTGTTCGCGCAGGTACGTTGCGCGCTCCCGCTGCCTCTGTCGATTCTGGGCGCCGCAACTGACTTTTTTGATGTCCACAGGTGCCAACGGACCACAGCCGCAGGACGACTACGCTTTTTCCTATCAATTTGACGGTATGTGTGGTGCCGGGGAATGGAATCCTGTTTCCCCAGAAAACACAATGCCTGTTGCTTGAAAGTGTACTGCTTCTTTTCGCTGCCCATTGCAAGGCGCCACGGGCTGCTGCCATTGGTCCACTCGAGATTTGGCACTACGACAGCAACAACACTTTGACAACCATCTCCGATGATTTCTACTTCCCCCCGTCGCTCGAGATTTAGCATAACACTGGGCAGAGGCTAACTGATGGATTCATAGAGGTTGATCGTGCTCACGAAAACTTGCAAAAGTCTGGCAAAGGCTACATGATGAACGCTCGACGTGAGTTTTCCGTGCCCTACTGCTACTGAGCTGTCTCTGGCTACAACACCCCTTTCCATCTCCTTTGCCTGCTTGTAGTAAGTAGCAAGGGCCTCGACGAGGCCCCTAAAGAAATCTCATAGCTAACCACGTAGCTGTTTCCCCCTTGTTATAGATGGTCGAATGGGTGGCTCTCGTGCCCACTCTGTCAACAACTTCGACGACAGTCGTGGCTCTCAAGGAGCAAATCTCCATAATTTCTATGCTTCTCAGCGTCACCAGTCTTCGCGAGGCTCCAACGAGGCGGAGCAGGTCTTGCAGGCGAAGAGAAGGATGGCGGCCCAGCGGGAGCGTGAGCTCCGAAACCTCCACACGGAGCAGCAATATCAGCGAAGTAGGCCTCCCTCAACTGTGTAGCACGTCCTGTCTTCCTATTCAAAAAAGTGGTTCCCAGAGCAAACCAAAAAATTATATAAAGAAAATGTTATTGGCCAATAGGCGGTTCAAGATGGACGCTTCTGGCCGAGTCTTCTTTTGTTTTTCTTTCTTTGGAGTTTTATTGTGTTTATGTTCAGTGTTTGAAGATTTAGTGCGCAGCATGTGCTAACGAATCTTCTTCTGACGTAGGTGTCTTGACTGATGTTGCCGTCCAGCAGGGCAACAAGCATATGACCGAGGAGGAGACTCGTGAACTCATTGCTCGCCAGCGCAGCGCTTTGTATGGCGAAGGCAGCTTTGCGGACAAGGCCAGCTACATTGACGAGACTGGTGCCGTCCGCACCGGTGCCCCTGGTCCCAGCGGCCCTGCAAGCCTGCGAGGCCACTCCCCCCTCACATACGACACCATTGGCCGCGTCCCCCAGGCTGACGTGGGAACTCCCGGATCGGCGGCTGATGTCAACGCGGCTGATCCCGGCTCGCGACCCCAGAGCACTGCCAGCCCCCAGACCAGCGGCCCGACCAACAAGGTCTTTGACAACGCCGTCGGTTCCCAGAGCCGGACCAGCACGTCCAGCCCGACCAGCGGATCGCCTCCCCGTGGAGATTTCGGACCCGGCTCCAAGTCTTCCCAGGGAGCTGCTGTTGCCCCCATCGGAACTCGTCCCACCGGAACACCCACGGCCAACGCCTCTGCCAAGCGCTCGAGCACTCCCCATGCTACTTCTGGTGGATGGGGCCGTGGTAACGGTGTCTGGGGCGGTTCTGGCCTCGGTGCTCAGGCCAGCGTTTGGGGTTAAAGTCCATTTTTGTCATTACATTGGGTGACGGCGTTGAAAGGACGCGCGCGTGTACATTCTTTTGCGTGTTTTTGTCATTTTCTTTTTCTCTTTTTCTCTTTGACGGCAAGGGGAATGAGCAGGCTGAATTGTTGCATTAGTATTAGTAGAAAAACAGGCGCTGGAGGTGAGGGAAAGGAATGGATCTGTTTGGCATTTTGGTTCGGTCGTTTTGGTCAAGGCGGTTGATTTCGATCTTCGCGCGTTTTGCTTTCGCTGGGTTCAAGTCTTTGGTACGATATTCGGCGAAGAAAGGTATTGCGAGGCATTTCTGGGCGATTACGATCAAGGCAAAAAAAGGGGGGGGAGGAAAGGAGGCTTGCTCTACCTTATACCTAGGGGTTCTGGAATTGGGATGAGCCTCAGACAGAGGAACGAAGATATCCGGATAGGAGTTATCTTGCTTTTGGCGCAGGATTGGGACAGGAACGAGGAGTTGCGTCCTTGTTCGCTATAACGGCGTATTCATTGTTTTGAGTTTTTATGGCTCCGATTTATATGTGACGGTGGGACAACAAAATTGCACAGGCATTGGGAGAAACGTGGTCGATAGGAGAAAGGTGGAAAGAGGAACCTCGACTACGGAGCAGTCATTTGCTGGCGGTGGAACAAAAGATTTCGACGAGGAATACCCGGAAACTCGGAGAGGCGTTCCATTGGACTACTGGAAAGTTGAACTATCAAGAATGGAAATACACTTTGCGCCTTTATTGGCAAGGGGGCATGGAAATGGGATAGGATGCATGGCGCTATTATAGCCCAAGGGGGGAGCAAAAAAAGCCCAAAGAGCAAAAGCACAAAAAAACTGAAAAAGAAAGAGGGAAACAACAAAATCATTGCTGTGGAAAAAAGGGGTTGAGCGTAAAACTAGCTTTGGGATTCGGTTTGATTTCATGCACGTTTTCTTTCTATATATGTCTTCTCTTTGGGTGGCTTTGGGAATAGGCTTGGGCTCTTTGTCGGCTTTTTCATTGGTCTTATTTGATTTTTAGGGATGGAATGGATTTTGAGGAGTTGCTTTCATTGTTGACCAAAGTCTGCTCCTTTCTATACCGCTGGGGAATTACAGGCGCGTCAATGATTGGAAAGAGGGAGAAGGATGCTAATGAGAGTTGACAAGAGGACGAGAGCAATTGGGAAATGGATGTGCGAGGGCTAGTTAAACGTAACAAGATACATGTAATGGGAGAAATTGGTTTGCGAATGTGTTGGCGTTGTAATTGCGTTGTTGTTGCGTTGTTGGACTTTTGTACGACTAAGCGCAACTGCCATTAGACTGCCGTTGATGAAGGCAGCTTGATCGTTTGCTGCCGAGTTATTGTTCTACATTTAAATTCAACTGGGTGAGGAAATATTCGTGTTGATGGTCTATATACTATCATAAGCATGCTCTATATATACCAAGAAGAAAAAAAGTCATTTGTCTAACCCCCCCTTTCCAACGCCAGGTTGTTACCCCTATCATTCTCTTTCTCTCTTTCTCTTGTCCTCTATCATAACAAGTTGTATCAGCTGAATCATAGCATCAACAGCTTGGCCCCCTCTTCCAGATCCATCACGTCGTCTGCCCTCACGGCCTTGCCTCCCCAGACGACGGTGCCGGTGCCGTCAACGGCAAAGGCTCCGGACTCTTGCCATTTGCTGCCCAGTTCTGTCGAGGGGTTGTTTTCGTTGATTGTCATATTCTCTCCAGCACTACCACCTCCTTTACTACTACTATTACCAGAAGAAGTAGTATTGGTCGTAGAAGTAGTAGCAGCACCCCCTTTCTTCCTCGGCGTCAATATCGCCTCCACCCGCCTCTCCTCCTGCCTCCCCTTCCTCGCATCAACCGCACTCGCCACTTTCTCCCCCAGCCAACCCGTTTCTTTCCACGCCTGGACTTGGGCTGTTGGGCCCAGACAGTACCACAGGCTGCTGGCCACGCCGAGGCCCCAGGCGGCGTAGATGGCGCGCTCTTGGTCGATGACGATTTGGACGTTCCAGGCGCCGCCGAGCATGTCGATCCATTTGGAGGTGGCCCGCGGGGAGGCGTGGGAGATTGCGATGCAGGTGATGGAGCCGGCGTGGCGGTTTGCGATGGTGCGGAGGGTGAGGAATGTTTTTTGGGCGACTGGTCGAATGTAAGTAAGTGTGCATATATATATATGTGTGTGTGTGTGTGAGTTGGTGTAAGTGGGTGGAAGAGGGAAGTGGATGGCTTCTATGTGAGTGTAACAATGAAAGGTGTATGAACAGGTATGTATAGTTTGGCACTTACAAGCACAACCCACGCATCTCAGAAACACAACCAGACACTTATTCCTCCTCCCCAGCTCCAGCCTCCTCTGGCGATCCTGCGGCGCAACGTCTCCGATGCGCGGAACGGGGGCGACTTTGACGGGAGGCGGCGGCGGGGAGAACCATGGGTGGACTTTGAGGGGGAGAGATTTGGGCGTCATCCACGAGGACCAGTTGTTGGTGCTGTCGCTGTTGCTGTTGGCATTTTTTGACGAAGAAGATGGTGATGTGAGAGAGGGAAAGTCTAGGGAGGTGTTGCTGGAGAGGCCGACTTTGCGGAGGGCGATTTTGGTGGTGAGGGAGGATATCATGGCTGTTTTCTTTAGGAGAGCATGTGGCCGTGGCAGAATAAGGAAAGAATAAAATGGCCTGGACGTTAAATGGTGTATATCCCTCTTTCTCGTCTTGATTATGTGTCCAAGAGAAAAAGGGTAGGTATTTAATTAGAGTACTTGATAATGAAAATGAGGACGGTATTCATATCACATGAAAGCTGATGCTCAGCAAATCGTATGATAAAATCAAAAATGCAGCACTACAGATAGATTCCACTTAAAAGAAAGACTGGAAGCTCCCTCTCAGCCATTTTACTGCTCGCATTACTACCCATCAAAGCATTCGCCCCGTACTATAATGCAAGAAACAAATCTGATACAAGGGGCGCGCAATTCCCAACGCCAGTGGCATCAGAAACATTAGGGCGTGCGAGTATCTGTGTCTGTGGCCCCCTCCTCTTGAAACAAGTGTTTGCTGTCAAAATGCCGAAATGACGCTGAACAGTTTACCTACATACTCGTTTATGTCATTTATGGCCTTTGTCTTCAATTTTCGAGCAGTGAGCCCTCCTTTGTTTGTTGAGGGGACTTGAGCGAAATCGAAAAAGGAAATGAACCCTGAAATTGGAATTTGGAGGGGTAGAAGCTTTCAGGGGGGATCCTGGTTCGAAATGAGCGAGTCAGGGGGTGGTGATTGGTTGGATGGCTGTGGAGGCGGATTGGATTTGCCCAGGGGTGCATGGGGGTGCATTTCTTACAATTTCATGTGTTGATGTGATGGACAAGTAGAATGGCCTTGGTTATGAATGAGTGATGAGTGATGATTAATGATTGAGATTGATGTTTTGTGATGCGGAAACACGTATCAGTTGTCTTACTAATAATAGGCGCTTACAAGAGCTGTCATGAACTCACAAGGCCGATTTATTTACTTAACAAAAGAATACGCGAGGCTGAAATTCACATAGAGGCTTCAAAAAGCCTGCTTTAGTTATTACTTAATTGATATAATGCTGTATATTGCAGAATTTCATTGTCATACACTTACACAGGGTGCGTAAGCCGAGTGTATTGCACCATGAAATCTCATCTCTCATTCTGAGCACAGCAGGTCTTCCTTTTCGGTTTGAAAATGCGAACAGGGAGACGTCGTTTAACTTCTTTCTCTTCTCTGTGGGGCTTGAATAATATAGCAATATACTCGGCTTCTTCCGAGCAAGATCAGAGGTGTACGATGACATGTGACGCCTCGCATTGGCTGCGCCTTGAGGTATCGAGCCTTGCTTACGTGGCGTCATATGCCCTCCCAATCGCGTACTTGGGACGAAGGAGGAGATGGAGGAGTTGAGATGAGATAAGAATATAAGCATAACAAAGCCTTGTACTACTTTCGACATGGCACTGTGCCTTGCTAAGAGACGCCTTGGAAATATATAAACAGGGGTATAGATGCCTTTCCAATTCTCATCTGAGGAATCAAGGCTGTGAGGTTGACTGTTGCTTCCAGGTATGACAGCTACTAGCCTCAAAATAACGGACTCGCTGGTAACAAACACATATCATCTCCGGATATCCAGTCTGATTCATCATGCTTGGATGCACAGATTTAGAAGCTCCAATGTATCAAAGACACAAGTACATGAGGCGCAGGGCCTCGAGCAAGGCTACTAGTCGCTTGCACAAGGCTGATTGAGTCTTGACCCTGGTAGTCGTAGCCATTGGATAGACTCAAGGATGCTATGATAAAGCTCATAAGCTATGGTAGCTTGATGCTGCTACAGCATGTGAATCATCGGATCAAGCCCTTCCGCATCGCTAGAAATGGCAAGGATATATCGCTGCTAGTACGTCTATATCTCTGTAATCTATTGGTCCACCACGAATCGCCTCAGATATAACTCTACGGCGCACTATGGATTCTAGACTTGGAGCGGCGCATCCAACTATTGGGCCGTGCAGGTCCACGGCGCAATGCTGCATATCAGAGCACGGCAGCACGGCAAGGCTATGCAATGCGCTGCTACGGCGTTACACTGCATGTGGTGACAGGCCGGGACACGTCATGGGAAACGGAAGAAACATCCGAACTCCTTGCACGATGCCTTGGGTAGATGTAGTTTACAGCCTCAGCGGTTGTGTCGATGGAGCTGAAGAGGCGAATGTAAGGCGGCTAAATGGCTCCCCGGCGACATTGCGGCGCGTCTTGGCAACTGACGAATATCAGCCTGATAGCCTACATTGAGTGCGTTGTTTTTTTGGCAACCCCAAGAACAAAACAAACAGAAGAGGAAAAGAAAGACAATTGTAATGAAAACTGACCATTACATCTCTGTTACGTGCGTTGTGGCGAGTACCTTCATGTAAGCTCAACCTTTGAAAAAGCATATAACCCAATCGAGACAGCGC